TCCGCAACGGATAGAGAGATAGCACCTGCAATATATGAGATCAATCGATACGACCTTTCTGCGGAGGTTCGGTTAGTATATCCATGTCTTGATCTCTTCCTAAGAGGTGGGAATAATATGTGGATACTTACAAACAAGTTTTTTTGTTTGTTTTGGCAACCTCCACTCCGCGCCTCAATGGCAATAAAAACCGTTGTGAACCAACTGTCAATATTTGAGCGCGACTGCAAACAAGCCTTGAACAAATTCTCTATACAGCTCCCTGACATACTTCCAACGCGCAAGCCCAAGAAGATTGACAGCGGGAATTTTTTTTTTTATCCGAGTAACTACCGACCAATTAGTTAGCAAAGCCAGGTAAGTGAACAAGAAATTATCATTTACTTATTAAACTAATTAAGAAGTGATAGTTAACTAGTTAGTTATGTTATATTTACTAAATAACAAGATATACATTATTAATAAATTAATGAATTAGTGAATTAATGAATTATTAGAAGAGTAAGAAGATTTAATAAGATTTCTAGGAATTTAATTTTAAGTTATTTATATCCTTTGCCTAAATATTTTATTTTAGCTATTCAATATAAATAACCATGCTATTACTATTATTTATATTTTGTTGAAAGCATAATTTGCGACTAATTACATTAATATATAAATCCAGAATTTAACATATCTAATAGTATAATAATTACCTAACTAAGGAACAAATCTATCCAATAAGAATAATTAGAATAATAATATAATAATGAAATATTAAGGTATATTATATCTTAAATAGCTAAAGTTTATGAATATAGTTAACAAGGAGTTATAAAATAATCTAAGTTATGATGTCAGTTTGCCAAGTGAAACGGGTGATGTCAGAATCCTGTCAGTTCGAAGAAAAAGAAGAGAGAGAGCGAGAAAGGGCTCCATAAGTGATCGCCAACGCGGCATGCAGGATTACGAATAGACATCTGGTAGTTACTATTTATCGAAGTAGAAATTGCCAGAATGTTGAAGTTTGCTGGAATTTTCCACGAGGGCGGCTCCCGTCCATGGATACGATATTCATCCCTGAAGTTGAGCAGTACTGGAAGAACCTTACAGTACAATATTTGGAAAAAAAGAGTTTTATTAAAAGAAGGTTTTTAAGGCAGCGAAATAACAGTGACGTTAAAGTTGTAGGCCACTACGGCTAGTTGAAGATTTTAGTTACAATTTAGAGATGCCTTGCCTATTTCTACACTTCTGTTCATGCCAGACAATTTTCATCACTAAAAAAAAAGGAAGCATTAACTAGGTAACTATCTACTGAACATGGCCTAGTTTGCAGTTGTGACTTGATCTCTCTCTGGGATGCTTTTAGCTTATCTCGTCAGGCAAAGATGTTGAGAGAAAACAAATGTTGATTCCACTGTGCCAGTTCATCACTGTCAACAATAAAGTCTGGTAAAAAGAAACTCATCTCGTCTTTCAATATTGCAAATCAAAATTTAAATTTAAATAAATCAAAATGCAACATGCTCTCTCTTCCTTTCGCTTCTTATGAAGTACGTTGATTCCATGTTATTATCGGCTGGCTGAGTCGCTACCAAAAAGCTTAGGAAGAGCACCAAAACTCAACGCATGAACTGCTGCTGACAGGGAGAGATAGTCAATTAAAAAAAAAAAAATCTTTCTCTCTTTTTCTCATCAAAATCAATTTGTCTTCATTCAGCTTTATAGAGATGGCCAACTCCTTTTTGTTGTTGTTTTCCCTGATTATGTGCAGAACATTCTCTCACCGATACAAGAGTTATTATGCCTCCGGGTGAGAGTTTAACATATTCATCCATGAGATTTCCCAGATCGCCCTATCCAGGCCAAGGGAAATCACTCTGTCCTGAGAACTTTAAATAATAAGGCTATCATCTAAGGACGTACAGTAAGGGCATCGTCTTAGCCCCAACCCTGCCGCTGTCACCAGTCTAGCTGCCGATCAAGTAACTAAACTTGGCGGCCAGCTGGCACTGAATCAGACGCAAACAATTAATAAGGAAGTGCGTATCTATTTTTATGGATACACGCATCTTCTTTCTTTGGCCTGTCCCCTGGCTCTCTCCCGCCTGGTCCGTGTCCGCGTCCGCGTCCGTGTCTGAAGGCAAGATTGGGATACCCAGATATATCTGTCTCCTCCCGAGGTATGAGGTAACTAGTTACAAAGCTTTTTGTCGGCTGTAAAATAAATGGTAATTAAGTGGAATATCCCGAAGACTGAAGCAGGGCATCTGCAACTAATATCCCGTATAACACCTTCACGGCCAACACCCTTATACATTATATATATATATATATATATATATACACTTCGACCCAACCCACGGATGGAACCGAACAGTGGTCATTACCTCCTGCCAAGGAACCCGCCCCAAGGCATCTATCCACTCAAGTAGTTATATGAGGAACCTTAAATACTTGCACCCGAACCGGGTTCTTCCAGCCAACCACAGCCTAATATTCGCTCCCGTGTTGCTCTGGCTCAACCCACCCAAACCCCCCCCCGGTCCCGGCTGTCAACCAATCCCTTGATATCAGATATAAATATCCAGATCGTGTCAATGGCGGAGAGATCTCTCCCACCCTCCTCTCTTCTCCCCCAACTTGTCGCCGTGTGTTGCCATCTGGTATACAATAGTTACCCGTGGAATTGCATCATAGTTTGAAACAGCCCTGAAAAGAACCACCCTCCCGGGAAACCAAGAAAAACCTGCTCGCCAGAGCAACACACCCAACTACGATTACTCATATTGGAGTGAACCTTACTTATTTTCTCTCGTTCTTCCTTTTCTTTTTCGTTCTTTCTCTTTCTTTTGCCTGTTCGTTCGTCTGTTATTTCTCTTCAACCATCGCTATCATCGTATCCAGGCTTGCACACCTACAGATACACACACACACACACACACACACACACACACACACACACACACACACACAGAGCCGCCCTGTCCCTGCCTCCCGCCCGCTGTCCTTCGGCCTGAGCGGGTTGACGTGGTGTTAGGTTGGCCTGCTCTCCCTGAGCCTTCCCTGTTGCCTGTCTGCCTTGCTCCTTCTGCTTGCTGACAACAACACCCAACATTTCACTCACTCTCTCTACAACCTCATCTTTACCTCTCCTCCATCCCTGATCTCCCCCTCCGACCAGCTGCATAATGTCTTTTACCCTCCCAAAATCCTTTCTGAACGCCAATACCCCGCTCAGCAGCTATGCCGCCACCCTCTCTTTCAATAATAATACCTCCTCCCCCTTTGCGTCTGGTGTCGCTGCTGCTGCTGCTGCTGCTGCCGCCCTGCCGTCATCTCCAACCTCCCGTGGCGCCCAACCCCCTCTCCCAAACTTGGCCTTACTGGTCTTCGAGGCTGTCCTAGAGGTGGTCTGCGTCAGTCTGCCGGGATACATCGTCGCCCGCATGGGCATGTTCGATGCTAACGCCCAGAAATTTGTTGCGAATCTCAATATTATTCTGTTTACCCCATGTCTTGGTATGTGTTCTCTTGCACATGGTTTCCATCCGTCAATCTATATATATGCATGCTAATTGTAAAGGCAGTCTTCACGAAACTCGCCTCCCAACTCACCGCAGACAAGCTTACCGACCTCGCCATCATCCCCTTCATTTTTGCCATCCAAACCCTAATCTCGTACTTCTGCTCCGTCATCGTCTCCCGAGTCTTCCGCTTTAAAAAGCGCCAGTCAAACTTCGTCGTTGCTATGGGGGTATGCATCTGCCTGCCCAATATCAATTTATACTTGATAATTCAAAAGGAGATACTAACTCTTTATACAGGTGTTCGGCAATTCCAACTCCCTTCCCATCTCCCTCGTCCTCTCCCTCTCCCAAACTATCCAAGGCCTTCATTGGGACCGCATCCCCAACGATAACGACAATGAGGTCGCCGCACGCGGTATCCTTTACCTTCTCATCTTCCAGCAACTGGGACAGCTGCTGCGCTGGAGCTGGGGTTATCGCGTCCTCTTAGCGCCACCAGAGACATACTATCGGGACGAGGAGGAGCGCGTCAATACGGTGGAGCGATATACAGATGAACCGGATCAAACGCTTATCGACACGAGTGACGTTGTTGACGTTGATGGTGGTGATGGCGTTGATGATGATTATGGACAAGCCACGTCCAGCGCACCGTCGAGTTCGGGGGATGTAACGCAGTTCGAGTCTGGAGGTGCAACCCCTATCATCAGCCGACAGTACTCCTTCTCAAAACTAGCAGGCGCAATGGACGACTCAGACGTTGAAATCGAACAACTCAATTCCGATTCCGATCCCTGCCGGCCTCTCTCCGCCTTCCACCAACTTCAACCCAAACCATTGCACCCCTGGCACCACAAACTCAACCCCCCCTTCCTCTCAGCCCTCTGCCACCTCCATAACACCACCAAAACCCTCTCCCAGAGAGCGTTTCACTCCCTTCCTCTCCCCCTTCAAAAGTTCCTCCGCACCCTCTCCCACGCCCTCACCCGCTTCCTCATCGGCACATGGCACTTCATGAACCCACCGCTCTGGGCCATGCTCTTCGCCATTCTCGTCGCCTCGATCCCCTCCCTCCAACGCCTCTTATTCACCCGCGGCACCTTCCTCAGCAACTCCGTAACCCGCGCCGTAGAGCAGAGCGGCGCTGTCGCTGTGCCTCTCATCCTCGTCGTGTTGGGTGCCAACCTGGCACGGAACACCTTACCCACCCAATCAAAGCTGGACTGTGATCTGGATTCCTTTCCCGATGAACCCCAGCACCCCAAGGAAGAGCGAAACCTGATCATCGCTTCGCTCCTCTCCCGCATGCTCCTGCCAACCCTCTTCATGTCCCCGCTCCTCGCGCTGGCCGCCAAATACATCCCAGTGAGCATCCTGGATGACCCGATCTTCATCGTCGTCTGTTTCCTGCTAACGGGTGCGCCGTCCGCGCTGCAGCTGGCGCAGATATGCCAGCTGAATAACGTGTACATGCCGGTGATGGCGCGGTTGTTGTTTCAGGGCTATGTTGTGTGGATTCTGCCGTCGACGCTTGTGCTTGTTATGCTTGCGTTGGAGGTGGTTAGGTGGGCTACGGCGGCGTGATGGGGATCATTATGTATTTGTTGTATTTTCTCAACGAATTAATTAATCGAGCACTCTCCTCTGCTCTACATTTGTTCGTTTTTTGGGATTTCAAGCCATGATTTTGATTAATCCCTCTTTTTATTTTTATTTTAACTTTTAACTTTTATTTTTGACCTCTGATTCTTTATGTTGAGCTATTTCGTGCATCCATCATCATATGTCGTTAAGGCGAGTGATTTTTTCATATTTGTTTTAGCACTTTTTTACTTAATTTTTTCATTTTTTTCATTTTTCATTTTCATATATCTTTTTTCTTTTCCCAGTTATTTTCCATGTGTGGTGTTCATCTTTTTTTCTTCGGGATTCTCTATTTCTTGTTAACTTGGCTTTCTTGTACCCTACGGCGCATAAGAAATTTGGTCATTGCATTGGATTTGAAATAGGTGTTCGGGCCGGGAGAAAAAAAAAATAAATAAAGAGGAACCTTGGAAGGACCCTCTTTTCTGTGTGTCTACTGAGACAATAATTGGATTGATATTATAGAATTTCATGAGATGAGATACGGATTATGACATGGATATGGATACCGTTTCCAGTTGACGGGATTGCTTCACTTTTTGACCCTTCTTTGCACGAAGGGAGAAAGTCAAATGAATGATCCGTAATCTGTAGTATCTAATGCTAAGTAGTATCTAATGCTAAGTCGGATGCCTATACTATTTTACTTGGCTCTTTCCCCTTGTGGATCTGGTTATCGTCTGTTCCGTTCCTTCCACGTATACACGCCTGGAACAAGTCTCCTTCCTCCCGGGATGCAATTGTTCTGTACCTTCCCAAACCCACACAACATACACAAACACTACAACCCAAACACACTACATATAAAACCCCACCATCCTCCCCCTTTTCCCCCTTTCAATCCCCCTTTCACTTCCGCCGCCAGCCCTCCAAAGGACACTCGTTGCCAGCATAACCCCACCCCCCAAACCCCCCACAACACACCCTCAATCCCACCCACCACACCCGCAACGCCAGAAAAAGGACAGAAAAAAGACATCCCAAATGTGCCCAAATGGACGTAGAGTATGGCGCAGTCGATGTCCATGCCGCTGCCGGTACAGATACCGATACCAGTAACCAACTACAGCTCCGTCAAGGCAAGTTTCGTCCTCGCCGCTGCTGGTGTCCGCTGCTTCAGCTTCGGCTCCGCCAGCTGTACCCGAGCCGGATCTTGCGCCTTCATCGAAACTTGAACGGGAACGGGGTGTACCGTTGCTTTTCGCTCGTTTGTGTGTGGGTGTTTATTTTGCTGCTTGTTTATTGTGTGATCGGGGTTTTTGGGCGGTGGGTGTTGGCTGGGATTTGAAGTTTTTGACTTTTTGAATTTTTGAATTTTGATCTCTTATTTTATTTTTATTTTTATTTGTCTTTTTTTTTTTTTTTTTGGTTTGGGCTGGTTTGAGGGGGGGGGAAGATATTGTTTGGATTTGGATATTGTTCTAGGACATTCTCTTTCAGATTTTGGTTTCGTGTTTCGTTGTTCCAGATTTCGGGTTGGGGGGGGGGGTTGTTTAATTGGATTTCATGCTTTTGTTAGGTATGTATCAACCGTGCAGCGGGATTTGGGATTTGATGGAGGAGGGACGTTGTGTTAACCGCGGATGACGCTCTTAGCTCTCTGTTCCATCGCGTTTATATTCTAGCGAATTATATAGTAGAAATAATGGCGCCTCCTCCGCCAATTCCCTATAGGGAACCTCCACAACCCCCTCGATCCCGTCAACCCCGTCGACCTCCTGGGCTAACAATTCAGCCTGTTGCCCAGCCCCGTCGGACCCGTCGAACCCGTCGACACCCTGCAGCGCTGGAGCCAGGAATTCAGTCTGTATCCCAACCCATTGCATCCCCGTCACATCCGAGATCACGTCCACAGTCGCGATCGAATGTACAGTTAGGACCTAATGCTGCGCAACAATCAACTTCACTAGGGATAGCACCTCTGCCGCCGCCGGTAATACCCAACCCACTAATAGCAACGAACCAGAATGATGAAAACCGAGAGGGAGACAATAACACTGACCACAGGGTACGGGATATTCCACAATTCACAATGTTCCGCATACACCAGATGATTCATGTTCTTTTGAATGATCTGCTCAGAGATCCCCAAGTCCGTCCCATGGACATGGGGATGATTGCAGACTCTGCTGTTGCGAGGCTGGCCACCATCTTCTCGGCCTCTGGAGCGCTCGGCCTTCCTGATCGCCGTAGAATACAGTTGCCGAATAATGTGCATCTGGACAAACACTGGATTCTCCCAAATGCTGTGCAAATGGGATATTTGAGCCCGGAGTTGAAGGTACTCGCTAGAACGTACCTGACCTCTGAGAAGCAACGGCAAAGAAATCTCCCATTGAGTGACATTATCGAGGGATTAAATGCGGCGATTGCAGAGGGGAAACTTTTTGGCGTGGAGGACCGAACGATATTGGTGAACCTTAGCGACATGTTTGTTGTGAAAATTGGCCAGTATGATATGCTCGATGACATTGAGATGCTGCGATATATCGCGGCAAATGCTCCCCAAGTTCCACTGCCGAAAATCCATGGTAGTCTCAGGGCAGTGGATATGAACATGGAGTGGGGTTTCCTATTCATGTCGAATTATTGTACTGGATATACACTAGGTGACCTCTGGAGCCGGCTTGACCATGAGCAGAAGATCTCAATCAGGGATCAACTAGAAGGAATTTTCAGGGCCCTTAGATCTGTCGAGCCTCCTCGTCCGTTCTCACGACGCCAAGCCACTCTTGGCGGTGGTTCTCCACGTCGCTGCAAGGACTCGCGAGGGTACACATATCTCGCATTGCAACCTCTTTACAACGAGGTGGACTTCAATAAATTTGTCACTAGTCACTTTCCCCAAGGAAATGCATGGAGTACGCAACTTAAAGACCATCTTCGGGAAGACCATAACGTGGTTATGACATATGGCAACCTCCATCCCCGGAATATCATCATAAGCCCTGTCCCTCAGGCTGGCATGCCTATTGGTGGCAATAATCCGAACCTCTACCAAGTGGTAACTGGAAATGCTACCCGTGCTGAGGTCGAAATTGCCGCACACCGCGAGTGGCGAGTGACTTGTCTTGTCAACTGGCAAAGGGGTGGTGTTTATCCGGAACACTGGGAGTATGTGAAAGCGCTGAACCCGTCTGATACGGCAGGGTGTCTGCCGCGTTGGTGGTATTATCTACCGCGCTCGATTGGGACATGGCCTATCGAGCATGCTGCGGATTGTTTGATAATGGTGCCATAGCCTAAAGGAGGAACATCGTTGTGACTGGAGTGGGCGTTATCCTTTCTGTATCTTGTTTTGTGTTTTTCTCTTTATCTGGCCCCGTTGTTTTATATTGCATCTTGTATTCTTTTATTGCGTCCGTCTGTTTGCATGAAGCTTGGTCTTTGTTAATTCCTTTCATTAAATTGGCTAAATAGTATCTGGCGTTTGATCGGAAGAAATTGATAACTGTTAATAAGAGGCTTTCACCTATCTGCATTTGTTCCCTAGCCTTATTCTGCTGCGGGGTGAATGAGCAAGCTTAGCTCTCCCGTGTAGATGCACAAGATCCATGGATGCGGGAGCTGGCTGCAGGGTATCTCGTAAAGGAGGAGCAGTGAAGACGTAGCATATTCTCCGATGTTGATTCTTGGAGGACTGAGTGGGTCGGGTCATGGGCGAGCACGCCAGACCTGCCTGGGATGCTCCCGTGCTGAGGTTGAGCTAGCTTGCATCCGAAGATTGAAAAAAGTTGAGGCGGGAAATGTAGGTAAAAGCTTAATTACCAGGGGTTTGCAAAGCATGTTTCCCCCCTAATCCAGTTAGCATACAACATCATTTAAATTTATTTATTTTTTAATTCAACATTGGACTGGCTATGTCTTTCATCCATTTTCAACCTTTCCAAATACAAAATGTTGATGTTAGTTGATCTGTTAATGAAAAAGGGTTAAAGATTGCGCTCTGGCTGAGTCAGCATCAGGTGATGATCGCTTCTGTGTTTGGCTAGACCGGGACTGCACAACTTCGAACCTCGGGGGCAAAAAAAAAATATTGTTTCTTCTTCTTTTTGTTGATGGTGATGCCTCTGCTCAGGTATCACTCTCGTGCATTATAGAACATATGTATATAACTGGACCTGTGCTCTTTCTACATTTTCATCTCGCTCTCCGACAGCTGCCATCGCGTGTCACGTCATCCGGTTCTCTCTATGGGCGCATCAATCATTGCCATCGGAAGTTCCGTCCTGTTTGATTCCGATAGAGACCAACAATAACGTTACCGCCGCCTCTTCCCCAACATGCCCTCACTGATATTACAGCTTCGTTCGCTCCATCTCTCCATGCAAATGGGCAAATGAGCTCATCCATACACACGGGGAATCCTAAAACGAAACTGGGAAAAAAAAAGGGGGTGGGGGAGTAGACACGAATCCTACGTTGCCATCCCCCTTTAGAATCCAAGCAGATTTGATGCCTTTATTTTCTTTTCTGCTCTTCTACCTTTTTCATCCCTATGCACTAGAGTGAGATTCACCCATCACACCCGTCGAAAAGCAGCTTGTTGTGATAATGCCCTCCAATATGGAGGACGTGGTCGTTAATACCACCGTCGGTTCCAAAGAACCCGTGGAACCGCAGAATGGCGTTTCTAGTAAGTTGGATTCTAATTTTGCTGCTGTGTTTTATGCGGTGGGGTGATTTATTTTGGAGTTTGAGTATAGGAGTTGGTTATTTCCCTTTATCTGTTTGAGTAGACTTATATTGTTGCACTTTTTTTTTTGTACTCCCCTTCTGTATAATGAAACCTGTTGAGTTTGATGACTTGAGGCTGGCCCCGATTCCTGGTGAGTCTGAATGTGCGTTCCCTTTAATTGGACTCTCTGACTTCTGCAAGAGAATAGGAGAACTAAATATATCGTGGTTTAGTACTTTGGCGTCATATACACATTTCTGAACTATCCTCTTTCATCATATATGCATCTCTTCAGTTGCGAGTGCTTTTACCCGAAATCAAACCAATACTTCTATAACATAGATTTACTAACAGAAAACGGCAGGAAATATGGGCCCAAGGGCAGAGGCCTCTAGCCCACAACGTCAACCAACGACTGGAGACTTGCCTGGTCGAGCTGGCGTGGAGAGTCGGCCAATCAAGCAACATCGTGCTAGCACAGGAAGGAGAGTAACAGCACGGCCAGCGCCCCACTCTTCTCCCCCTTCTATGACTTCACTGGGCTCGCTAGGCACTCAAATCCAGAGCTTCAAATTTGAATCAGTCATTCAAGATGAGAGCGACCCCGAAATGCAGGGTCGCAATGTTGAGGAAAGCTCCCATGCTCAACTAACTTTGCTCGCACAAGTCCGTGACTGGTTGCAACAAGAGAAAGCCAAGTCTGCAGCGCGGAGGACGAAGAAGACTGGTGCCACAGAAACCCCCGTGCCGGCTCTGGCCTCTGGAGATGCTACCCATGCGGCAACTCGGCAGAGAAGTGATTCCCAATGCTCTGATGGAACGTTGGCTTTGGAAAAGCTGGAGCAGATTTTAGCACAATTTCCGGTTAGTGGGAAGGAAGGTATTCCAAGTACTGTAATCCGCCGGAAGAGATCGTCAATCTCTCTCAGGCGTCGAACTGGTACAAGAAGCCTAAGGCGGGGTTCTGTATCCGATTCTGATTACTCGGATGCTGACCAGGCTGTGCCCAATGCTGATGTTGCCCTTGACAACTCCAAAACTCTTTTATACGGCGGAGGTGAAGCGGAAAGTGATTTCGGGAACCAGGGCTTAAATAAACCCACTTCTAAGGACAAAGAACATTGGATAAGATTCAAATATGAAATCGTACGCCTGACGCATACGCTGGGCTTAAGGGGCTGGAGACGAGTCCCTATCGAAGACTCTCGTAATATTGAGGTTGTTCGCCTTAGTGGAGCACTAACAAATGCCGTATATGTTGTCACTCCACCGCAAAACTCACCTAGTACTTCTTCACTTGCGCCTAAACGTCCTCCTCCGTAAGTTTATGCCATTCAGTAGTCCGGGGGTCCATTACATGAGTTAACAGTCCTTACCAGGCAACTCTTATTGCGCATCTACGGGCCGCAGGTGGAACATTTGATCGACAGAAAGAATGAACTCCAAATTCTGCGGCGTCTGGCAAAACGGAATATCGGACCCCGTGTACTGGGGTCGTTTAACAATGGCCGTTTCGAACAGTATTTTCATGCCAAAACTCTCACGCCGAAGGACATTCGAAACCCGGAGACCTCTAAACAAATTGCGAAACGAATGCGGGAGCTGCATGATGGCATTGAACTGCTGCCCGAAGAGACAGAGGGGGGTCCGTCTATATGGAAGAACTGGGATAAATGGGTTGAGAGATGCAAACAGGTGGCATCTTGGTTGGATCGCGAAATTATGTCTTCGCATAATCAGTCCAAGTCTGAAACAGAGTGCTGGCGGCGACAAGGCTTTGTGTGCGGTTCGCCATGGCCAAAGTTCCGGAAGGCAGTTGACGCTTATCGGAAATGGCTGGTAAATTTCTATGGCGGAACAGCTGCAATTAACCAACAGCTTATATTTGCTCACAATGACGTAAGTACTGTCTGTCTATGTCTTACCAACGGTTTCTCACGAGTCGCAAACTCTGATACTTTACTAGACGCAATATGGCAACCTTCTCCGCCTTGAGCCAAGCGGAGAATCTCCTCTTCTACTTCCTCCGAATGAGCATAAGCAGCTCGTAGTCATCGACTTTGAGTATGCGTCAGCCAATACTCGCGGTCTGGAGTTCTGCAACCACTTTGTAAGTTGATTCCTCCATTGATAGATTTCACTGTCAGCAGTAATTTTTCGTCAGCTAACTGACTGTACTAGACCGAATGGTGCTACAACTACCACGATCCAGACCGGCCATGGGCATGCAATACGAAGTGGTACCCCACCCCTGAAGAACAGGAACGATTCGTTAGAGCATATCTCAATCATCGACCTCACATCATACAACAGACGGAAAGACGTGATACCCAGTCCGCACCCACCTCAGTTCCGGATACAAGAACCTCTTCGAGCGCTGCGGGGACTCCAGTCTATGCTACACATTCCAACAGCCCCCGCTTGTCTCCCTTTATGCTTGACAGTCAGGATTCGCTCATCCAACCATCTTCGCGACAGGATAACGATCGAGCCGATCAAGCTCTTGATCTAGAAATACGTCGTCTCCTCCGCGAAACCTTACTCTGGCGTGCGGCGAATTCTGCGCAGTGGGTGGCGTGGGGGATTGTCCAGGCCAAAGTCACTGGGATGGAAGAAGCTCTCGCAGCAGCAGCAGCTTCCGCCTCTGCTGCTTCAACAACGACAGAGAAACAGGCGCCCGAAGCAATGGCGGAAATGGAGGAAACTAGCGCCGCAGAATCAAACGACGCAAGCGACCAGCTCAGTGAGATAGCCGACGAACACACGGGAGAATTTGATTACCTAGCTTACGCACAGGATCGGGCTCTCTTCTTCTGGGCGGATATGTTGTCGCTAGGTCTTATTAAAGAGAGCGAGTTGCCTACTGACATGGCCGAGCGGATCAAGGGACATGTAATTGGGTATTGAAGGATGCATCCTTGAAGCCATGCAAATTGGGGTTTTGAGGACGGTTACGAGTGCTGGTGTGGGAAGTGACAGTTTCAACAGAATTACGGCTATCACCCTAGCCGGGTTTGTGAAATCATTAAATTGAGTGGGCTATTCGGTGCATACACCCACCGCCTGCATTTGCTTCGAAAATTGCACTTGGGCGTTCAAATACGCCATCGTTTCCGTTGTTAATTTGCGTTCGTGTTTGGTCCCTTTTGCCTGCATCATTGCTGGTGTTTCTGGAGTTTCCTGTTTTCATAATATATTTAGAGCTTAACCTTTCTTTAAACTCATAGCAGGAAGTGGGTTGCCTTTTTTGCTCCAAGGTCGTTCTTTATTAGAATTTTCCCTGTTTAATCTGCATGGTGGGTTTTTTTTTTTTTTCTTCAAAATTTTCTGCTACGATACCGTGGATTTCTGCAGAGTTTGGGACGAGTATTTGGTATTGCGCTTGCTAAATTGACCATTGGAGACTGAGTACGTCGTTGATTGATTTGTCGATCCACCTGCGTTTTGCTTGATGGGCTATTATATCGTATGCACGGTACATACGGAGCATGTGTACAGAAGTTCTGTATTTGCAGACCCGGCTAGCAGAAGAATGAGATGCAATTGGAGGAAAATAGATTGCGGAAATTAGGTGCAGGATGACGCATCGCAGAAAAAGTGGCCTGGAATTCTCATTGATGGAACTGGGGAATCATAATAAAGTAACCCGAAAGAAACGGCCACATTACGAGAATTTATACCATAACCGGCAAAGGATAAAAGCATGCTAACTAACCACGCCTAGCTGTTCGTAAATATTTCCTCCGTTGCTACTCCAGATCCCCCCCACTCACCCCTCTCGCCCTCCTCAATTCCAACCTCCGCTGTGTCTCTTTCTTTGCGTCCTCAACCCACTTCTCGTAGGCCTCCTCCCCTTCTTTAATCTTCATCCCGACAACACCCTTAGCCACCTCCCCAATAAACCCGATAAAATTACACCTCCTCAACGCATTTTCGCTTGCCCACGCTCTCCTCTTCCTCTTCTGCCTCTCCAACATCTCTACATCCCCTATCTCTTGCGCCCGCACCCTGAGATCCTTCACTACGGCCATCAGATTAAACCGAGTCTCCCCCTCCGGGTACCGGGCAATCCTCCTCTGCAACACCTCAATAACCTTTTCTGGAAACGACCCTTCCTCACACGGCCCATGGCTAATGGGGAAGGGCTGCAATCCATCCAATTCATACAAGACACCTTTAAATGGAGTGTATGCTATGAAATGGTATAGCTCAGCATCCTCCTCGGAGATAGATGGACGGGACGTCTCGTCGACGAACGGCGAAGCGCGCGCAAAGGCATTGTGCGAGTTGCGAATCCGTGTGGAATTGCTAAGCGCCTCCCCGCGCAGGTCTGGTGGGAAACCTGTCGTGAAGTCCTTGAAACCGCGGAGCTCGGGCCCGATATCGATACCCATTTGTGAGGACTGGGACGAGGAATCTTGGTTGAGAATTACGGAGAGGACGGCCTGCGTGCCACAGGCGTTCTGGATGGTTTGAGCTGCAAAGAAGAGGCCGTCATCGGTTGCGCCACGGTCGTAGGTGCCATCTTGCGGCGTAGTCGAGTTGCAGGATTGGCCGCTAACCCATTTGAAGAGGAAGATTACGCCGTATACGGGGCTGTGGGGAGGATTTAGTATATTGTTCAGATTGCCTCTTTGTGGTGGGTCTGATAGGTAGGAGCGAGCACTATACCTTAACGACCGGATGGTGTCTGCGTCGAGAGATATAAGCTCTTCGAATTGGACGTCCTTGACCCCAAGGCTCTCTATCAACGAGGTGAAAACACCCTGTGTTCAGCAGTTCAGCAGTGCGCCCAGTCATGTTTTTAAAAGCATAGTGGCTCAGATTAGTAGCTAAGTATATATATATATCCTGGAGATTCTGGAACAGCAATTGAAGCAGATCCCAGTCCAAAGTAAGGGAGCGGAAGAGACAAACCTCATCCGACTCGATAGTACTCCAGCCACCTTCGTCCGCCATGCTTGCAGCTGCGGGTTTCTGTAATAATTCGTAGTGATCTCTCCCCTGTGATTGAGGTTTCCCGGTCAATCCGCTGCTTGTTGGGTATCCCGTGGGTTATACCGGTGCGATCCAAGAAGGGGCTTGGAATCTATGTGTATATATGTATATATTTTTCCTGGCGCTGCTTTCTTGCTGCGGTTCTCCCAAGTTCGACGTTGTTTGAAGATGAGGATGATGACGATGATGATGTCAATGCTAAGTTTGCATGTCTGGCAAACATACTTAACTACTGTTTGTGGTTTCGACTGGCGCAATTCTACAACATTCCGATTTTCCCAAAAGGCACAAAACCGAGAAGAGAAGATTATCTCCCAACTGCTATTTCTTTTTTCTTCATTTTGAATAGTCGACACAAGCAATTGTGGCTACATTCTGAGCCGGAAATGCAGAATTTCTTCTTTCGCGATTCGGAACAATTACCAGCCTCCTGCGAAGCCACCAGGAGGAACATGACGGAGCATTAGTGCGCATCCAATCTACAACTGGTTTGACCCCTGCTTATCACATCTTGCTCAAATTCGGTGTATCGCAGTTTGTTATCCATCTTCTCCCGTACAGATCGCCCTTAGCAGAAGACATATTTCCTTTAACCGGTCTTGACCCCCACAACCTATTGTGGCAGTACGTCTGAGGCAACAGTTCAAGGGACATCTGGGGTGACGGGGGAAACCATCTCCAGTGGTATACGTTTTGGGTTGTATTTGTGGGTGGGATGGATTTGCTGCAGTTTTATCAACGATGCAACAGCTGATTTTCTGGAGTTGCTCAGTTGTATTTCGCTGTTCGACAACGACCCTGAATGAAACGTATACCGGATGGAAGTCGTCGGAGGAGTTTCAGATCCAGGAATCAGGCCATTTGCAAGTTGTAGTCGTAAGTTTGCTTAAATATATCACTCCTAGCAAGACGGTCTAAAATGCGGATTCGAATCACGCCTAGCAAGATTCAAAGGCCCGTCCTCTCGTTTTAAAAAGCCCTTGGCCAAGAGTGCTAGCAGCCTTCCAAAGCAATGTTGGTGAACTGGCTCTAATATTTGAATAGTTATTACTTCTCAGATTTCTTGAGTGGCTGGAGACGAGATGCGTATTTCTAGATGTCAGTTAATCTAAAAAGGGATCTTAATATTTAACACAAGAGTTTAACCCCCAAACCACCCGTTGTTGTAGTTAGCTACCCTGATACAGACATCTCAGTATTGTAATAAATATTTTCTTAAAAGTGATGTATATATTATCTATTGCAAATAGAGCCAAAATAAATCATATAAAATATACCTATAATTTAGTTTTTTAAAGTCATCATTAATTTAGCGGAATGGCATGGTTTCAGCAGAACTCGGCACAAGTTCAAGCCGAGTGGGTGGTTTGACATCACTTGGAAGAGGGGGGGTTACTTCAGCGGGCTTCAGAGCGGGCTTCACAGTGAAATGCACTGATACAAACTCTGGAAACCTCAATGTAGTGAAGAAGTTCCAGAACGCAGGCCTACCTGGCAGTGAGATAAGTAAAATGCCGCGACTGGCGAGGAAGCTGTTGATTATTGCTGCTGTGGACGGGCTTATCCTTCAGCCCGACACAAACTCTCATCAGCGCACTCCTGGAAACAATCGATCCTCCGCTCTGCAGATCGAATACAAAACCCGCCGCATATACTCCCCGCCAACCTCCTCAAGCACCGATGACGCTTGTCTAGAGTCGCACGGCGTTGTTGGTGAGCTCCCCGATTCTATCCCGCATCGAATCGATATTGTTGATAGTTTTACTTAACCGTCTTTTTTGCCGTTCCTAGGCCTACTCTCCCTCGCCTCGTTCTCGTTCCTAATATCCATCACCCAGCGCGAACAGGTAGCTCAGATCCTAGGGAAGCCGATTTTTGTCATTACAGGCGTAGCTATCCTTCCACTGTCGTCTCAGGCGGACGCAGCTAGAGCAATTAAGAAAGCCCAAACCCTTATCTCCACCCACAAACAAGATGATGTTGGCGCTCTATCATCTGGGAGCGAAACAGATCTCTCCATTGGTCATAGCAGTGAAGACCGCGACGCAGAGGTTCCGGAATCCCCAGAGCAAGAAATACTCCCTCCGCTAAACCATGATGCCAGAAACGGAAGCACTATTGCTGAAGATGTTATAAAGAAACGAGGTCTGTACGGCAGGTTCGCGTCCCGCTGGTTTTCCAAGAATGAGTGGCCAAGGGAGAATAGACCGTCTCAAGATATGGGCTTCGAAGGGATGACTGACCCCGCCGCTGCGGGTTCTTTTAAGGGAAGAAAGAGCGGGGACAACAGAAACGATATCGTGGAGCTCGATGACCTCTCGTCTAACGGGCAGAAAGCCTCTTCTGCCCCGCAGGAAATTGATACTCCGGTAACAGGAACGGCAACCTACGAGCTAATGCCAAAGTTTATGCGCTATACGGAGATGCTGTTCAGTTCACGAAATTTTTATTTTTCTTACGATTGCGACATCACGAGAAAGTTTGGGGTCCAGGATCCTCAAAGGTCCCCAGTACCGCTCCATAGAATAGCGGACCACATGGTATGAAGCTCTTGCTGCCTTTCCACACTGCTTACCGACGCTTATTGATTTTTGCTATAGTATTTCTGGAATCGAAACTTGATGACCCCTTTCATTGACAGTGGACATTATTCATTCGTCCTTCCCCTGATTCAGGGGTTCGTGGGACAACGGGAATTCACCGTTAAGAAGTGTGCAAAAGCTCCAGATGCTCCGGATGCTGCCGTCCCTCTAGAAGGGGAATCCAAGACTTCTCGGAATACACCTAAAGCAGCCAGAGCAGATAATGAAGAAGAAGAAAATGACAAGTTTCTTCTCACTTTGATTTCGCGTCGGTCAGTCAAGCGTCCAGGGCTTCGATATCTTCGAAGAGGAGTAGACGACGAAGGCAATGTCGCAAACTTTGTTGAGACAGAACAAATATTGTCTAGGCCATCGTGGAATCCTTGGGACAAGGTGTACTCTCTACTGCAAGTTCGCGGGTCGATTCCGCTATACTTCTCCCAGTCTCCGTATTATTTCAAGCCAATACCTGTTCTTCACTACTCCACTGAAACAAATCAAGTATCCTTTGGAAGGCATTTCCACGACCTTAGCAGGCGGTATGGCGAAATTCAGACCGTATGTCTCCTAGACAAAAATGGCGTCGAGGCCAATATTGGAGAGACGTACGAACGTTTCATGGACACTTATAACAAACGAGACAACCCGGACTCACCCAGGATCGGGTTCACATGGTTTGACTTCCACACAGAGTGCCGTGGAATGAAATTTGAAAACGTCCAGCGCCTAGTCGATTCCATATCGGGAACACTAGATCGATTTGGCACTACTGTCATACAAAACCACACAACGTTGAAAAGTCAGGCTGGCATCGTTAGGACAAATTGTATGGACTGTTTAGATCGCACGGGTGTCACTCAGTGTGCGTTTGCCCAACAGGCATTGGAGAAGCAGCTCGAAAGCGAGGGCTACTCTATCGACCTGCGAACCAGCACATCTACGCAGTGGTTCAATGTTCTGTGGGCCGATAATGGCGATGCGATCTCCAAACAGTACTCCTCAACTGCTGCCCTGAAAGGCGACTATACGAGAACGAGGAAACGGGATGTTCGTGGTGCGCTCAATGACCTAGGGTTAACCCTGTCACGCTACTTTAACAATATAGTCAATGATTACTTCTCACAATCTTGCATTGATTACCTGCTCGGGATCGTCACAACACGTGTTTTCGACGAGTTCGAGATGAACCTAATGTCCACAGACCCTGGAATATCCATCGAGAAAGTACGGCAACATGCCATCGACACCAGCTGCCAGATCGTCATTAGCGATGACTCCGAGGAACTGGTGGGAGGATGGACGGTTTCCAGCCCCAATCAGCCGAACACCTTACGCTCACTACCATTCGAACAGTCCGTCATCTTGCTGACAAATGCGGCAGTCTACTGCTGTCGCTTCGACTGGGACACGGACAAAGTAACCTCCTTTGAGCGCATTGATCTTCGCTCCATTACCAGTATCAACTATGGCACCTACATCACCTCAACCCTCACCGACGTCCAGATGGACCCGAAGCACAACGTGGGCGTGGTGATCACGTATAAGTCCGGCGCAGAAAGTATTCTGCGCGTGAATACACGTTCCCTCCAAAGCCTCATCCAGCAGAGATCCCAGCAATCATCGTCAGCCGAGCTGTCTGCCGATAAAACCCTGATCTCAACATCAACAGCGGCAATGGCTGCAGCACCTGCCCGAAGCCCAACCTCAACACCAGGCCCGGACTGGGATATCTCCTCTCTATTCAAACCAGGCAGTAAACACCCTTCCTCACGCTTCATGGCGTTCAAAATCCTCCCGCAAACCAACCTGACCACCAGAAATGCAGTTGGCAATGTGCAGCTTGAAGTAAGGGATTCAGCACGTGCGATCTGTGAAGAGATTGAACACGCTGCGCTACGGAGTGCGTTTGAGCCAGGTAGAGACGCCAGCGGCGGTCCTGGGGATATTGATACGCGGTCGATGGTTGAAGAAGTGGAGATTATTTCGTTGGCTGATGCGAAGAAGCGGACAGGGTATTTGGAACACTTGGTATTTGATATAAAGAAGTTTGTTTGGGCTTGAAGTTCTTTTTGTTTTTCATGTCATAAGATGGCTAGTGAAATCCCTTTATTGTCACCTTGTAATATTTCTCCTTTTGTTCTTTCCCTTGATTGTGTTGTTGATGAACAGCATTCATGTATTACATATGAAGATACCCAGGTGATAAGCGTTAGAATGTTCTTGTTAGACATATACGCTGCGGAGGAGGGAACGGCCGTTGAATCGGCTATGATCATTTTGTTCATACTTTTTTCATCATCAAAAAATGCTTGCTTCTGCTTGCGGCAGAGTAATGTGAATGGGAACTTCCTGTGTTTAGGTTGTCACAACTTCTCGGGGAAGAGAGGAATCGCCATCCACTTCCCTCCCTCATAGAGCTGAATCCCCCCAAACTGAGAGGTACCGCCCTTCGTCTTGCGCCTTTGGAAATATTAGTAATCTACACAGCTGGACTGTTTCCGTCGGACAACCGTGAGCCAAGGGTGCCTTTTTGTCACGCCAGTCATTGGGGACCAAGGTTAATATGTAAAAGATCCAAGGGTAAAGGGAATCCTTATTAAGGGTGAACCACTAGGAGAGAAGAAGTTTGAAATATTTCTTGTAAGATTTGCATGAGGCATATGGGAGTGCATTCATATGTGAATTCACGGGGATGGATTGACAACTGAATATACAGCCCACAAAGGGGAAAGCCAAACTGAACGTAGAGAGCAAGACGTTGAGTTCCAGCAGCACAGAATCGATGTCAATCATAACCTCCTGGTTTTAATGCTAGGGATTCGGATCTAGCGAGCGTCATCAACGAAGCCTTGTCGGCTTGCTTCCCGGGGCCCAATTCGGGAAGGTTTTGACGTATTCGATATGTTCTAGAAGCAAAAAAAGAATCCAGTCACGACCCCCCTGGGCCCCTGATCCTTGGTGAGATAGAGAAGATCGCTTCTGAAAACGCGATGAAAGTGGATATTCGTCTCGCTTGATTTCGACCAAAGTTGCAAAAATTCCTAGTGTGTGATGCGCACATATGTACCACTAACAACCCAATCAATCGCTTGGATAACTAACTATAACGGCCAACCATTCCCAGAGATTGTCGGAATTGGTTCTTCAGCAACCTATACAACGTCAGCGAGGCAATCGTCTATTTTACCAGAAACCAGCGGAGATGCCCGATTCCAATCCATGCATTATCTTAGGGTATTCGACCTCGAAAAGTGGACTGTTTGATCATTTCTTTTCCTGTCTGAACCGCCCCGTATATTCTTATGTCCAAGACAGCCCGGTTTATTTCAAGGGAAGGGAAATAGGTCATAGTGGGGGGCATCTCTACAAACAACCCCAAACCTTGTGTGGCTTATGTGCGTCGGTGGCCATGATTTTGAGTCTTATGGTATAGGTACCTGAAGCGACCAAGGAGCAAGGGCCAAACACACAAGAAATTCACTGATCAACGCATTTCATGTAGGCCACCATTTTCACTCAGGACAACATGAATTGTTGTTAGGCAACTCCACACCGCTTGTGGCAACACAGGGACAAGTTGTACTGTGTATTCAGAATAATCCATCGGATGTGTGGATGTTTGGATGTTGCTGTCTCTGTTTGTCCCAAGCGTTCTGCTGCCCGCCACCGCCCTCTCTTATCGGGTTAATGCCCTTTTGGGGACGAACGAACTGCCACCAACCAAAACCCAACCCCGTTGTTATCAAACCAACCGCAAACGATCCATCCTGGCGCAAAATTTCACTGCTGCCAAACAACCCTGCCGGCGCTCTCGTTCCTCTCCTCTCCTCTCTTCTCTTCTCTTCTCTTCTTTTCCTTCTCTTTTTTCTCCCCCTCCTCCCTTGGGCTGCGGCACTTCTCATGTAGCAAATCAAGTCCTTGATCTACCAGGTTGGTCTCCCGCATCGACCTTGTCACCCCCTGCAGATTTCAATCCCATCTCCAATAATAACCCTAATTTCACCCCGCCATCCTACTAAAACCGTCTTGCAGTTAGAAGTCCACCTCATCCGCTATCAGCGAAGGCTTAAATCCCCCGGAAACCTAGTGGCAGGAGTCGCATTGTTGTTCGGGCTATTTTTGACTGGCGATACGGGCGCGTCGCCGGGAACCTGACCGTGGACGTCCTCTTCCTGTGATATATTTATTCTTCACCTAGAGCTCTCCGCACTGTAGATTAAGTTCTGTGGTGGGCATTTCTCTACGGATTTCTATCACTATGGCATGGCAGCCGCAGGACGAGCCATTGAGGCAACTGGCTGGGTTCCTAAACGATTCACTGAACGGATCTGATAGCTCTGTCCGAAAACATGCTGAGCAGGTACATTTGTACCCCCCTGCCCCATCGTTCCAAACTTTTGCATCAAAAAAGGGATTTGTTCTCCTCCCTTCGCTCCTCTCGGGGGTAGCTAGCTAATGGCGATTGTTTGGCAGATGCTGGTGCAAGCCACAACGTCCCCGGACTTTGCAAATTATCTCACATACCTTTTCAGCACCCCCCAACCCCCTCCTCAGATCGGGTTTAGTCCCGAAACATATAATGTCATTAGAGTTGCAGCGTCGTTGAATCTGAAAACGAAACTTAAGATTGCATATGGAACAGTTGCGCCAGAGAGTCTGGCGTATATTCGATCCTCAGCACTTGCAGTACTTCAGGATCCATCCCCCCAGATTCGAAATTCAGCCGGGTCCATAATTGCGGAGATTGTTGCCCGAGGCGGTCTGCTAGCATGGCCAAATCTGCTGGACGAACTCCTATCTTTGGTCTGCAATTCCTCGGGATCAGTGCCAATTTTAACCCAAGAGGCAGCCATGTCAGCTCTTGCGAAGGTCTGCGAGGATAATAAAAAGCTTCTGGACAAAGATTTCCAGGGCCAGCGCCCATTAAATGTTATTATCCCTAGGTTATTGCAATGCACATCCAATCCTAGCCCGAAAATCCGCGCTACAGCTCTCTCAACCATTCACATGTTCCTCTCTCAGAGGTCCGATGTTTTAATCGGCTCTCTAGATACATTTCTCAATCACGTCTTCCAGCTTGCCAGCGATCCGAATACAGATGTTCGGCGGACAGTATGCCAGTCATTTGTTCAACTTGTCGATATTGCCCCTGATAAACTTGTTCCTCATATGGCAGGGCTGGTCGAGTATGTTCTCTTGCAACAGCATGACCCTGAAGATCCGGAATTGGCTTTGGATGCAGCGGAATTCTGGCTCGCTGTTGGGGAACAGAAAAAATTACAAGAACCCATGGTCCCATACCTAGGTAAAATTATACCGGTTTTACTTCGCAGTATGATATATGATGAAGACGACGCGATACTTTTAGCTGGAGAAGAGGACGACGCCGATACTGAAGACAAGATAGAAGATCTGAAGCCTCAGTTTGCCAAATCTAAAGGTTCTCGGTTACAGTCCGCCGGCGGTGACGGCAAAGCTAACGGTGATGCTCCTGCCAATGAAGGAGTCGGTGGCGATGGTGATTTAAGCGAGGGAGAGATAGCAGATGATTACGACGAGTTGGGAGATGACGACCCCGAAGCAGAGTGGACATTACGAAAATGCTCAGCCGCTGCACTAGATGTCTTTGCCAACGTTTATCACCAGCCTGTTTTCGAAATAATACTGCCATATCTAAAGGATAACCTACGGCATACCCAGTGGACAAATCGAGAAGCAGCTGTTCTAGCGTTAGGTGCTATAGCGGATGGCTGCATGGATACCGTTACGCCTCATTTACCAGAACTCATCCCTTACCTTATATCACTCCTCTCTGACCCCGAACCAATCGTCAGGAAAATTACTTGCTGGTGCCTGGGGAGATATTCAGAGTGGGCTGCTCACCTCCCCGAGGCTGAGAAGGCAGTCTATTTCGAACCGATGATGGAGGGAATTTTGCACAGGATGTTGGACAACAATAAGAAGGTCCAGGAGGCAGCTGCATCGGCATTCACCAGCCTAGAAATGAAATCGGACATGAACCTTCTGCCCTATTGCCAGCCGATATTACGACAATTCGTTCTGTGTTTTGAGAAATACAAAGATCGAAACATGTACGTGCTCTACGACTGTGTCCAAACCTTAGCTGAAAATGTAATGTCTGAACTGGCAAAACCTGAGTTGGTGGAAATTCTCATGCCTGCACTTATCAAACGATGGAACAAATTATCCGACCAGTCGAGAGAGCTTTTTCCTCTTTTGGAATGCCTGGGCTACGTTGCCGCCGCATACGGAGATGCTTTCTCGCCGTTTGCACCTCCAATATTCACCAGGTGTATCAAAATCTTATACACCAATATCCAGGATTATCTCACTGCCATTAACAACAACACTGGCGATGAGCCAGATAAGGATTTTCTAGTAACGAGCCTAGACATGCTTGGTGCTATCATCCAGGCCATCGAACCCCAGAAAAGTTCAGAACTTGTGAGAACATCGCAACCACCGCTCTTCGAGCTCCTTTGCTTCTGCCTAGAAGATTCCAATTGGGAAGTGCGGATATCATCTTATGCCCTCCTTGGAGATTGTGCTATCAATATTTTCCCTACTGTCGAACCCGTCCTCCATACCATAGTTCCCATTTTAATCAAACAGCTTGATCTTAACTCAATAAGAGACGATGAGTCAGAGAATGCTCTCCGTGTGATCAACAATGCTTGCTGGGCTAGTGGAGAAATTGCCGCTGCCAGCAAAGCCGGCATGGCTCCATTCCTAGAAAATCTCTACCAGGCGCTCGCTACAATCGTGAGCAACGAAGAAGTCCCCGATTCTGTCAATGAGAACGCCGCAATGGCACTGGGCCGGTTGGGTATCGGATGCCCCGAGCAGCTTGCTCCCCATTTAGGAGAATTCGCGGATATGTTCCTCCGGTCAATGGCGAAGATAGACTTTACGCGTGAGAAGGCAAGCTCATTTTTTGGGTTCAATCAAATCGTCCGGCAAAATCCAAAAGCTATGGAAAGTTGTCTTTCGGATTATTTCCATGCTATCGCGATATTCCCGCATAAATCGTTGAATCAGCCGCACTTCCATGATTTGCAGCAATCTTTCCAACAGGTAAAGAACTCCTCAAATGACTTGCAAGCTACAGTTTTTTAGACCATTATTGCATTTCTATGTTTCCATCTGTGTCTTACACGTTTCCACATATAGGTCCTCCAAGGATATAAAGATTTGATTCCGGACTTCAACGCCTTTATGGCATCACTTCCCCCGGCCGTTTCTAGAAAACTCCAAACAGCATACCAAGTCTGATACGAAACGCAGTTTTGTTATTTTATGTTTATAATGTGTTAAGAGATAATAAATTACCCCATATACACAAGAAACCGCCTGATGGCAATGAATGATATGATAATATTTAACTGTTTCGTTTTCATCCAACACATTCTGAAGGAATGCTGCCAAAACAACTTTTAAAGCTCTATATACTCTATTTTCAAATGCGTACGTTTTGAGGGTATTTTCGTTTATTTTCTCTACTTCGTTTGGCATTGGTACCTTCTTCCCTGTTTTACTGGGCTCCATGCACTCTTGACCTACAGCTGTAACCATGTCTCCGTTCCTAAGATCAGTCGTATCTTCGTGTTTTGTTTCCTGAAGACACTTGGAGAAGTGGCAAAATAATGCATCTATTCGTTTCGTTGTGTTTTGTTTCGCCTCCGCATTTATTTATGGCGTGAAAGAACAAACGCATATCATAACCGAAAGGGCTGGAAAGCCAAATTATAGCTCTTTGTTGGCATATTCTGACAGCTGCAGAGGCGCGGGAAAGATCCAGCTAGATACAAGCAAAAAATAGCTGGGAAATTAGAGCCTTATGCTTGACCAGCCGGAAAAGCGAGGGAGAAGTAAATATTAAGGTTTATCCCTGATAGATTGAGGAAGAGGCGAATGCGATTATCTATCCTCCCATCGGCTAAAAGATCTCTTCCTGCCTGAAGATATTTGTTTGAGCTGCATTTTTCTCAGTTCTCTTATTTTCTTCGCAAGCCCGTTGGCTACATACATTCTTAACCGTATTTTTCCCCGATGTTTTGAATGATTCTACTTCATCCAAGGGATTTTCGATTTCCCTACCTCATTCCTTTCTACCTCGCGATATCGTGTATACAGTGTTTAGTCTTATATACATACCTATCCTCTTACGTCTTACACACTTACCAACCTTCCCACCGCATATTCTCCAACATTGCTGCTATGCATCCAGTTTTCATATCCGTACGGAAGGCACCGATGTGTGGGCACTTGAGAAGAGCCTATAGGGATTCTCTTTTTCTGCTGCTGTCCTAGCATCATCGACCGTCCCTTTATCATTGATTATATTTGATATGTCCTTTTCCTGTCTCCTGGCGATGTTGACGAGAGGTCAAATTAGGTAGCAGAGTTCTGTAATTATTTTCCTATGCTTCTTGCTTTCAGCCCGGTCCTGTACCTTCATCTCCATCAGCGATTGTTTATTTTTTAGATAGGTAGACGGAAAGTATTTCATATCTGCGGAACCCAGAGGCCCGGGGTTATTCTCACTACTAGATCTGTATTAACTCACGGAATAACCAGATAGCCTCATTAAAAAAAATCTCTAGACCAAGAAATTCCAGATGCTTCGTTCGTGCCGTGCGGCCCGCTCAGGAATCCGCCTCCGTATCCCATTTACCTCCAACAATGATGGAGGAATATCCGTGTATCTAACGCAGCACCCAGCTTTTATTCCGCTGGAACATCGCATGTTATCTTATCAGGTATCAGTGTAGATATTAAATAGTAAATAGAGGGTGGGGTGCAGAGATGAAGGCCTCTGACTGCACCACCAGCGGAGTATCTTTTGAGTAAAGTTGGCATGCACACTGGACTAGGGCTTTATTTCCATTCTTCCCTTTGGCCCCAGCCCACCCTCAGTTAATCGATCGCGAAATCGATCAGCGAGCTCCGCTCCCTCTCGGAATTGAGAGCGCTCCGGTCTGCGACGATAATGGCCTTTGTTACAGTCCAAAATAAAAAATAAAAAAAATACAAAAATAAAAATGAAGGCATGCACAGAAAGTAAATAAAATTAGGAAGAGAGACTCAGAAAGGAAAAAACAAGCGAAAGACCTCGACTTTTTGTTTCAAGCCTGTGAAACAATCAGTCGGAGTCTCTGTATTGCACTGCTGTTATGTATGCAACTGGGTCGTTGTGCATGCACATGGATTGGGGTCTGCTGCATCCATGGATCGATTGTTGTACAGAAACCACACACGTGGGAAAACAAAACTAAAAAGCGGAGCAGATGCATAATTCCAGTGCTCAATAACTTCTGTCTTTCCTGAGATATGTTTTGCCCCTGCTAATGCATGCCAGGAGAAGTAATGACCTGCATCGGTTTCCGTGGGTCTAGGATGATGGTGTCGCCAGTCACCTCTTGTCCGCTCTGCCCGTTAATGACAGAGTTGATATTTCCCTGCCGTAACACAGATTGAATGAAGGTCAAGAGACAAAATCTGACGTGTCTTGTGATGCCACTTTTGCTGATATGTTAGTTATCCGGTTTGTGGCAGTGAGTTGCTAGGAGTTCAGCTTCTGCTCTGGCTCCGTTTATCGCGAAGAATTCAAAGGCTCGTTTCTGCAGCCGGGCCAAGGACTGCGGACGCGAGGGACGGCTAATACGAACATGGAACAAGTGGACGGAGTATGCATAATATAGGATTGTATATCTCTCTTGTCGTGAATCCCTTCCTCTGTCTCTTACCATATCTTTTCAGAGCCCTGGATAGCGCCATCGATAGAAATGATGCTTAGTGCTTGTGACCGGGAAAAGGCCCCCCAGCGAGCAAAGCCTCGAACTAACAAGCATGTTAAATTTAGCTGCCCCATCTCATAGATCAACAGCAAGCAAATACATCTCTTGTTTTGTGGAAATTTATTTTACGTTGAAGGTTGCCTTGCTCACTCACCTAAACATCACCGAACGCCGGACGAAGTCGTTGCTGCGGTGGGGATTCACACCATTTCTGGCTATATCAGTTTTAATATGGCATAAGCGGCTCTGCCCATTCTCCTTCCCGATTTGCTTGCACGAGCTGTTTTGTCGATTGCTGACTCTGCTGAGCATTGTTCCCCTGCATCGTAGCCGAGTAGCGGCCGAATGGTCGCAACTGGCCACCCATTGGCTCGGTGAAGGCCGATCCTGATCGATAATTAAGCCAACATATATGTTATCCGCATACATGGATGCAAAACTGAAAATTGAAGAGGGAGTCATAGAGAATGAAATGAAATGGAAAAAAAAAGGCGAAGGGGAAGGGGAAGGGGAAGGAAAATTTTCTTTAACGTGGCTGACCAGAGGAACCGTATCAGTGACCCTTATGATAAGGATGGTATGAAAGAGACGGATCATGAAGCCAAGAATATGAGCACCATTCGAGTTTTACGAGGCTTGTGGGATTATTATCTGTCACAAAACGCTCACAAAATGGAGATGTATTTCTCGTGATGTTGTAACTAAGTGCCTGGGATTCAGTCGACTCTTCGCTCGGAGCGAATGGTTTCGAGCCCTGCTTCTCCCTTGCACGCTCCTATTATCTCTCCTTTTGGTGTTTCATTTGTTTTCTTTCCTTTTTTTTTTTTTTTTTTTTTTTTTTTTCGTTTGACATGAACCTGACAAGGGAGACTTGGTTTGATTCCCATTGCGATTTGCGCCGTTCGCTTATTAGGGCACTTAAACAGTTAACCCAAATTCTCTGATTAAACAACCCTTGGGAAAAGACAGGTCGTTAAGCACCGGTTGAAGCAGTGCCACAAAACTTCAAACCACTCTTCTTCAAACAAATCGCCCAACTATGCATACTGTATGTCTGTCACCCGGAATACATCGGGGCGGGGTCCGGGGTCCGTGGGATGTCCGATAACTGCTCGAGCCGTGGCGGCGCGTTGCCCCCATCCTTAGAAGCACACCTCTCAATATCCCCCCAGAGTGCAGTTTAGCCTCGAATCAAACCAATTATTTGGTTGCGAGGGAGCGTTCATCATGAACGCATCGTCGGCCCAAACGGAAATGTAGGGGGGAAATGTCAAATCTGTGTAGTGGTTCAACAATGCGACCAACGCAGCCGCTGCTGGTGCTCGCAAGCACAGTGACCGCAGAAGAAAGCCTTGACGGAGAGGCAATGGAGTTGACTGGAGAGTAATATGGAGTTTTGGGAGTTAAGAACCAAACGAAGGGCAATTGTAACAGTTCTTGTTGGTGAAATCTTTTTTTTGACACTTGGGGCGGCCCGAGATACCATAAACTATCCCATCTGGAGCCAGCCTATCAGCGGCGTGTGGCACAGTGGTAGAGTGGTTAATACGTGAGACTTGAACTTGCTGTGGTCACCCGATCGCAGTTTCATCTTCGACATCTCATGCCTTCGGGCTCGTAGGTTCGAATCCTGCCTGTGTCGACTCTTTTTTGTCTTTTTTTAGTCCTTTTCCCCGTTGCAATATCATCCAGCCGCTGCTTTTTTGTTGTAGCTATCCCTTTCTGTAAGAATTAATCTTTTTATTTTATATTTAGTTTTTAGATTTTAGATTTTTGGTGGGGTGGGGGTGGGTGGCATCATCATCATCAGCCCACACAGCCCACTCCCAAACGACTCAAGATTTCTTAAAAAGGCAAAACGTATTTATTATTCTACCGAACGACGTATCCAAACCAAGAATGATTCGCAGAGTCGCAAACAGGTTTGTGTCAACTTCCATCCTGCTTATCCTTTTTGCCTCAGTGCTAACCGGAATTGATATCTAATCCGTCAGCAACCTTTGATGTTAACGTTGATAACTTCCGTCCGTCTGTTCCATCCCGTCCAATGGCGGCAGTACGCACGGTGTTGATTTCAATATATACCATTCAATGGTCACAATGACAAGTTACCTGAAAAACATTGCCCCCTATGGGCGTGATTTTAACTACATCATCTCATTATCGGTAAGTTAGGGTCCAAATTGGATGAACCTGCGTCAAAGACCGCGCGGGGAATGAGAGCATATAGACATGTAAAAATACTTAAGAAGCACATCCATGCGCTGCGCTGGTAAGAGAAGCCAAGGTTGTGGGGGACTTGGGGTTCATATGTTTCCAAGTGAGGAACTAGAGTTTTCCCAGGGAGAAACACCCCTCCCCAGGATTTCCTATGGGTCGCCCACGAGTAGAACTGCCAGAGAGATACCGTCACTCTCCCTTCACGCCTGGTGAAAAGGGGAACGATCGGATCATAACGACTAGGACGAACAACCATTGGATCCGAGTTGCCCTTTTTCGGTACCGACCGAAACACAAGAGTTATTGCGGCTGCATTGATATCCCGACAACGTCGGTGTCGGGATTGATTCTCACTGGTGACCCTTGTGTCTGCCTCCTGGTCACGTTGGGCAGTTAAGACTTGGTTCGCTTTTCAACTAGATAGTTAACTACCATTTTGGAAACCCACCACCCTACATAGAATTTTGTGTCGAATCGCAGATGGCGACGGGGACCTCCAGAGAGAGAGCTTCACGGATGAGGGCTATGTTTTCCTGCCCGAATAAAAAGATTTGGCAACAACTTGTCAAATCTGGAGTAAGCTGCCGGTCAATCACCTTTTGGCTTGAGAGTAGAATAGTATTCTCGCGACACTATGATGATAAATATGAGGTTTCTGTGGCTGTCGGGCTTACTCCATGCGAACAAAACGACAAATCCGCACAGAGATCAGAGTGGCCCAACGGTAGTTTTCTGGTTGGTTGTCAGGCCGTTTTGGGTCATATTTGAAGATGTTCGTTCGTGCATCCCGTGGTACTCCCGCCCGGGTAGCATTCTAACTGGGAGCCTTGTTCTGGCCAAAGAGCACTCATTCTCTGGAACCAATGCATTTCGATCAAGATCGTCTTAACTCAGCCGCACGCCACCAGAATGAGGGTAACGTTATGCACACTGCCCGGATTTTGTCGGCCTTTTAACGGAAAGAGGAAAAGACGATAAAAAAAGAAAAAAGAAAAAAAAAAAAAATTCAATTACTGGAGGACAGAAATAGAGGAGGCGCAGCAGCTCCAATGTTATTCTTTGGAAGGGGAGCCGGATAGCGATTCTTTCTTTGTGATCTGCTATCAGAGGTTTGTTTTTGCTGTGCAGCATTGAAAGTGACGGGATCCAGGGATCAGTCTGCGGTCCACATGGCAACCTGGGATGGCTCCCAGATCTATATTGCAAAAAGCGCGCCCGCCTGGCCTACTGGAATGTTCCTCTGTGGAACGTAGCCGAATGAGGAACTTGCCCTTCGAAGCACGGTTGGTGGTGATGTTGATCGGTATCGTGTAAAAAAAAAAAAGAGCAGTTTCTTGTGTAATTACCCTGCTTTGAATTAGACGCAGCTGAAGGAAGGGGATTTTTTGACTATGAAAATGCTTTCGCGGTAATAACTACAATACAACTTCGAAAAGCCAATAAATTCTCCAGAAAAATTTTTATTTTTTCGAGAAACTTGTTTTAACCCCCGCTCCTCTCTCGAAGCGAACTGCAAGGATTACTACTCCATCAAACCTGATTAGCTGGATTCTCTTCATGCTCTCCTCCTTCAAACCTCCAGCCGTCCAGCTCTGAAGACAGCGGTTGATCGTATTCGGGACGCTGGTGTCCCCGCATTTCTGCTCTCTCTCTCTCTCTCTCTCTCTCTCTCTCTCTCTCTCTCTTTTATTCTATTATTTTTTTATCTTTATATATATATATATATATATATCTATTTTATTATGATGTTTTGAGAAATTGTTTTCATCATGCTGGATCATCTGCATTCGGCTGATGCTATTTTTATGTTTAAAGGTAGGAAACAATATCTATATTTGGATAAAGTGTCGTAGGGAGGCAGCTTGACTCCTTCGAGGCATTTAGCATCGTCGTTGGCTCCAGATTATTGTTTCAAGAATTATACTGTTTCTTCCCGCGCGCGGGGAAAGGGCTGTACCGCGCCACGTTCTTCTTAACACTGCCTCTGACAACACCACTTTTGGCATGCATATCTGTTTCAGGTTGTGCTAACATGTTGTCCCAAAGATTGCCTCCTGGACGCAGGAAGAGAAAAGATCCCTGGTAGAAGAAGAAGCCTTGTTCGACTCCCGAGGGGGTTAGCGGAAGAGAGAAATTGAACATGACCAAGACAAAATAATTGATAACAGTTATTATGGGCTAGATGAAGTGCTGTCCACATACTTGTAAGCTAGTACCTCCCCTCAAGCCATTCAACGAGTTAAATTACTCCAGAACCCATTGGTGATTGGTTGTGTTCTGCATATGCTGTTGATGGTTGTACTCGAGCTATTTTATTTCTTGGAATAGACGTCATGCCGTCGCTGTCGCATGTGAAATGTTGCAAATGTTTTTGGCTGTCCATGTATGGACCATATTGGATGTAGACTGGCGGGGCCAGGCGCGGAACGGAGCGGCTTGAGACGCGGGAAGATGAAGGATACCGAGGCCGAAAAACCATGCACTCCTTTGTTTGTTTGGTGAGTCACTCTCGAACTCGCTGTTTAGTTTCAATGCTATTGGCAAATTATTCAGCAAAGTCCGTCCTGATGCATCTAGTTAGTTAAACGTATTTCCCAAAGCGAGCGCAAACACTCAAGTGAGCGCAACACCAAAACCACCAGAGCTCAACTCATTAGATTTTAATTCAAATTTATCTCAACACTACAACACTCAATTAAATTAAATTAAAATTACATGCAGTTGAGAACATTTTAATCTTGTATGCCTGAGATTATTACAATTTTGCTGCAGTGTTGTGGAGCTCATCAGCATGGAGCAGGTGCAGATAGTGAGGACTCATGGGATTGAATAACTGGCTGTTCAACAGGTGCTGCAGACTCTGCAGATGGTGCAAATGAGGCTAGAAGACTTTGAACTTCTTCACTAGTTAAACCTTCTACTTCTTGTTGAATTTGGTGTCTAGATCTCTTGCATTTTTGCTTCTCAATCTCATTCATGTTGAATATATCCTGATATTGCTTCTTCATAAATAATGACACTGACCATCCCATATTCACAGGCCTTGATAATTTGATCAAAGCTTTTACTCTGCTGTAGCACTCACTACTAGTAATAATCTTAGTAGTGGCACAAACTCCCATAGCAAATCCAGTCTCATCAAAGTTGTATATATCTTCTGACAGAATTCCATGCTCAGCAATTGTATCTCTCAAGGTCTTAAACCAATCATATATATAAATCTACTGATCTCCACACTTAGTCTGTTCATGATTATAGCACCTGGAATAGCAGCTTTGGAGCTCTGGACAGTGTGCCACTAAGATTTGACACTCAGTTCTTGCCAATGCAGAGAGGGGGAGGTGGTGGAGTTGGTTGAATTCTATATAGTAAGAAGATAATTAGCTGTATTCTCAATCAATGCTGGCTGTAGGGGAAATCCTTGTTTAGCCTGGTCCAGCACTCATTCAACTAGCTTATCTTCTTCAGCAGAAGATAATTTGTGTGAATTTGCATGTAAATTTATCCTTGATTGCCAGACATTCAGTCAATAGATTAAAGTAAGAAGAATTAAGAGACATTAAATAAGCAAGCAGCTTCATGAATTGAAGCAATTTCTTGATTTTTAAAAGTATTTATCATGAGCTCAAGTCTTCCCTCTCTTTCTAGAGAATCTGAAGCATATTTATTGTGAATTGGTGGCATAATTGCACATTGAAGTGGAAGGGTAGTTAAATTAAAAGATATTTTGAATTGGTGTTGCGCTCGCTTGGGAAATACGTTAGTTAGTTACCAACCCGTCTGATTAATAATGTAACTGTCACTCAGCAACCAGGAAGGAAAGATAGGGTAGATTGCTGCGGTGGTATTCCTCCTAGGTTAGCAAGAACTTTGAAATTTCATGTGGATAGGCGGTAATGATTTCAATCCTGATATTCAGCCCACGGTGACTCCAAAATCAAAGTCGAAATATAGCACTCTGGAGGCGCAGAACCTGCCAAAAGAGGAAATTGCTTGGGTCATTGTTGTTAGCCAAAATAAAATAAAACTAAAAAAAAAAAAAAAAATTATAAAAATTATAAAATAATTCATGGCACCGGTGAAGGATGAACGCTAGAACCCACAAAAGGGGATCTCCGCGTCTGTGCATTTGCACCGCCATGCCGAGGATCTCCTGGAGCTTCACATTCCCCGAATAATAGTGTTCACCGTACGGACAGCAGCCGAAGTGAACGTTGTTGGAACCTTAGTTCAAGATTATGTGTGAATAGAGAGGAGAACAAGAAAAACGTTGATATAATGCAAATAACCACTGCAAAAAAAAAAAAAAAAAAAAGGAAGTCCAGCGCAGTAATCGTGTGAACGGCTAATGTGTCCGCATCTTGCCGCTGAACCAGGGCTGTGTTTGTTGATGGGATGGTGCTTCGTTGAGCTTAAATCCACCCCAAACCATGACTGACCATTTCGGGGGGCTTCTTTGGGCCAGAAGAAAACAACCAATCAGGGGAAATCTTCAATCGAATCGAGAATCAAAACTGATATCAGGAGAGGATCAAAGGCGCTAACCGATTTCAAGAGTCTGGTAAATTTAAGGTTAACTGCGCCATCCGCACTCCAATACGAATTTCCCTTTGAAGGTAAATGCGCTGACATCGAATTCCAGCCGAGGCGAAAGCAAAACGAGAGTGTTAGCAGCTTCTGAGCCCCGCCATAACATCGCCATTTGGAGGTTCAAGGTTAAAGAAGGATTTTATTTAACACCCCAAAGCTTCTTCTTTTGGCCAATCTGCATGCTGTTTAATCTGGACCATGATGATTTAATGAATGTTGCAATGGGTTGTTTACCTAGGTGACCGCCTTGAACAGCTTAAAAGTTTGACAATGTCCGTTGATATATATGTAAACAACCCAAAGCCACAGTTTCCCTTCAGTTTCAAGATAGGACAAACCTTTTTTTATATATTTTCCAGATAAGTAAGAGGATGAATGTTCTCAAAAAGCAAAACAGATTAGGTCCCGACCCCACCATGATCAATGGCTATTCCAAGGTTGAGAGCTCCTTTCCACGTGATGATGCACCTTGCAAAGGCCAGGTAGGTCCATAGTTTGTCCACATGGTTTTGTGTACGACTTTCGGCCAATGGAAGAGGGAGTTTTGGTGATATTGTGGTGGTTGGTCTCATATCTCGCTGTAACCCAAGGACGCGATATTTATTTCCCCTGGTAAGATGGCAGCTGTCGGCCAAAGGGCGTGCATCTTGAAGAAATCATGCGCCATCAGTTTTGAAAAGTTGTCATCTTCTCCAGGGCTCAGAGGTTGTTTCGTCCTGCCGTCTTATATGAGGCATTGGAAAGCTTCAAGGGAAGTAAGATGCGAACCCAGAGGATAAATCGGCATCATTTTTATTCCCGCTTCCTCTTTGGTGTATCGCTGTTTGAATTTAATTTTCTTTTTTATTTCTTTTTTCCTCCTTTTGGGTAAATATATATGCGTCATTATACCGTTTATCCCCTCGGAATCTCACTACGAATTGCGACAATCATAGGTGCGTGAAATGGTTCGTAAGTCGCGCAACATATCGTCGGCTCTTCTACCAAGGTATATTTGATATCGGGAGTTTTCCTAGCTGCAACAGACATCAAGCCTCCGCGGGGCCAAGCATTACTGTTTTGTTGACAAATGGTAAAAAGGCCGAAGTCCCCAGCTCTTCTCAAATGGAACCGGTGTAAGGATGCATGCTAAATAGCCGAATATTGGTTACCGGTACGTAATTTACTCGAGGTAACTTTGCAACTTAGCATCTTCCCAAATAAGAATGGTCAAATACGTAATATCGGGGGGGAAACTTGCAGAAAATCGCTTCCTTCTGCAATATGACTGGTGACGGGTTCAAAGTATGTATCGTCGGCCAGAGACTGATAACCTGACCCAACCCTTGGAATGAGCTCCACCGCGAACCCCAGCTAGACGCCACGCCCCCTTATTATTATTAATAATTATTAATAACTGAATTGTCCAAGAAGCGCGGTTGACCTTTTGGCTTGACCCAAGACTTTCCCGTCCGTCTGACTGGGATTTTTTTTCACCCCACTTAGGCAAAAGTGTGAATATCGATTTCCAGATTGGGTTTGACAAGTCGCAGGGATTTGATTCATTCCCTGGGATCTGATAGGCTATATCAAACCTTTTGATCCAAGATGATGCCTGCAGATCCAAAGTTTCTTTGCTTTGTTTGATAGTTTTGCTTTTTATATTCTCGCTTCCGCATCGGTGCTGGAACGTGTCACAAGGTTGAGCCTGACAGTCAACCTTACCATGCAATTAAAATAGTTCCTCCAATCCTGCACTGTTATCCTCCAAGCGACCCTATTTCATGATCCATCGGACCACTAAAAGGCCAACAACCCCTTGATCCAACTGATGACATTCGGTTGCACTTTAGTCCCTTTTTGCAGCTCACAGTAAGACCTTGTGTATCTGGCTTTTCCACAGCTCATCAATTATTTTAAAGATTTGCTTGCGTTTGTTTTTGCTTCCGTCGTCTGGGGTGGATGAATGATTCCAAAGAATCCGTGGTTGATTCGGGTCATTAAGATCTTCTCATGCCCACCGTTTAGATCCGAGCTTTCGTCCTTCAATCGGGTGGGATTGAACGATGGACCAAGAATAACCAGCCTGGAGGACTCACTCAGGGGACTAAAATAAAACAGCGAGAAGGTCCGATCCAATCACAATATAAGGATATCAAAGATATTGACACAGCCAACAACCCTGGCAGAGTCATTTTTCCCCAATGCAGCAAAACTTCTGATTTTTAAAGTTGTGAAGTCTTTATGATTTCACTGAGCAGATAAACCAGGCTCTGGTGGTGAAAACCGTTGGTAGCTGTGGTGTTTAGCCAAACTCACATTCAATAGAGTTGGAGAGCCCTACGAATGTCTCACAACAAGAACACCGAGATCGACGGATTCCACCATAGGCTTATAAATTTAAAGTCAACCGTTTCATGTTCTGGCTTTGTATGTAACTGTTCTGATTTTGCTCGTGATCCAACCAGCCTCAACCAGAGCCCTTGATCATTGTTTAACTTTGGGAGGAGGATTTCTGTTCATTTCAAGCTGTGCACAGGCTGGGCAAAGTCAAATTCCGACCAATACACCTAAAATTCCGCCACATATCCACAATCATAATCACCAAGACAGATAGTTGACTGCGATCAGATCAGGTCAGATAATTATATTCGGAGGTTGCGGGCTCTGTGGAGGCTCATTTATGATTTTAACCTTTTTCAGTCTTATCCCGCTTGAGACTAGCGCGAAATCTATCTCCATGCTGACAAATTTAGCAGGGAGACCCCCGAAAATACTTTGCCGTCAACTTTGCCGGATGAGATTCTGGATGCCACTATATAATAAATGATAAATATATTCAGGAAATTGTGGAGGTTTGCGGGGTTCCGGTACATGTTTCTTAGAGTGAGAGTGTTTTCAGGCAAAATATAGGGTGAGTATAAAACTTCCACTACGTACTGTGATGGTATTTCAAGAGCTCCTAGGTGACGGACATATTCTCTACATTGCAATACATGCAAAATGATGTGTGTTGTGCCATCCTAAGTCAACACCTCATTGCTGCTATTCCTTCTGGGTATTCATGGATCATATCTTTATCTTTACGTGGTTGATGGATGCACTACGGAGTATTAACATAAACAAACTCATTCTTTTACCTCTAGCAATTCCGAGTCCATGCTGTACTTCACACTCCAAATATGATTGTATGACAAGCAGTCTGCAGACTGTATAAAGCGCAACTGAACTGATATTGCGGCTGGATCTGCTCTGACAAATCATTATTGAATTCTTGAGTCCAACCAAAGACAAAGCTGACTAGTAAATTTTCTCTCCAGATAATTTGGTCGCTGTGAAATTGGTCAAAAGATTAGTGGTTGGCTGTAATTTTGCATGTATGGGCAGTTACTCTTAGATACATTGTCTTTTCCCCCCGTTGGTAAAGAATGGAATTTTGGAGCCTAAATTTTCGTGTCATTACTAGTCTTCAGCCACACTGTACTTTTCCCAATGCAAGAGTGGGAAAATAAGGAGAGAAATATGAAGCAACAGGAAATGAGAAAAAGCAAAAACTCAACTATGACCACTTCGGTTGTTTGAGACCAAGACGAGAGAGATCGGGAACAAGCGGCCTCCGCCTCAATACTTGGCATCAGGGTCGGAACTCCTCCACATTTGTGCCGATGCCCCTTGCAGGCTTGATTTTGCAAGAGAGACGATGCACCACTTTGAAACAAGTCATTCCAGCCCACGAACCATCAATAATAATAATAATAATAATAATAATAATAATAATAATAACCTTATTAATAACATTTTTTTGGTACCAAGATTTGACTTTCATCGGGGGGCTTCAACATTAGTTGGTCCAACCATGTCATCCAGAGCACCTTTTGCATGATACACCACACTGTCGCAAAATGGTGTGGAGGCTGTAAACCCCGTCAACCCAGTGAGGGCATAATGGCCGCCAGACGTCAGCGGTCGTCTGAGGGAGGGAGGGATGGAGATTTTGTGCTACCTCCGATCGACAGGGAGGAGATATTTTCGCAGCACAAGAATCAGGTGGAAATGAGCCCGCCTGGCCGCTAGAACGAACCTCACATGCGGGAGCGAAACGGCCCAACACAAGGCATGCCATGGCCCAAGATGGGTGGCTGTATGTTGTATCGAGTCGCCAGACGAAGCCCGCATGGGAAACATGGCGTCCTTTCAACAAGCTCGTGGCGGCTCCAACGACGGTTCCCACTAGCCCCGCTTGATCCATCCAACTGGCAACCGCAAGGCCAGGATAGGCTGAAGGAGACATCTGCAAAAAGAAAACTTACATCGGAAGCCACTACATCAAAATACAAACTTTGCATGTCACTCCTTGCCCAGCCCATTTCCTGGAATCATAATAATGCGGCAAAAATATCCACTCTGGCAATGTCCCAGACTGAGCCCCCATGGGATCCCAGTTTGGAACCAGCCAACTCACTTTTTATGCAGCTGAGCACCCCTAGAGTTCGATTTGATCATCGACGATCATTAAGAAGTGTGAAGGAAATGCTCATCGATTATTGCATTGATTGTGTTTTCTCTGTGTCCCTGACTGAGGGCTGACTTAACTTTTTTTTGTTTGAACGTTTGTTGCAGAAGCCAATTTCTTTTGCCCCAACCCTTGTTGACCTCTTCTTATTTATATATCTTCTCCTTCCGTTTTCTCTTTAACTTGATCGAAACACTTCGTTCTGTTTCCAAGTTAAAACAACGTTGTACCGTATGTTTTTGGTCTCGATCTCTTTTTGCCCAAAACTATCTAAGGTCGCTGTGCCTATTTCATCTGCAGCATTTTGTGATAGCGCCTCCTTCTCCCTCTCGACACACCTCGTAACCCCACACATCCGCTGCCTGTCACTCTCCCTCCAATTTATTTACTTCGATTGGGCGAAGCTCCTTGGCACCTTGCTTCTAACCCACGTTGCCGACTTCTGGGCGTGACTTGACCGGGGTTTTCGCACCTCGTGTTGTCGTGCGGGAAGGAAGAAAGTTATATTACCTCAACTTTCCTTCGAAGCGTCGGAACCAAGAAACGTTTCCCGTTCCTGCTGATCATCCTTCTTCGCGAACTTCTTCGTGGGATATTATACGAAGTGATATTCTATTTATATTTTGTTACTTGTACTGTACTTCATTTTCTATATATGATCGTGTGCCTTGTGCTCAAAGCTTTCTTGCTCCGACATCAACTCTCTGAACCCAAAGCATCAACCTAAACTATTTTCCAAAATGGCTGGACCTGGAGGTGGACCTCCTCGCAAGAGCCATACGAAGTCTAGGAAGGGCTGCAAGACTTGTAAAAGACGACATATTCGATGTGACGAAACAACTCCTCAATGGTACGCATACACCTGTAAACTGGTAGAGTATTTAGCAGTGAATATGGCATCTCAAACTAATATCGCTCGTCCAGTCGAAATTGCACCAAACACAATTGTCGTTGCGATTACATGGACAATGTTATAGTCCAAGATCAAGCACCGGCACAGATAGTTGGACCGGATCTTCTCATGTCTCCAGAGATTGATATCGAAATCGATGAATGGCTGAAGACTGGGAATCCCCCTTTTCCCGAACTGCAACTCAGCTCTAGGGCATACTGGTTCAAGTTTTCACGGACTGATTTGCGCCTTATTCACCACATTGCTGGACTTTCAATCGACCTACATCGGCGAGGATACAGTAACTGCACAGTTTGGGCGCAGAAAATGCCCATGTAAGTTTGACATTTACTTTCCTACTTGATAACATGTATAATACTAACATGCTGGACTTGCAGCTTTTTGGCTATCGCGTTGTCGAACGAGTTTGTCATGAGCGCGATTCTTGCTCTATCTTCCTTTCACCTAGCCTGGATGACCCAAAATCCTGAAACGGAAAACCTTGCGTATCATCATCGGGGCATTGCTTTAAAGGGCCTTCATGAAGCTATCGGTAGCTTCTCTCGGGAAAACTCTGATGCCATCTTAGCAGCATCGTTGCTTCTGTCATGGCAAGCTAAAGAATGGTAGGTGTTGTCCTTTTTTGACTTGGTCGGAATTTCCACTAAAGAGAGTTTCTGCACAGGAGGAGCTGGGCTTCGTTGCAGCAGGGCGTCTCAACTGTAAGAGTGATTTTTTTTTTTTTTTGTTTCTTTAATCGACAAGTCTAACACTACCTATAGGTACTTAACTCAATGCAACCGTGGTGGAAGGAAGAGTCGGAATTAGCTCGATTTATGGATAACCAGCGAGCTTTTCGAAGTGCGAGAACACCGGCAACACCAACGTATCCAGGAGCACTAGATCAGTTCCAAAACGAAGACCTTTTGAGACTGGACCGGATTTTGGGTACTCTGTTAAACATTCACCAGCGACTCTCCCACAATCAGGAACACTATGAAAGAGTTACTGATTTACTACACTTCGTTCAGCGGTTGCGCGATGACATGCCAGTGCAATCGCCGGATACTGCCTTTGAGAGGCTTCAGCCACTACGAACGTGGCTCTTTTGGCTTCCCCCCACGATGCTGAGAGGCGGAGAATCGGATCTTGGTGCGCTTGCAGTGCTCTCTCAATTTTTTGGGGTGGCTTTGGCCCTGGAGCCAATTTTCCCTGAAATCGGGGGCTCATACCTTGGCACCATGTCAGTCCTTCCAATAGAAGACATTCGTAGAATCCTGCATGCGAGGAAAGCGTCTCAACCCTTTGCTCCAGAAATCCAGTTGGCTCTGAGCCTGATGGAGTTACCATGCGAGATTGTTGCTGAATACCGCGGTCGTCTCCAGTGGCCCCCGAGGAGTTCCTTCGATGCCTACTCTCCTAGCTCGCACAATCCATACGACGAACTGCCCAATCTGCATCTTCCATCTACCTCTCCATCCAGCGGCTCCGGCTACTCTGCTTATACGACATCTCCCCTCCACTCTCCTCTAACTCCAGCGATCGTTACTTCTCCATACCAGATGCCAACAATAATTACATCCCGACGGCAATCCCAGGTCTACAGCACATCTCCCACGCTACATTCTGACCACGCAGACGATCGGCTGGGGGGGGATTACAAGCACAGTCCTCAAACCCACTCCTCAATTTTCAACCCTTCGTACTTGGGAAATTTAATAAATAGATCACCGGTTATGGGGTCGGATTATGACGAGTCTTCCACACTCGGTATCTCAGGAGGGTTGGTCAATTCCGAACTCTGTTGGACTTGATCCATATCCACTCACATTGCACTCAATGCATTCGTTCCAACTTCCCACGCATACACAGACACTCAAAGCTAAGAATCACCTTGAAAACCATCTTCACACACCCACATACTCTCACACAAACATGGCAAGAAATATGCGGCTGAGTCTTTCTTTATTTTCATCTTTGATGAAAATGCAGGGACCAATCCGCATCACGCCGCAGCTCTTACTCGAAACCCTACTAGAATTCATTAGTTTCTCGATTCCCGATATTCCGATAATAATATCGTACATACAAACCAACGTTCTGTTATCATCCCTATCATCAAATCGCGAAGATGACATCTCTTTTGTCCCGATAAATTTGAGTCTCGCGACGTGAACGTGGAATGATAGCAATGGGATGGTGTAGTATGTGGAAATTCTCTCCATGCATGATGGCTCTCTAGGCAAACTTACCAGATGGGCGTTCGCCTTTACAAATACCCCCTTTTTCTTTGGAGCAACAGTTTATTTAATGTAGAATTTTACTCTTTCCTCTATACTCGCATTGTTTGATAGTGTTGGAAACATAATGCAGCGACAGCGGAAACGAATGACGGAATCTTATTTCGCTTGTTTCTATTCCCCATTGTTTTTCAATTCCCTCCTGGATTAGGAGCATGATGGCAGAACTACGACTTGATTATGCTAATTATTTTGTATCTTCTATTTCTCCCAACCTCCCCTATCAATCTACCGTTCGCAGAAGATTTTTGGGCATATAATTCCCCACTTTTATGTGTTTTCCATCTATTACATGAGACAACAGAATAATACTACAGAAAGATACAAAGTCTATTAAAGTATTGTATCTATCAATTTCTTACTTCCATCTCAAAATTTTAGAGATTGATCATACTAGGGGTCGTATTTCTTACTTTCTCCCTGACAGAATTACGTTCTTCTCCTGCATTAACTTTCGGATACTCTGTTTGGCGGGAAGGCTTGGTCACCCAGCAGCTAGTTACGTGGGGGTGACTATGCGCAAAGGGATAAATGCGCAGCAACTTCTGAAACTAAACTCTAATCTTATCCTGACATGCATTATAATAACAGACTTTACTTTCTTAAGTTTCAGGTTGTAGATCAGCCCGCAGCAAAGTGGCATTCAACTTTTGAGCGAAAAACCTTGCTCGGGTCGAACCACGTGGAATAAACCATAGATTCATTAAGCACCGTGCTATGACGCTGGCAATTGGCTTCTGAGGAAGCAATGTATTTATGGGATGTACACACATGTGTTAGCTTAATTTCAAATTTCTAGGTTGAGAAAATTACGGGGTGCCCATCGGATACATTCTGGCGTGATTGCCATAGAACTGATTCTAAGCATGCCAGGGAACTTCGAAAGATGGAGGGCTGGGGTTCAATTTCCCCTCTCGTGACAACAAGAAGGAAAGGCTGTAAAAATAAACTGACTTGATACATGCATAGTAAAACGATTCGCAAGGCTGGCCAAAACAACAGCCTTTTGGCAACAAATGACGGAATCAGAAGGATCGGAGAAATGATTGGCACTGGCCTCCGACCATAGCATGTGGTCTAGTTCCAGGCACAAACATACACCAAGGCTTTCTGAAATTTTCCTCAGGAAGACAAAAAGTATCATGGGATGTTGGTTAAGGTTACGGGGCGATCCCACCAGGGGATCAAATCTTGGTGTGGCTATGGTAGTCGATCTGACCAAGGTCTGTTTGTAGGGCCCAGCAGAGACGGAGTGCAGCTAGGGAATGAAAATTTACTTGCTGCTGTCAAAGTTAGTGGGTTTGGTACCGGATACGAGATATCAACCATTCAAGGTATACTAGAACTGCAGTTGGATTGGAATTAGCGTAGTGAAGATCCGAGGTGGCGTGTGCACAATGACAAAGAGCTACGACGAGAATGGGTAAATATCCCACGGAACATCAAGCAAGTCTAAGTTCGCCCTTTTTATCCATGGATAACCCTTATAAGCCAAAATGCAGTTTAAATTCTTGCATGGCGGTCGGTGTATGAATTCAACACATACTCCGCATGAGATGTTGTGTTTAATAGTTGTCTCTAATATGTCAGCTGGACTAAAACAAGGGAAATCGTGGCGCTAGGAAACCTTATTAGAGTTTAAGTTGCGGCTCGGTTTCTATTTTGAGGCAAGGCAGACTCGCAAGGCTAACTGCTTTGGGACATTAAGTTTCTCTGCAACATCAGAATGTTCTTCTTGCACATCGGTCATTTTAAGCCCGAGTTGAATGGAGAACTTCCACAAATGCACGCAGCTTCATGAATTAAGGGATTGCTATAGTGTAGATATTCTCAGATCTTTCCTCTATTTTTATAGGGCTTCATGCGTTTTTATTGCGAACTGGTGGCATAATTATGCGTTGAAGTGGGGAATTGGAAAGGAACGAAATCATAACTACCCGCGAGGGAATGAGAAGATTTGCAGGGCCGTGGACCGTGCAACCCCTCCCACACCGTCTCATTAACTTAGCCCTGTTTCAACATCTGATGTGCTCTTCCAGAATGCCAGCTCATGGGGGCTGTGTGATAGTCAAAATGACAGGGGACTAGTTATTGGAAAATAGTGATGCTTTTAGCGTAAATTTGCCCATCACGCCCCCTTTGGCCGAGGCTGTCGCGTGGGGCATGTGAATCAATTTTCTGTGATGGATTTCCCCCCACCATGAGCAATCGCTCTGTCCGTTGGCAGAGGCAGTCATCATGCAGGTGGTTCTATTGGAATCTCAATATAAGCATTTTTCATCTTTGTCTTTGGACCTGAGCCGTTGCTGCTATAGCCTGAGCCGTACCAGACCAGAACCAGAGTGCGCAAGTCTCCTGAAAATACCCTGGTGGTTGGATCCAGTAGGGTCAGGTTAGACTGCTGACAGGGCCAATAACCGGGGACCTTTAAGGGGTAAAAAAGGCACAGCAAATCTTGGACAGTCAACGCGGAAAAATATACGTCTAGATCTTATCCATCTCTTGAAATAAATGTCCCTCGTTTAGATGCGCCCAAGAGTCGTCCTCTCAGACACCAACTGTGAGAGCAGCGATCTCCGCCGTACATGCTAACCGTATTTCGTCCCTTTTTACTGATATCAGTCTTTGCAAGAGGACCACTGCCAACGGATCGCGACCGAATAAGAGGGTCTATCCAAGCTTTGAAGCAAGCACGGGGCTTCGATTTTACCTTTGCTTCCTGAGGTAATCCCTATCCCAGGTGATATTTGATCTTTATCGGTGTTGCTCAAAAAATTAAAAAAAAAAAAAAAACCCCTATTCTGCATTATCTAGCCCTTGGCTCAATTCATATCCTCTTCAGTCGCACCGCAACGGAGGTTGGCTGTCCTTACAAGACTGAGTCCACTGTCGGTCTGAACTGCTCACTCACCAAGTCGTCTTAGCGCTTGACATCATGATAGTTTGCAGGTTCCACCAGGGAAAAACGGATACACCAACAAAAAAGAGCAAAAGGAAAGCCGAACGCGGGGGTCGAACCCGCAACCTTGCGGTTGATCAACTGGACGAGATATTTGAATATTCAGACGTCTCAAACTCATAAGAGCCGCACGCTCTACCGATTGAGCTAGCCCGGCTGATTTGCTGAAATTACTGGACCTCTCTGGTGCTCAAGTACTGGGCATCGGCTAGGCCTCTCTTCGCTCCTAAGACGATCAACCAAAATAAAGCTTGATTCTCAGTCGTTTGGGATTGAAGTCATTCACTTTCGAAAAACAACGATTTGTCTCCGGGGAAATATATATATACCAACGAGGAGCAAAAGATGAAATTCAACAACCCCTACCATTCAACTCCCTTTAGAAGATCGGACCTTTAAAGCGGGAAAATGACAAAGTAAGCAATTTAGCCTTTACGGTCGTCGCCTCTCACGGGGCTCAGGTGTTTACAACTGGTCAACACAACGTTTCGTTTGCGGAACACAAACATGGGTCGTTAGCAGGACTGAATAATGATAGTTACGCTTGGTGGCTTACTTCATGTATAACTAATCTGAGGACATAACGGACCTTTATTCCCAACAGCCGTGCAAGAGCCACTGGAGCAGCAGATCAAAGGCTAAACCCCCCACATCCGCTATCAGTGGTAACTACATGGTCGCTGGCCATTTTAACAAGTTATTAATATTTGAGATACTCATGTATAAACGTCATGTTATCAGCTAAAAGATATATATATATTCTCATAACTTGCCTAGGCCGTTTCTGCGAGAAGTCGATCGTTTGAGTTTCCTCATTCATCCATGGTTCACCTTTAACTACAGAAATCTTGGTTGATCTCAAGGAACTTAAATCTCTACCCACAATAGTAGTTAGTTAATCGGCCAACCAAATCTTACTTTAACTTTTTCGTTTAAACTTCGCAACAATCCAAACGCGCATCTGCAAACCTTATTCCGTTGGTAGTGTCGTAGACTAGACCGGGGATCTCAGGGATATATATATATAATGCGTCATGTAATTGTAGACTTTTTCTATCAGCAGACGGTTGCAGTTTTTAGAAGGGAAATCTAAACAACTCCAAAGGTGTAGGCGGCAGCCAATGATGAAGAAATTTGTACGAAGTGAAAGATGGTCTGCGATGGACATGGTTCTACGCATAGCTGATTGAAGATGTCTGATATGGAGAAAATAATATCAATGAATGCATATATACAATGTGTATTAAGATGCCCACACATACTGTGTGATGTTATAGCTGCAATGTACATAAAACGAGGAAAGCTGCTCTACTGGCTGGTCTAGATTTGCAAGGTGAGAGATTTGGGGTTAGGTCAGGCAGGGTACATGTAAATATATATGAGTTTGGTGAAGAAAGATGCTTCGCTTTTACTCTATCAGGCGGAGAAATGTATGTGGGGGGAAATAAGGAAGAAAAAAGAAACCAGATTTATAAAATTCTCGAACACGGATTGGAAGATATCGGAGGGGAGGAAAGGAGAGAAACCAAATACACTAGAAAAAAAGGAAGAAAAAGACTCCCCCCACCGGGTCATTTGTCAGCTATTTGCATTCATTCATGTATGTACGTAAATTCTTTGGGGCTCTTTTCGAAGGATGTATGTAGTTGTTATTGGCTTTCATTCCTTTCAATCCAAGAAACGGAAACGGAAACTGGCGAGTGCAATCACAGAATGTCCATGAAGCGTCGGAGGGCAAAAGGAAGAAAAAGGGGGGGATATCAATCAAACAACTCAATCCATATTGATAGGAAAAGATGGTATAAGTGGGAAAAAATATATATAACAACCCCCCCAAAACTCCATTTTTTCTACAAATACATGGGATATAAGGCCAAAACAACCAGTGAGGAAAAAATTAGTTATATACACCTAGCTTAACCTTAACCTAACCTGGTTCGATCAAAAGTGTCCGCCCAAAGTCGACAGAATATAGCGAGAGAAAATGTAAAAGGGAGAAGAAGAATATGAGGAGGAAGAGCAAAATAGCCAGCATTATAAATGTTGTTCATGTGCTTGCTTGGAAATTGCTATGATTGTATTTTCGAATCTGGCCCGACCCGTGACCATGATAAGATACGGTGGGGAAATAGGGAGAGAAGAGACAAGGGAGGGTGAGATCTTAAACAGTTATTTTCGTGATCATTTCCCATCATATCATGGAGCAACCGTTATAAATTCGAACGAAAAAAAAATTGGGACGTCTTATTTCTTAACGAAATAGAGTGCTGAGAAACTGAAGGGAAATAGGTTGACCGAAGAGAAACAAAGGACCGGAAGATGGGGATGGTAAGGGAAGAATGTTTCTCCCTTCAAACTCCGGAATCCTTTGGGGAGCCTGCCGGGTGCGCTGAGCCGTTTCGTTTTGGTGTTGAGTCCTCTTGATCACCGTCATTGCTCTCTTCTCTAAGAGTTTGGAGACCGAATGCACTTGTTTCGACATCGTAGGAATGCATCAGTCCTTGCCGGTCACTGGGGCCTCCGTAATAGTCAAGGCTAGAAGAACTGCGTGGTCGCCAGTCGATGCTTCTTCGATTGTGTAATGAACGGCGGGTTTGAATAGAGGCAATTCCATCGGTCGGGACACCGTCTTCCTCATCAGTTTTTCCAGCTAGTCGTTGACCATCGGGGTCCGTCCTAGATAAGTTTAGGAGATAGACTCCAGAGAAAATCACTAGGAATCCACAGAGAAGGGATATGGTGTTGACACGGTCAGTGGTGTTGAAACCGTGGAATAGGACGAAGGAGGCACAGAGGGTTGCGGTTGTAAAAGTGACGTAATATAGGGGATTGACTCTGCCATGTAGGGTCAGCAAATGGAGACAAAACGGTACATAGCAAATGTTTCCTAACTTACATTGAGGTCGAAAATTGGCTAAGAGCCTTATTGAAATAGTTCATCTGTGTCAAAATGCAGCATACAACAACAATAGCAAAGGCGTAGGTAGAAGGGTGGGTAAACTGGTTATGTCCAGCTAGAGTGAGCTTCAACGCAATCCCAAATGCTTTGACAGACATAACTGAGACTGAGCCAACTGTCGAGCAAATCGAGATGTAGATTAGTGGGTTTTTCTTCCCGTATTTCGGAGCCACTCTGTATATCATAACGGTAGAAAATATAGCAACTGCTAGACAATAAAGAAGAAAGCCTGTGAAAATGTTTAGCTTCATAGCATACACGACTTTTTTTTGCTTATAAGGAACTTACCTGGTTGAATGGCATATCCCAAGATCTCGTCCACTGTTTCAATTTCTTCATCTGGAGGCGCATGGAGAACGATAATGATAGAACCAAGCAGTGCCAATGCACAGCCCAGCTTTCCAAGAATCCCCAGGCGCTCCCCCAGAAAATATGCGCCCAGAACAGCACTGTGCAGCAATTAGTACGAAAAGCCTTCAGTTGCTCGGTCACCGATAATCAGCTTCTTACCCTATAAGAACGCTAAGTGCCCCCAGGGGCGTCACTAATATCGCTGGCGCAAACGCATATGCGGCGAAGTTCGCAATTTCCCCAAGAATTACTAATCCTAGATGTCAGCACGATGCTGCTTGGAGTTGAAGATCTGATGATTAAAGGGCCCGTAGACTCCGTACATGTTATTATTCCTCCCCACCATATTGGGCTCTTTAAGTACGAAAATCCATCGCCCTCAAAGCCGTGCCTATTTGACGCATCCATTAAGCCCTACAACATATAGATGTTAGGTCAAGAGCGAAAGATTTGACGGCAATTGTGTCAGAATGAGCTAGAGAGGGAAATAACTTAACGGAACGGACCTTCTTTGTTATTACGAAACTACTGCCTATAAAGGAGGCATAGTAAGTATAAGATCGACCACAGTCATAGGTAGGTATCATTAACAGAGAGAGATATCTTACCAATAGCCATAGTTGACATTATAGCAAGCGCCAATCCGATATATCTATCACACTCACACAATAACCATGTCAGTCTCGCAATTCCCATACCACCCAACAACGAACAACGAACAATGAAGAACCCGGACGGATAGTGGGAAAGACTGACTTGTCTGAAACCATTATGAAATAAATCTGGAGCAAGTCGCTCCCACCGCTTCGAGAACCTCAATGATAACGCCGGATAAACAACGCCACACGAATCCACGGTGGCTACCGCTTTGGCGTGCAAATGTAGAAATGATATATGTCCTCTCTATCGAAAATCAAATTATTCCTTCCAATTTATCCCCAGGCCGTACAGAAATCGAGCCAGCAACTTTCTGCAGGATTACAACTTTTTAGTTCGATCAGGTGCGGGGCGTCTTGCCTTGTACGCAATGGATTGTATATATAGTACTGTTCTTTTCACCCTCTCCTGTGATGGAGAATCGTGATCGTTATACTGAAACGAGCGGCAGATTTCTCCGTAAAGGGGGGGGGGGGGGGGGGGGGGGAAATCCAGATGAGGGATCGTAAGGTATCTATCAGCAGGGGATGGCGCGAAATGGTCGTTCCGAGGGCGAACGGTTAACAAGTCCCGGCAATAGATTTTCGAGAAGAGAATAGGAGAGGGTTCAAGAGAAGATGGCTGGTGAAGGCGGCCATATAGCTGCGCATGAGAGGACGGATCGTGGGCCGGTGGGGGACGGAAGTCTCTGGACGGAAATTGTTCTTGAAGTTATGGACAGGCAGGGAGGATGCCGCAACCCGGTAGAGCCAGACACTTGCGCGGGCGGGACGGAAGGGAGATATGTGACAAAGGAGGAGTCCTCAGCGGGCGTTACGGGGACCGTTGCTGAAGCTGGGAGGGGTTGCTGGGTTCCAGTGTGGTTGTGGATGAAGCAGGGAGACTCAAGCGTGTTTGATATATTTGTTTGAGGCCAGGGTGGATGTTTCAACCAAGCGGCGCCAAGCCCGGCTGGAGGCCCTAACGGGGCCGCGTCGTAATAGGCTGTAGATAGAGTCGACTTCACTAAAAGGCTTGCCCCACCTCGCCATGTGACCCGACCTCATCCTAGTCAGAACAGAACCTCTCACAATAACACTGTAAATCATTTATCAACTACATAGTCCTTATACCAGCAAAACTATTTTACAAAAACCTTGCTCATTTCTATATGTTTTCACTGAAAAAATGAAATAAGAAAAATGTCAGTAGTATTCAAAAGAACTAGAGAAAATGATAAAGAGAAAATAAGATTGCACGTGGGGAGGTCAGCCCAGCCTGTTAGTGAAGTTGTTCGATCTATATGCTCCGTCCGTCATAACTAACGTGACTAACCTTCTCAGCCGACTTAACCTACAATTCCACAAGATTTCTCAACAACAATTATTATATTTGAATATAATTAAAAATATGAATCTATTAGATAGGGCTAGACTGTATTAAAATCCAATATTTAATTCGAAAACTTAGATGGTACCTGAATTAAGTGACTGAAAATATATGAATTAAATAAGAGAGAATTATAGTTAGATCTTAAAACTTGTCAACTACTGACTAACTAGTTACTGAAATGACAGATTTATATAATAGAACTTTGTTAATAAAATTAGCTTTTTCTGTTAACTTTATAACTTTATAAATCTCACAGGTTGATCAGCAGCTTGGTTAACAGATAGTATAATATTTAGAAGTGCAAGAGATTTGCTTTATACTTATATAGTCTTTTTAACTTTTTAAAACCTACTAAATAATTAACTAGTTAGTTTAAAAAGTAGTTAGTAATTTCAGCTTTAATTTATATAAATTCTTCTAGAATAACAAATTAAGTTTAAAGTTAATAAAAATCTTTATTATAGATATTTAAGTAAATATCTTAATATTTAATTACTGTGGCGTTCCGCCCCTATTCTTCCGCCCCTCCGTATATTAGTATCCGCTCTCTATTCGCCCCTCCCTAATCCACTCAGGGGCCCCAATCTTTCCTATATTTCCTATCCTATGCGATCGCTCCTACCATATAGAGCGATTATAGTGTGTATATATAGCAGGGCGTCCGCCCATCTTATTAGAAGAGAATCAGACATGATTTATCCTACCTATTCGATTGCTCGTACGCATCAATTACTATATTATAATTTGAATTGTTTTTTTAAAATAAACTTATTAGCTTTAATATTTTTAATAATTTTAATTTATAAATATATTGCTTTTATTTGATTTAGTAAAAGAAAATAAAAATTATTTAATTATTTAAGTTGTTAATCTTAAAGCTATATTATAAATATAATTATAATAAATTAATATTTAAGTGATAATCTTTTATAATCAAACTTTTTATATATAGTTAACTATGAATTATACTTCATTTGATTTGATTTGTATAAAATTTTATATTTGTCTTTATAGCTTTCATTTTTTAATTTTTTTCATTGTATTTAGCAGCATAATAAAAATAATTTTTGCAATTAAATATTATATAAAGTCTATTTATATAAAAAGTTTTTTGCTTTTTAAAAATTAGTATTTTATAAATATGAAATTTTTTTATATTTGTATTTATTTATTTATTTATTTATTTATTATTATTATTATTATTTTACATTTTTAATATATTTTTAAATAAATTTTAATTTTATATTATTTAATTTTTATAATTTATTAAATATAACATTTTATATCTTTTTAAAAAATTAAAAAATTATGATAATTAATAATATTTTTTATTTAATTATATGTTATAAGTTTTAATTTTACAAATTATTAGTTAGTTATATGTTTTATTAAGTTATATATATATATTTATATGATAGCACTGATATAGAAGCATATTGTTATATGAAATAGTACTGAAGCTGACCTCCTCTCATCCCTTAAGGACATTTACAGAACCTGGTGTTTTAAGTTATAAAATTTGTTGACAGGCTCAAATAGACCTGGAAATAGCAGCCTCTGTAATGTCAAAGAGGAGACGGGTTCCACATTGCAAGTGCTGCATCAAATCAAAAAATGTCAGGTATGTCAAATCTCACTGTTCTTACAGTTTAGACTCTGGAGATGAAAGGGATTGTTCTGTACTGGCTCATTCCTCCAATGAAGTGTTGACGGTCGTTTGAAAGGTGTGTGGAGGTTAGTGTTTGAAGCGTGTGGGGGCCCCCCACAACTAGCCTTTTCCCAGAGGAGGATAGTCCGCTTCAGGGCGGATGTGAGTATACCAGACCGTATTGAGAGAATTAAGCGCGAAAAATGCTTAAAGATATCACCTAGATTTCATTTTATTCTTCAGTTCCCATTTCCCTAGAAAGGTGCCAAAACTAAGCACTGAGGAACCGCAGAGGGGAAGAGAGAAAAACAAGAATTGGTTAAATATAATACGACTTTATATAGTCCACAGGAAGAAATCGAACAGACAGCACAGCAAAAAGAAGGGGGTGACCAAAGGAAAAACAAAAATAAAAAAATATCTAAGACGGAACAACATAAACATCAAGGAGTGAAAAACAGGCCAGCGTCAAATTTACTCAACCACATATCCATCCGCAATAGTTTTGAAGTCCTTAGAGAAATTCACCGTCTGCCCATCCATCTCCAACAACGACACAGTCTGCACATCAACATCCACAAAGGGTGTCGCCTTCTGAAACCTCACGCTCATCGGGAAAAACTCATTCTCGTCATTATTTGGGTCCTCGGACTCAAACTCAAAGCTACCCGATGGATTCGATTCGTCAACTGTGCCAATGTTCCAGTCCAAGCTGTCCCCAGTCACTTCGTAAATGGCATCGAAATTCGTCACGGTGGGCTCAACGGTGCCGAAGGGAATGGAGACAACGACGTCTCGCAAGGGATCTGACCCGTTCAGCTCGTACTCGATGGTGACCGTGCTCGATTGAGCACCCCGATTAACCCAGACCGTAAATGTGATCGGGAGGACGTCTGGGCTGTCTGTGCCCGTGACACGCCATCGAAGAACGCCAATGGAGATGTTATGAGGGAAGCTCTTGGAAGTATCCCGCAGTTGAATGGTTTTGGAATTGGTAAATAGAGCTCTGTCGACATTAGGGTGGGTGCGGAAGACGGCCTCATGCGTAGGGTTGGCTGTTAAGCCAAGCTTTACTTTGGCAAATGTGTCATCGGTGATACGCAGCTGGAGGTCGCCCTTGATCTCGTATGACTTCACTGTGCCATCGCGGGAGAGTTTGGCGGAAATTGTTTCAGCCACCGTAACGTGGATGGGCTCGCGGTCAGCGGACACGGAGGCGCGAGACTGCGCAACGGCATCTGAATGGGCGGGTGCTGTAGCGGTAGAAACCAAGGGGATTTCTTCAGATTCAGGGCCCAAATCCCCTCGAACCTTCTCGTACATATCGGTGGCTTTAGATTTCTTTCCGAGCTGCATTCCCTTGCCTCGTAGAGCCATGGGTCTATACCCGCATTAGTCAGGGCAGTAGACCTAACAGATGGAGACATGGTTGTTAAACTTACTTGCCGAACGTCTTCTTTTTCTCCGCCTCGTAAGAGTTAATTGCTTCAGTTGGTGTAGGCCGGGTTGGCGGAGAATAGACCGGATATGATGGAGCACGTGGAGTCACGCCACGACCACTCCGGGCGGCCTCTTTGCGCTGCAGTTCCAATTGCTTCGCCTTCCGTTTTCGCTCCTCGGTGGCTTCGAGTTCCTTGTTCTGTAGTCGTAGATTAGAGAATGAAACACGCGCCACAACATCGATTACACCCGGATGTATATATATAGAGGGAGAGGTGGAGAGGTGACGCTTACCCTCTCAATAATCTCCTGGACTCTCTCCTCGTGACTTTCCATCTCAAGGAAAGTTTTTATTTGTGACAAAGACAGGTTTTCCCGGTAGCCCAACGTAACCAGTTCATCAAAGGCGCTCAAAAGCTCGAACGAATTGCGTAATATCTCCCGTTCGTCGAGACTCTTACAAATGCTGGTAACAACTTGGGCAAAGATATGCAAGCTGTCTATGTCTTGGAGGATATTGGACTGTTTGTTTGTGATCAGGACAATGTATAGCTCGTCCAATGGCTGGTATACGAATCGGACGTTGTCCTGTTCGACGATGGTGTGCTGCGTGCCGGAGTCTGCCAGCTTTGGAAATGATGCCAACAACGCTTCTATCCGAGACCGAGAAATTTCCCGAAACTGGCGGGAGAGCACCGCTTTGCCCCCCCGTGTACATATCGATGCTGCGAGGATAACCTGCATTGCGAGTTTTGCGGGAGTCAGTATACGTAGGGACTAATGTGTTCGTCACTTTCTCAAATCAAACTCACCATTGCTTTAGGATGTGGAACATATAGGAAGAAGCTAGAATGAAACCAGAGAGGTTTTGAGGGTAATTGTGGTTGGGATGTACTTCGTAGTGGTGGTGGTGGTGGAATTGGTCTAACATCCTATCATCTAATAAGAGGATTTGTTGGCTTGTAATGGAAGGGAAAGGTTAGGTGGTCCGTGCACCAGGCGGCTCTTCTTTAGTCTCGCTTAAAGGAGAAAAACGAGAGAACAACCTCAACGACCAGACAACGTGACAACTACAAATACATCACATCACACTGCACTCCTGCACTCAACACCGTTGTTGGGCTTCACGGGATATTGCCATCGTCAAGTTATTGGGCCTATTTATTTTAACCACTGTCTTCTCTTTGGCCACCTCCCCTGTAACATTGATTGATTCCCCAGAACGGCCGAACCAACCCCTTCGTATCACAACCGCCAGCGAACATCCCGCAAATGAGTGCCAGCAAGCTTTAGGACATTCTTATTCCATGTGATACTATACAAGCAAAGAATAGTCTATTTTTCGCTATGTTTCACTTGTGACGGTGATTTGACAAACAAAAGACGAATAACTCCTTGAACGAGTCAGCCAGCAAGCAGCCATGGAACCCGTTGTTTTTGATGATAGTATGGAGGTTACCTCAGATGAGGAACAGGGGAATATCGACGATATCGAAATCGACCTTGACCTTGCTCATGACCGCCTTCCTGAACATGATGAAGATGTGATTGTGGATGATGCGTCCGCCACTGCTTCAGACCACCCTGCCGCTGGAGACGATGCAACCTACGATGCGGATATGGCGGATGGTCAATATATAGATGGTGGCATATCAGGTCACGGATATCACAACTGCCACCAAGAAGGCTACTATCAGTATGAGGAGGATTCTGCCTATCATAACCCGAACGACTACGAAGCAGAGATGGAAGATGGCTACGAAGAAGATATTGATGCCCCGATCCCGGATACTGGCTTTGAAGAGACGAACGTACCTACTGCGAATGAAGGAAGACAGGTGGAAAGGGAGGTAGAAGTCAGAGAAGAAGAAATACAAAAGGAAGTTAACATTCCTGATAACGAACAACAACCTCCGGCCCCTAGAATCTCGTCAAATTCAGAACCTGTCGAAACCGAAATTTCTAGACGAGCATCAGTGGCTGAGGAGGAGGTTATCATTCAGAAAGGCACCAGTATTGGCCATCCAGAAATTGATAAGTTTGCAATGGAAGAGTATAACATAATCCCACATGCTCCAGAGAGCGCTAAGCCCTTAAACGTTGAAGAAGGTCATGGAAATGGTGACAGTGAGGCTCAGCCCGCTTTAGAGGATGAAGGGGGTCATGGGGAAGATGAGCTTGAATCTCAAGGACCCGGATCTTCAGAACATGAGCACCAAGAGCCTGAACCTCGAGGGCGATATCAGTCGCCTTTGGATCAGGAGAAATTGTCGGATACTACTGAGACATATCATTTTGTGAAACCTGAGGACTATGTTGGGGATGGCGGAAAGGGCCATTTGGATAGAAGTGGAGCCCTCCATCCGGTCAAAGTGATATACCATGAAAGCGAAGTATCATTGTTTCCTCCAGAAGAAGGTGATCTCTCAGATACCTTTTTCCTGCGGGATGAAGGTTTGGCCTATGCTCCTATTGGGGAGCTAGTGGAAGCCTGTCGCCAAGTGCTAGGTGAGCATATTAGCAAAGATGAAGAACTAATAGTCGATATCGAGAGTCTCGGGCTGCATTTACCTGAGGTATGAATTACCCCTCCCCTTTCTTGCTCCAATATTTGACCTTACTAACATTCGTTTTCAGTACTCCGCCGGTAGAACCACCCCATCTTTAGTTCAGATTATTCAAGTTTACCTCGATCTTTGCGCTAACGATGGCATTAACGAACCTGAACCTCTATATCTAACTCTTTCTTCAAGATCCAATTTTATGTCTGACTATTCTCGCCTTGTAGCAGCAGCCCACGAGGGAAAGGGATTGTCCTACCTCACATGGGAAGATTACGATATCGACAGTGCCAAAGGCGTAGAGCATGGAGAAGAACATGAACAAAACAATTTGACGTCTGAAGATGCAAGCTCTCCAGTTGAGCTGCAACCTGACCATTCAGAACCTCCAGAAGAAGAGAAGGAAGTTGCTGCCGATACCCAGGCGAAAATTTTGCCGCCTGATTCGGCAGGCGAAAACTCATTAATTCAATCCACGAACCAGGATTTGCCAAGACCGGAGGAGCCCAAGCCCCATGCTGCTAGAAGTGACAACGACCAAATAATTCACGGCGACCTGCCAAGTGAAGTTGTGGGCCATGATAATGCAGGGTTGCCCCATAATGCTGAAGAATACGATGATAGTCAATCAGTTGAAGGTGAGGATGAGGGGGTGGAAGTAGAAGTAGAAGTATATGAAGGTATGTGCATGTTTACTTCACTATTAACTGGATTGTTGCTAACAAGGTGATAGAAGACGATTTAGGAAGCGAACATGGCGTTATCGCCGAAGATCCCCAGGACAGCACTGGCTATGATAGCCCTACAGCAGAAAAACCTATGAAAATACCAACTGTAGACCTTTCAAAAGACGAATCAACTGATCAACAGTCTGAAGCCTATGTAGATGAATATGCGTTTAACCATGCGTTACTGCAATTGGAGGATGGGCTCACAACAGAGGCCAATGTTGAAGAAGAATACCAAGACGGTGCTGATTTGGAAACCGAAGAAGACCACGCAGAAAGCCATACCATTTCTCTGGATAATAGAGAGGAGCCCGAAAATCATATCCAAGCAGAAACCAATAACGATGCGCACATAGAAATCGATTTAAGAACCAGTGAGACCGTGCGAGAAGAGGAATCCCCTGTTGACCATGATGGCGAAGATGTGGATGAATGTGAAATTTTCAAACCCGAGGATGGTATTTCAGATACCGAAAATGGGACAGGCGCACTCCTTTCGAACGTTGAAGAGCAGCCCACCCCTCTGATGAGCGAATCTTACACTGGGGAAAGACAAAAAACCCCGGAATCAACCCATGATATTTTCGAAATTGATGAAGATCTTTTTAAGAGCCCCGTAGCGAAAACCCATACGGCGATCCCTGCTATTGACTCTACGAACGGCTCTCCTTTGGACGGAGCGAATCACGAGCCCTTCGCTTGCCCGGATGAAACCCAAACAGTCCGTGGAAGGAAGCCCACCTCTGTGTGCGATCCAAATCACGCTACTGGTGGACCAATGGCGGCATATTTTGATGAGTCTTTAACCACGAATTATCTAGATACTGAAGCTCCTGATCCGGACGATTTGTCTGCACCTGCCAGTCCTAAGTCGACAAAACGGTCTTTCATAGATTCTGGTATGAATGATGTCGAGGGTTCCACACCAGATTTCAAGCGGCAGCGATCGGAGTAACATAATTCCTGTTTGTTTTTGTTGAAATTCGACACAAAACCCAATCCTCCAAGATTTATCTCGCCACCTTCGCCATATCCAATGGGAATCTATGAAGACACTAACCAGTAGTCATGACCCTTAACCTATATTTCCCCCCACTAACACAATTAGGTCGAACTAACTAAGCTTCCATCGAACGTTACGCAATTACTCAAGGTAAAATGGACTAACATACCAGTTCTCAGCGTGTATATCCCCTTTTCCCCTTCTTCCATTCTGTTGCCTCCCAGCTATTGAAACCACGCTTTTTTATCATATTCTCCTCCCCGGACAAACTCAACTATTTATTTTGTTCAGTACCACGAGACTTGGACATGCTTCTTTTGATTCCTGATTCCGGTTTAGATTCCTTCACGTCAGGGACATGTCCGCCCAAACTGAAGCTTGAATAGCCGGATACCAAGGAAGGTCATTAAGACCTGGATTATTGGATCGTGAACTCGACTTCTGTCCCCTGAATGGATTCAAATTCAGAACCTCGCTCAAGGCTGCATACGGTGGCACCAATTGAAATATTACCCGGGCCGTGGTGCATCCGCTGTAGGTGGCGAACTATGATGACGATGCTTACCTCAATGAGTTTTTATTTTCTTATGTCCCTCCTGTTTCCTGGATGTGGATGCAAATCTCGGCATTGATGCTGCGTATTTCGGGGGAAAAGTGATGATCCTTTGATATCTTGCCTGACTATGGCCTTCGCCCCAAATCTATATGTACCCTTCTGAAGCCTGTTTCCGATTTTCGTCGGTTTGGGTTCATATCGGTATCATCATGACTTGAGCTGAGTGGGGTAGGACATTTTACTGGGACTTGTGGACCATATGCGTAATAGCTCCATTATTCTTTTTACTTTTCATCCCCGTTACAATTTTTCTCTTTTTCTTTTCTTTGCCAAACATCGCCCCGCTTCCTCTTTCTATCACACAAACCCCCCGTCTATTATCCCCATTGGAATCTAGACCTCTTTTCTTTTTATCGTTTAGTTTTAGCATTGCATTCGGCTACTAACCGTGTTGAATGTCTGATGAGCGATAAGTTTTTTTTTCTTTCGGTTTTCACTTCCTCTTGCTACTCCGAGATAGCCCATCTTCTGATATCAGCATGTCTTCCCCCCCCCCCCCCCCCCATACACACACACTTCTGATTCGCTTCTGTATCTCCATTTTATACTGACTGGTGTGAGAAGTGTTGATGGATTTGTGTAATATAAGATATCTTAGTTTACCTATTTGATCGTCTTTGGTAACGTTGGTATTCTAAATGCCTTTATTTTCTGATAAACGAGTGATTTACGGCCACATTTTGCTTGACCTGAATCAACATCCCAAATCGGGTTGTCATTTCATTTTCATAGCATATATAACGAAGGACATATGGATTTCATCCGATATTCTGTCCGGTGACTCAATACCAGAGTCAAGCTTCATGTAGATGACAAAGTCATTAATTCTCTTAATGATCAGATCTGATTTGTGTTTGAACATCTTCACAGTGCTGCTGCAATCAAGTTTCATTCACAAATGAGTCAGAGGTTGGAGATGACAACGTGGATTCTAAATGTAAAGGGTTTTTTTTTTGTTCATGTGGTGAAAAAGCAGATGATTTCGCCTAAGTGGAAGGAATCGCAGGCAGGCGAGTTCTGGTACATTCGACGGAATTGGAGTTTTGTTGTAGCTTGTGGTGCTGCTGGAAGTGTAAAAGTGGTGGAACCCCCGGCCATTTTTTTTTTTTGGTGGGATCTGAGGGAATGGAGCTGTAGGCACGAAGAAAATAGAATTGTAGATATGTGATGGTGCATTGGTGGTGGAAACGGAGTTCCTCTGGTATTTGCATATTTGAAACGTATGTGAGCTTGCCAGGATTTCACATCCAAGAAGCAAAGGGTGAGGAATTCATTTTTCATTATTCAAAAAGACAAGGGATCCAAAAGGATGATAGTATAACTACCTTCGACACCTCCCGGAAAGGTGCAGCCATAGCGGCCTGTCAGCACCAACACACCATTATACCCATTCCCTTGGAACCGGCCAATAACTAAACTTGTGCGTAGAAACAATGACGGCATGGTTTTCTTCAAGAAACCAGGCGAGATATATATCGTCTGGCGTACAGGCTCGCCATCCTCTATCCGGCAAGCTGGATGTTGATCTAGCGCCTTGCTTAGCACCCTCTGCTGGATATTCTGATTTTGGCCCAAACGGGGTTGTAAAGAGCTCCCGTTAACACCTGACCCCCACGTTGTCTGACAATATATGATCAAGTTCGCAGACGAACAAAATCGACTTCTTCGCAAGTTGCTTTTAGAACAATTTTTTTTTATAGTCGCATTCTCGCTTTGCTGCACTATCAAAATGTAACATGGTCAGAAGGGTCTCGATTAAACCACCCTCATTAAATGTGCCTGCAAGCGAAGAAAACTCGACGCTAATTAATCGGCAGTTCTGCCAGCGTCGTAACATTGTCCATGGACAGTTCGCCATCGGAGTTATTCCAAGAGAGGAATGCAGATGGTTTGCATCATGGCCTATACGTCTTATCATGACCTGCTTGTAGAATTGGGTAACTGGTTTATGGAAATAGGTCCTCGCGCATGTTATCCAAGAGAAAATTGCAAAATGTGAGATGTAGTGAGGACGGGGCAACGTAGTTAAAGAGGTTAACTAGGTTGACAGCATCACGTGTGTCGAGGAAGCCAAGGTCCCCCTTAAAGCCACAGCATAAGTTCTTACAGTACGCCGCAGTTCCAGAGAGCAAAGGTCCATAATATTACTTGAATTAAAAGCTGTCGATTGCTGGTTTTATTTAAATCATGAAACTGAGGCTTTGGGGGCAATAAGGAATAGGAAATCGCCATCCTCTTGTGCCTTTTAATCGTATATCGTGATCGCATACTCATAAAAATGCCATGAAAAAAGAAAACACGTAAATGAATAGTTGCCAAGAGAGCAAAATGGACAAAATTTGACATGATTATCAAAACGAATAGGACGCAATTGCTATTAATGGGTCGGGTATATTGGTTGGGTAAGGAACGCGGGAGAAAAAGGAGGTAGAAGGTAGTAGATACACACAGTGAGATGGGAGAAAATGTGTAAGAAACCCCGAAAACAGAATATCATCAAGCATTCATCGAAATAACAGGGATGCATAACAGTTCGAAGTCATTTTCTCTCGACTCCTGCTGAAGGTCTGGTTGTGCATGGTTCGCCCTGGCCTTTGCGTCCCTGACAGATATCGCACGGGCGATAAGTTGGTGCAGCGTGTGTATTTGCTGGTTTTGCACAGCAGAAGTTGCTGCTTGGCGGGGAGATAAGGGCAAATGTGATGATCGAGGTGACGAAGAACCGTCGTTTACGTTAAGGTACACCTGGACACTTTCTGCAAGGGAATCTGCTATGTCATCCATTGGGGCAGGGGACATGTTGTCCGGTCCGGGAAATAGGATATGGTCGCTTTCAAGTGGGGCGAAAAGGACGTAGGCCAATTCTTCGTTGCTTTTCCCGTTTGTTTCGTGCTCTCCATCACTACCCGCGTCATGCGAACTCGTGTGGGGACTGATGATGGTTCCGGTCTGGGAGACGTCAATCCAGGACTCGCCGCTGACAAAGCCGACCACGAAATCGCTATGCGCTTTTGCCGTTGCTACACTATATTGCCTATATTCCTGGCTGAATGCAGGGTCGTCTACCGCGGGAAGACAAAGCACCAGACCTCGCGTTAGGAGAGGTGGAGGAGGGTAGGTTGTAGGAGATGTGGGTATGCCGTCGCCGTCTGAATATGCCTCGTCATCCGAATATAGATTTTCTCCTGTCAGAGATAATTCAGGGATAGAAGGCTCAGTGTGTTGGGTGATCGTTTGAGTCAGGGATATAACAGATCCCTTCCGCGGGGCGGGGAAAAATAAACTATCCCCGAGCGTAGCACCATTGTTAATCTCCTCGTCATCTTTGTCATCGCCAGCAGTGCTGCTGTTGGAGTGTCCGTCGTCATCCATATCCCGCTGCTCGTTCCCCCCACTGATTTCGGTGCAGACGGATTTTGTCAACACCGCCACCGTTTCCCTCGCAGCGTATCTCAAGGTAGGAACCAGCCGATCACCACCTTTCCCTTGTTCCTCTGGCCCGATAACCCAAGAGCTAACCATTCCCGCCCAAGCAGCCACACTGACGACACCCTTTGTATACCGTTTCCGAGCCAAGTCAACATCCCGGTTAATCTGCTCACGGGTCATACTCTGATGTTTCCCCGAGCGCTTTGAAACATTTAACACCCGGCCCCCTTCCCAAATCAAGAATCCATATTTCCGAGCCAAGAACGACAACTTCCGCGCAGCTTTCTGTGACCAGTCATCAATGATATCCGCGTGTACCTGAAGTACGGCGATGAATGGACCAACAGCATAAACCAATCGCAGCAACGCAGTCATGGTGCTAATATTAGGAGAAGCGGAAACGCATATGAGCTGTCCGTAGGGTAGGGAAGTTTTGGACTTTCGAAGGAGCCGTAGATATGTAGTGATAGTGTTGCTGGAAGCATTCCGCGATAGCGGGTCCATGCTGTGTACTGGATGGTGAGAATAAGAATGTCGTGAAGGAGGGGGTGAGGTGATTGATTATAGAAGGGCTTCGCCTTCCGGCCAATCGTCGTCAGGACTTTGGGTAGTTATTTCACAGCTTTTTAAGATTCACGGACACTTGATTGAAATAATAACGGAGAACCTCGTGCTTCTCTGCTCTGTACTTCTCAAGGTGTTTGCGCCCAAGAGGGTCTTGATCGTCTGCCTTCGGAGCTCAGATCTTAGTGTATTATCAATCGCTAAGTGCAAGAAAGGAGAAGCTCTCTGCGATCGACAAAGGATCCCAGTTCAGGGCATCTGGCCAGTTAATAGTATAATAAATGGGCACTTAACAATTTATCAGAGGCCATTTAAGTTTCAAATGCTCCCTTTGTTGGCAATGGGAGATTAACCCAGAGTTTTTGTCTTCCACGCTCTTTTTTTTTTTTTTTTTTGGGGGGGGGGGGGGGGGGGGATGCTGCTGGTGCGTATTTAGCCCACTCGGACGAAGGCCACAAGAAAAAACAAAACAAGAACCTAAATCAAGGGACTAACGAGGAGAAAGTGAAGTTGCAGCAGTCTGTCTACGTATCAGTAATAATGGCACGGAAAACAAAAAGATGATAAAAGGTGGCATGTTAAACATCCAGCCATAAGAATTATTAAACAACAACCCTCAAGAGGATGGATTGGTTGATTGATTGCCACTGGTTGGCTCTCGGTGCTTTCCACCCAGGACCATTCCCCTCTCCAGGACTAAAAGTAATTCGATGCAGGGGGCCACTCGGTCAGGCCTCTCAGTGAGACTCGAGGGGCTGTTCCTAGGCCAGCCTTGAAGCATAGACGCGGTGCCACAGCTAGTGTGGGATGCATCTTCATCACATCCTGCTGAGGAGATAATAATGACTACGGGGCTTGGAGGAACCTTGATGAAAGGATGCATAAACACCTGCCCCTCTAGTAGACTCTGGGTCTCCCGGAGAGGAGACAGCAATGAGATATGCTGCATTCTCGTTATTATTGCTGCGGATGTGGCGCCATAACCTCTAGCTACCTTATGTCCACATCCTTCTGGTTTGTCGTTGCAAGTTGGCAAAGTGGTTTTTTTGTTTCTTTTGTTTTTTGCAAACTGACCCCCGACTTGCCTCTTCCCCACCTTTGATGCTGCTTGGTACATGAAGCAGCCTTCCAAGTTCCAAGTGGGCTGCAAAAAAGTCCAATCTGCCTGCATTCTGCATCGACCTCTGCGTGGCTGGACCGAGCAGTTATCAATCGCAGATCTGCAGTGTCACTCGATTAGTTAATTGGCCCCGCGATTCGAGTCAGGCCTACGTGCAATGTCTCCCAAGCCTTTAGCTGGACTCTGGTGGTATTAACTAGTTCACTCGTTAGTTATCGACAACATGGGAGATGTCGTTGGCGCTGGTGGCTTCCGGCTGTTCCTCCGTACAGCTAACAGTGTTAGCAGCCTGCGGGGACAGCCGCTGGCTGGCTGGATGTTCATGGACAAGATATTTTCCTGTGCTCCAGACCTGAATTTCTTCGGCTAAAATCAGCCCTTCTCCCCACAAGACGCTCAGAGCCGAGACCCCGATGAGGCTGGTTGAATCGTGATGCTGTCATTCGCTCAGTGCCAGCCTGCCGACAGGAGATTTTGGAGATCGAATTTCACGCCAAGCAGCACGAACAGGATCCAATTAGTTTACGGTATTAAGAGGATCCTGAAAAAAGCTCGAGCCCAGTTTTGACGAGTTGTGCTCATCAATGTATCGTGCACGAAAAGCGGGAATAGATATTTATTTTCAACGGGTTGATTTCTTTCTTTCTTTCTTTCTTTTCTTTCTCTGCAATGGGATTTCAAATTATCCGAACCTCCGTTGTTCAGATAGCTGTCCTAAGTCTTTTGCCAGATATCCATAACGGTGGCAAGCCTGCATTATAAGAAGGGCAGAACTCACCAACTTCCAAAGGTTCACTTGGCATTCGACTTTCGAGGGTCTAAGTTAGGGTTTTTTTTTTTTTTTTTTTTTTTTTTTTTTTTTTCCCCCAAACTCTTCAAATTATTGTCACCTTTTATTTTAATTTTTGATATTTTCTCTTTCCAATTTCCAAATGATGCGGTGCACCGTGGCGAGTGATCGGTGGCTACCGGACAGGCCACCGATTGACAATATTCAACAGCCCAGCCCAGTGCCATCTAGAGATCTCGAGTGCATAGAATGAAATCCAAATCCGTTCGGGCGGGTTTCGCGGACCCAGAGGAACCCGGGGCGTACAACCCCGTCGCAGAATCGGAAACTTGAACAGCTGGGCAGGTAAATACACATTCCTACTTCGGAGCATGAACAAGAACTTGTATTATTTTCTTTCAAACAGCCCTTTTGCCGCTGGAATACGGGAATACGAATGAACGTAGGTAAACGAAATGAACAGCACAAAAATAGGTGGGTACATTCCAACCAGCCCGCCCCGTCGTCGCAATGAGAAGAAGCAGTGTGCATATATGTATTATTGATTTACTTCAGCATTGTTGTCATAATCCGTTGTTTGTTGAGGTTCTTTTATTGTTGTTGTTACTACGACCAACCGGCTGCTTGCATATGCTCGTCTCCTCAATGGCAGTTATTCCCATAAACTGGAACAGAGAGCAATAGGAGAAGCCCACCAGAATGAAACCCCATGACCCCGTTTGCGGATTTCTTTTGACAGGTTTTACTTCTCGATATTCCTCCATAGGACAAAAACATGAAATCCTTACGGGCAGGGTAGGATGCAGATCTGTGCTCCCCTTGGCTGCCCGTCGGTTCTGTGGAAGTGGAAACGGGACTCCGTACCGTACCGTACCGAATATATGTACGGTACCTACTGTCTTTATGTACACCCAAGGAACAGAAGGTTTGGTCGTTCAAAGTAGTATCGCCTGCAATCAAGGAGCAAAAGATCTAGAAGGAGAATTTTTGGAATGGAATATAATATAATATATAATTGATTGTTGATGATATGGGGTTAAGGCCAACCTGGTGACTTGAGGATGATAGATGTATTATATCTGGAAACTCTATATCTCAAGAATAGTAAGTAGTTCTGTGAGAATCATCAAAAAAGAAAAGTACACAACACAAGTGATTTTGACTATTTCTTCACGGTGATTTCAAATACTGCTTCTGCTACAAGAATGTGTTGCAATATATATATATATATATATATATATTATGACAGAGGCATGGTAGGAAGATGATTTGATGTCCTGCACAGAACCGACTACTATTCCCTTAGAGGCCATGAGATTCTGTAAGGGCTGTCTCTCTCATTCCTGCGAACTCATCAAGGAACATATTCACTGACCTTTCCCTCAGCACAGCGAATGTTGTGTCTCATTTCAAAGGGGCATCGACTTGCTTGGCTGGCATTGATAGTGTTGTTTCAAAGGATGATACTGTTGTGTATGCCCAGGAGGTCTTGATACCTGAACTGCTGGAGATGTCGGTTCAGGAGGACATGAGTGTTGATGCCAAAGAGGGCCATCAGCCATCAGATTCCGAAGAAGAGTAACAAGATGGGGGGATTTGCTTAATCGTGAGTAATCAGATGCTCGTAGTCAACAGAAGTGTCGTAACACAATGATTGGTATTGTAATTATCAAATGTGGTTTCCTGTCAATGACCCTTATACGATATATCATTTAGATGAAGCTCAACGTTTTTTGCCCTCGCTAGTTCTGTCCAAAAACATGAGGACGATTCACATGAACATTCAAATCTATCGGTGTTATTATTTCTCGAGGACGCGTGCATTAACTAACGCCTTAATGGCTTTGGCCATCCATTTCTGACAGTGACTAATTGGCTCTTGAGGATAGACCTGCCGAGGACCCTCGAGGTGCCTCTTGGTGGAAGAATAGCTTCACAGATCCCCTCGACACGAGAGAGAAGTTTTGCTGTTGACACCTTTCCAACGAGGATCTTTATTTAGATAGCTCGCCGACTCCTTTAGCTTCTTGCCGGTGTTATCCTCGAAAGACGTTCCATTTTGAATATTACCAGTCACTTGGAAAAGATTCATCATCATTTGTTGCCATGGAATGGCATGGTGGTCGCATGACGAACCATTGTAGGCAACCCATTCCACCGTGATACTTTCTTTTGTAAGCCAGGAACCGAAGAATAGTAGGATTGTTAGAATCACTTTTATCTTGTCCTATTCGTCGCTTCTTGGGACCCAGCAAAGTTATTTCTGCAGTGTCATCGGCGGCGGATGACTGTCTCTTGCTTCACCGGTTTAACAGCTGCCGAAATACAAATTCTGGCAAGCAGGAAAAGCAGATCGGACAAATTGAAGAGCCAAATTGCAAATATAACTTGACAATGTGCCCACTATTTCTGAGCGACTGAGGTTAAGCCAACCCCTTAGGCCCCCCCAGTTTAGGAGGCGTTGTAAATCTGTTCATCCATCTGCCTCCACGCAAGGATCTTCCATTTCTTGAAGTGCGTTTTCTATGTATTCACCCACACCGCTCAGTTTCAGAATGCATGCAACAGCCCGGTGAACCGCAAGGATCAATATTATGCTCAGAGCTCAGATAAAGCTGGTCAACGTCTGGGAGCAATTAGCCGTGCGGGGAGAGCCTCTCTTCAGTTGTGTTAATTTTATATTCATACTTATTTTCAGGGGGCTCGAAATATATCTCAAATTCTCTGAAAAGCCGATGGTACTTTTGTATTTAGTGTCCAACCCATTTTCTGAGCTATCAATATCCTGGATCAAATATCCTGAACTTCGATAAGATAGATCACGTCCAGATCAAATATTTTTAGAATGTGATGTGCCACCTGTTTCAGCTCACTCTAATGAACAGTATTAGAGAAGTATAACAACTATTTGTTACTGGGGGGGGGGGGGGGGATAACATACTAATTGTGAGTCTTCAGGAGAGATGGACGTGAGAAAGTGAGGAATTGTGTGGGCCACTTCTAGGTATCAAATTCATCTTGCTATCCTTATTAGTGTTGAGCCGTTTCCCGACTTCGGCTCTTATCAAACTTTCGCGACACTACACAGTGGTTGATGATGGTCACGGAAAAGGCGGTAACTTCCGACACGCACGTTTTCACGTACCAGATTCAAACTACATGACAGAAATTAACTTTAGAGTTCATGCCTTAGATTACACTTCCAGCAAGAAAGACAGGAGAATAGAAAGAAGAATAGAAACAACCAGTCAACTGACATGGCATGAAAACATTATCAATCATGTGTTCAGTGACAATCACAGCTTCTCCTCCTCGCTTCAAATCCGACGATGAGAAATCCCTAGAGTAAGTGAATGAATGGTTGGTGAAATCCAGAACTAGTACTGCGTTCTTCTTCCAGAGCGACACTGCCGTAAATGTACGGTAAAGAAGTAATCAAGGAACTCATCAGTGGATATCTCTCCTCTGGCACTAGAGAGGAATCCCTCTAGGGAATGTTTGTGACGATGGAGTTGGACCATCAGGATGTAGAGTAGGAGGAGAAGAGGATTGATTAGCGCATCACATGATTTCGCACCCTCCGACGACCTCCGTCTCTGTATCTCAGTGCCCAACTTCAACCACCCCATCATGGCGCCCAACGAAGAGGGTTTACAGTCAGCCTTTGAGTTTTGGAACAGGCAATTTGGTGCCTAATTATATGCTCAGGCCGCAAGGGAATTCGGAATCAATTGAAGGACGTTTGATGCAGCACTACAACGGCAAAACAAGTATCCTGAACTTAGGCAACCTCCACGTCCTGCCGGCTTCTCACCAGTACTGACTTCCTCCTTCTGAGAGGGACGGACATTCCATTTCTCCCTGGCATCGGAAGTCCGCTGAAAATATGCATGACGAAAACGCCCGTGCTCTGTTTGCCTTGCAAGCTTCTCTTTTGTGCAGCCAAGATCACAATGATGGCTACAAGGGGACCCCCTCCACCAGACCACCAGACCGAAAAATCCTGACAAAACTACTGGTCGATTGTTCCTGTTTCTCCGCTCCTGTAAGAGGGCATGCATGGCTCGTTGTCATGGCCATAGCCAGCCGTGGTTCTCGGGATTAACATTGATTATAACCAGATGGAATATGGGGCAAGGAAAACATGCAGATTCTCGGAACCCAAGGATTCTTTTTACTTGCGCAGTCCTTCGCTCCGTAACTAGTTAGTTAACCAACTACTCAGGACGGAGTAGATCCAGTAGGCTTGAGAGAACAAGCGATAATGGCCCAGAGGAGACAGGAAGGGTTGAAGCAAGGGGGGGGGGGGGGGTAAGATTCCCTCGTGAGGATCACGTGGGATCTCCTCCTAACCAAGCAGGGAAAGAGGGGTTATCGCCATAGAGTTGCGCTCTATGATGAATGATGAAGCAGAAGGTTTCTTTCTACGACCCCCTTATCTCGAAAGCCGCCTTTCATGGTGGCGCGAACAGGCTCGCTGTAGAAAAATGCCTCCATTTTCAATAAGCGACGATGCCAAAGCAGAGTTGGAAGCGTTGGCGGATTGGATGCCAACCTCAGAAATGAGGCAAGTTACATTGTATGCGAGTGTTTGTACAGACAACGACCGTTTTGACAGACTCCAGCCCTTTCTTGAAAAGATGGGCCTTTGGAAAGAGGTAGGAGAACCTCTACAGCACAAAAGGGACAGGGCTAACTATTGTAGGACTGTCCACATTCTCTGTTCTCAATAGCTGGGTATGGGTCAATACCTAAACACAGCGGCTTTGATCATATTCTTTTCCCACTATCAGGGAGCATTACCATCTCGAACACCTTCATTCAGCCTGGAGAATACATGAGATACTCAACTACTCAAACGTTCATTGCAAATTTGGATCTTTTGATCGTTTTAGTACCGGAAGCCGACCAGCCAGACAGCCCCGTACCAAAAGAGGAAAGCCCAGCTACCTCACCAACTGAAAACCCAGCACAAAACAGCTGAGCGACTGGGTTCAGCAACCAGCAAGGCGAAAGAAAGAAAAACATCTTCTGTTTACCCCCATTTCAAGAGTTCGACTGGTTGGTTGTCCAACGTGTGATGGTTTTTGCATGGGTCGCATGTTAGTGTACTTGCGTATGTTGTTTGGAATGACATCTATGGAGCAGTCGAGTTTGCATAACAAACTGAAGGTCGTGCACGTGTTTCTTGTGATGCGCTATCAGGGTATGGTAGAAGAGTTGAATTCTGGGAGGAATTTGCAAAGTCTATCGGATCTATGATAGCTGCAAGGTCCAGAGGGAGACTCCGCTCGGAGGCATATAGAGCTGCTGAGTTTTGAAGTTCTATTGAAGACGTTTCCGGGGAATAGTTGCTGTGCGCTGATGAGCTCTCGGGTTTCCGGTTTTCCGCGTGTCAACAGGTATTTCAGAGATAGTCCCACTAGGGAACTGTGGTCTAATGTCCGGAAGGATACGGCCTTTTGTTGCAGCCCAGTGTGGGTGCTTAGTTCCCGGTCAAGACGATCTGATTCTGGGTGAAGTCCTTTGTTCTTCCTCTATCCTACGGAAAAAGTAAAATTAAAATTAAAAATTAAAAATTAAAAATTAAAAAAAATTAAATAAATAAATAATTGGCATTCCATGTGAATTGTTAGTCGATCTCACCATTGTATATTGATTGGCCCATCTCAACCCAGGACGAAGCCAGTCTGAGGGTAACGAGTATGCCCGTTTCCCTTCCAAGTAGGCAGGCAAATTCGTGAAGTTCATTATAAGACAGAGTATCAAAGCAATGATACGTAAACGGTATTCCCGCTTCTATTCCCCCCCCCCCCCCCCCTTCCCTTGGACGATGGGGCATTCTTGGACACACCATCTAACCTTGTCCCTCCTGCCTGCTGTCTATTGAGTTCCCATTGATTGTAAAACTTGACAATATCCTCGAAATTTTCTTGTATCTTATCCAGGAGCTGTTGATGCCGACATGGAGGAAGTTGAGTTGTTTGCGGAGGTGCAGAAGAATAGCAGTGAGCACTCGGGAACTGTATTTTTGTCTTCTAAAGTACTGGAGGTTTGCTGAAATGATCCATTGTTGACAGAAAATGGAGAAACGATTGAATCCGCTTCTTCAAAAGTGACTAAATCGTGGGAGGTGTGCTGTCATGATCCACCACTGACAGAGATGGGAGAAGAGATTACACTGCTTTCATCAGAAGCAGCATGTTGAGAAACGGTTGCAAATTGCAACAAATGCTTATAGGGAGCAGCGGCTTGCTGATACGATGCAATGAAAGCGTTTTGAATAACTGTAACCTCCAACTCATTCTGCAATTGTCTCAAGAGCAGGAATCACTTCTGTACGATGAGTCTTCAGCACGTCTGGAGATATCCGTAGTAAGGCTGTCAAAAATGATAGAATTCCCGATTCAACCGTCATATTTGCGCTGTTGAACTCATGGAAAGGGAAAGAAAACGGAGTTTCAAGCAAGATTTGGGGATTTTGGGCTTCGGTCAAGTTAAGTGCCAATTGAGGAGTGCGGAAGGATCATCAGCTCACACAAGCACCTTGACAAGGATTAATAATAGTCGGCACTACAATACAATAAAACGGACTGGGTGCTCGAAGTAACTTTCGACAGAAGCAACAAAAATTTAGAAAGCCTGTGAGTATAGACATAGATCCTAGAACACTGGGATTTTTCGCAGCTGTTGGGTTATGGTGGAGTTTGGCCACCAAAAGGTATGCCTTTCCTGTGACAAGAATCCTCTCGGGAGAATCCTCTCGAGCTTGTCCTGCCCTAAGAGAGCCTTGACCCAGCAACATGCCTGACATGAAGTTTGGAGTCTGGCCGAGCATGTGAGAGCACTTGTAATTTTGCTTCGAGTTCGATAAGCAGGTAACTCTAGCTTGTTGTATTTGATTATTTACCTTACAGTTTAAAAAGCCTAGGGTGGGTGGTTGTCTTTTAACGTTGGTGGGTTACTTGAATCAGCATGTTGACCATTGGGATTTGGGAATAGTTTTGACATGGAAGTTTCAGGAACCAAACTGTCATAAAATACAATGAACGAGCTGTTACCTACCCAGTTAGTTGTTTTATCACCCTCCTTCAGATAACCAATCCAATGTCGGCTGTGAATCCAGTCCGTGTGGATGTGTGGATTTGTGGATTTGTGGATTCGATTCTGTTAGTTATGTAATTGCTTTGTCAGGGTACCCGTTGCCAAGCCTCGTGTGCCCTCAGCCCATCCAGGAACTTCGTTTCTTCCAGAGTTTGGTTTGAGTTTTGAGTCGTTAAACAAATAATCAAACTCCTTGAGCATCTTGCCCTTTACTCTGTAAACGCCACATTCATCTTCCATCTCCAATCTCTAATTCTTCGATTCTGCCACCCTCCTTCATTCCAGCCTTACGTGCGGTATCTCTCCACATCCCTAATTGTGTGATCAATTTTTTCCATCCCCCTCTGGACGCTAGAACATTCCCCTGAGTAGTGAGCTGGTTTTAGATGGTTTAACGCGGGTCATCAACCCTCTCTCCCCTGTCGTTTAAATATCTTTCCCTTTTATTCATATCTATCAATCGTTACTATGCCGGGTAGAACCTTGCCAGTCTTCTCCCTCGCCGAACTCAAATTGCATACAACGGAGAAATCGTGTTACGTGACACGGGGCTCAAAGGTCTACGACGTGAGCTCTTTTCTTAACGATCACCCTGGCGGAGGCGAATTGATACTGCACTATGCCGGCCAAGATGTTTCCGAAATCATGCATGATATCCCCTCCCACGACCACTCTGAGGCCGCGTATGAGATTCTGGAAGAGTATCATGTTGGATTTTTGGAATGCACTCCATCCTTATCCAACATGAACGGCAATGGTGCTACGCACGCTTCAAATGCAAACGGGTTACCAAATGGAGTCAAGCCAGTCTACAGCTCTACGGGAATGTCAGGCGAGGAGGATCTCTCTGTCGAGACCGACCTGACTGCGGATTATCGGACACATAAGTTCCTTGATCTAAACCGACCGCTCTTCGGACAGCTGTGGAATGGTGGTTTCTCCAAAGAATTTTATCTGAAGCAGGTCCACCGTCCAAGACATTACAAAGGCGGCGAATCCGCTCCCCTGTTTGGCAATTTTCTGGAGCCTTTGACGAAGACTGCGTGGTGGGTGGTTCCAACGGTTTGGTTCCCGCCAGTGGCCTACGGGACGGTTGTGGGCTTTTGTGGCTTGCAGAATTTCATTATAGCCTCCGCATACTGGCTACTGGGTCTGTTCCTTTGGACCCTGGCTGAGTACAGTCTACATCGCTTTGTCTTTCACATCGATAAGTATGCCACTCCTTTTTTTTTTTTTTTTTTTTTAGAAATCCTTTTTTGCACCCGCATCATACACCCTCTGTTTACTATAAATTGCTAACTGAATGCAAATAGATACCTCCCAGATAACCGCGTTGGCCTCTGCCTACACTTCCTCTTGCATGGCATCCACCACTACCTCCCAATGGACAAGTACCGTCTGGTCATGCCCCCATCTCTATTCATCGCTCTCGCAATCCCCTTCTACTATCTGGCAAAAATCGTATTTTTCTACAACTGGTACGCCGCCGTAACAGTTTACTCGGGCGGAATATTTGGATATGTTTGCTACGATATGACACACTATTTCCTTCATCATCGCAAGTATGTACTCTCATCCTGCCCTTCTCATCTTATATATGTTCCAAGTACATGAACTTACATAGTCTCCTCTTGTGTCTTTAAACAGTCTCCCATACTACTATAAAGAACTCAAGAAATATCATCTCCAACACCATTTCGCTGATTACGAAAATGGCTTTGGCGTCAGCAACCGCTTCTGGGATAAAGTTTTTGGAACGGAACTTCCACCTCTCCAGCCAGTCAAGGTTGAATGAATTAATGTATTCTAAAAACATATGCCCCCTTAAAAATTTACCAACTCTGGGTTTATTTTCCTTTTTTTTCTTCCATTTACCTGGTGTTGATATTTTTGCAACATCAGGTAACTATGTGCCCCTTTCTCTCCTTTCTTTCTCCTGGCCTTTCTTCTGCCCTTTATTCTCCCATTAGAGCCGTTTAACCCATTCGCCTAAAAAAATGCCTGTCCCAAACATTGCAGCACTGTACACATACTGTATTGTACTTCTATTCCATATCCATTTTACGGCGGTGATGATTGATCAGTTTCAGTTATGATACTTCAGCCCTCGATTTGTTTCCCCACTTGTATTTTAATTTTTTTTTTTCGGCTTTTCCTCACTCTCCTCGGATTCTTAGTAAATATATGACTGGATTCATTTTTTTTCCTCTCCTTTATATACCCTGCTCGCACCCCCCTGAGCCTTGATGGCATGTCAGTGGAGAGTGAGCGTGCTGAGGGTATAATGTGATAGGCTTATGATTTTGTTTCACCATTTTTTTTTTTTTTTGGTGTGAAGCGGGGGGATTTGTTTGTTTCACGCTGTGTAAATATATAAACAATTATGTTGGATAACTATGTGCATATGGGTAGTAAAGAGTAATATTCTATATCTCTGTTGGTTCAATGGCGATGTTTAGTAACTAACTTTAGGGGCAATCCTGCTGACATAAACACTGTAGTGGATCTAACCCACGTGATTTGCCAGTCAGCGACCTTCCGGTGCTTTATCGACTTTAATCACTGAAAAATCTCCCAGGTGTGCTTTATCAACAACGATCTTCAGCGTCGTACACCAGCCAGATCAAACGTGTAATTGGCTCAGAGTACTGTGCCAGCCAAGTCATATCGATTCTGTATAGGAGGATTACTAGGGCTTGCTTTGGCAACGCTTCAGTTCAAGAAGGGTTCGCTCGTCTGACCCTCTTCGTTTCCCTCTCTAACGAAAGCAAAGTGATCAACTCTTTCTCCGTCTCCCCTTTCCTGCCAAACCGACGATCGTAATTCAACGTAACTTCACCATGTCAGGTATTGATGTGGAGGCTCTTCTAGAGTCCACAGCTGCTTCCCACCCGCCCCCGCAACCTGCTGAGAACCCCGACAAAAGCCACGATGAGTCAAACAGCTCTAGAAGTGAACGTCGTGACCGTGACCGTGACCGTGACCGTGACCGCGATCGCCATCGAGATGGATCCCGTGACCGGGACAGAGAGCGCAGGCGACGAGATCGAAGCCGGGATCGCCGCCATGAAAGAGATGCCGATGGGGACGAGGAAATGAAGAGCCCAAAGAGCGATCGCGCAAGTGCTAACGGGAGCCATAGAAGCAGAAAGAGAAGTAGGAGCCGTGATAGCGAGAGACGCCGTTCCCGTCGTGACCGCGACGACCCATCTTATCGATCATCCGGTGGTGACTACTATCGCGGGGGTGGTCGAACAACCCGCTCCCGCTCCAGATCTCCATTCGATGACAGATATTACAGACCCACCGGACGCCCCCGCCATGATGAGCGTGATGATGATAAGCGCACAAGTAGGCGCGATAGGGACGGGCGCAGGCGAAGTCCCAGCGGTGGCAGGGGGCGCCGCAGCAGGACCCCTGAACCTCAGCTCACTGAAGATGAACGCGACAGACGAACCGTTTTCGTACAGCAACTCGCTGCCCGTCTCAGAACGAAAGAGCTAATTGCCTTCTTTGAGAAAGTTGGTCCGGTCAAAGAAGCTCAAATTGTGAAGGATCGTGTGAGTGGGAGATCGAAAGGGTGAGTTACTTTGCGGCAACCCCCTACCCCCGTGTCTATTTTGTTCAGCAATTGCTAATTGTATATGTAGCGTCGGTTATGTCGAATTTAAGGATGAAGAATCGGTCCCACTTGCCATTCAGCTTACTGGCCAAAAGCTTCTAGGGATTCCTATTATTGCTCAACTAACCGAAGCCGAGAAAAACAGACAGGCCCGCAACCCCGAGGCCAATGTTAGCGGAAACCAAAACTCGATTCCCTTCCACCGGTTGTACGTCGGCAACATCCATTTCAGCATCACGGAAAGTGATTTGCAGAAGGTCTTCGAACCATTCGGTGAACTTGACTTTGTCCAACTTCAAAAGGAAGAAGGGGGTCGCAGTAGAGGCTATGGCTTTGTCCAGTATGCTCTTTTTAGTTTTCCCATTTTTATTCTCAGCATCTCCTTGCTAACAAATATCTCTAGGTTCCGCGATCCCAACCAAGCTCGAGAAGCCTTGGAGAAGATGAATGGATTCGATCTTGCTGGCCGCCCAATTCGGGTTGGCCTTGGTAATGATAAGTTTACCCCTGAATCGACCGCCAATTTACTGCAGCGATTCCAGGGACAAGGTGCCCACCATAACTTCCAGGGTTCTCTATTCTCTGGCCACGGAGGTCGTGGAGCTCAAGCTGGCGGCTCCGGTAATTTTGATCGCGCTGGAGGCAGAGACAATGACAAAGCGGCTGGTGGCGCTAGTGCCCTCGATGATACGGACGTTGCTGGTGTGAACTTCAATAATTATAGCAGAGATGCATTGATGAGGAAACTCGCGAGAACAGATGAACCTGCTGTCGAACCGAAACCCGATGAAAAACGTAAAGTACCCAAACCGCAACTTAACGCTAAGCCATTGCCTGTGACTGTCAACATGGCTAGCAGATGTGTTCTGCTTCGAAACATGTTCGACCCTGCAGAGTAAGCTAGCCGACCTTACCAGGCCTATTAATTATTTGAGTATATATACTGACTCTTTGCCTAGGGAAGAGGGTGACGGTTGGATTAAAGAGCTAGAAGATGATGTCCGGGCTGAGTGCGAGGAAAAATATGGTCATGTTGTTCACATTGCACTAGATCCAAATACCCAAGGAGATATCTATCTCAAATTCGACCGTGTCCAAGGAGGCGAGAATGCCATCAAGGGTTTAAACGGACGATTCTTTGGAGGGAGACAAATTAGCGCGCAGCCGGTTGTTGACGCGGTTTACAGCAGCCTTTTCTCCCGCACCAAAGCCATCTGAAAGGTCACTTAACGAATTCTAGGTCAACTGAACAGAGGAGAAAGTCATCAAGGAGAGTAGGTATATATTTTAACAGACAGCCTTTGACGCTTTTGTCTAGGGCCGTCGACCTTGTAATTTCAATTTCCCCAAAAACTATTCCCCCCGACCGAGTGTTGAAACACCTTTACACAAAACGTGACATGCATCCAGTGGTGGTTACCATTGATATACCCGGGTGTGTACGTGATTTCACCAGTGGTATGTGCTGAGCCTTTTTCGCGAGTATAAATTTTGTTTCTGTTGTGACATTGATTTGAATATTTCTCCTGCAGAGCGCAGTAGCTAGAATGTTATTTTTCAATTTAGGTCGTTGTAATTTGTTTACCTTATTGCCATCCACTCTCTTCCACTTCTATCACGTCCCTCTTCCGCTAGTCATGAGCATGAGCTATATCCCCGACCACTTTGATGCCTTTGATCATTGGCATATTACAACTATCGCCTTGATTTTCTAGGCTATCTTTTATACGGAGTCTGGCTCCTCCACTTGACAGCTGTAGCGTCTGCTACAACTGCGCTACTAGTCTTTATTGAAGTTGTATACAGTAAAACTGGCGGAAATGCAGTATGTTTCTTCTTATTGTGGATGTTTTCTTTCTTCGAGTCCACGCATGATATGACAACTGTACTCCAAAGTAATGTTTCCCTACATATTACATCTGAGAAACCTCTTGATGCATACCACAAAAGTATAGTTCTCGCACCCAGTGCGATTAATCATCACGACAGATATTCCATCGCCATCCCAACCCTTCTTCTCTTTCAAAAAGGGACAGCACAAAGCAACTCTTCATTTTTCTGTGAAAGTTGTTTTCTCACTCTCCAACTCCTTTCTTCTATCCTATTCCATCACCTCCCTTCTTCATCCAGCTGTTGTCAGCCACATTTCCTTAAGAATCTGCAATCACTCAAGTCGCAGGCCTCTCCATCTCGACAGTCTCCCTTGAAGAGCCGCGAGAGCTGCAAAACACTGAGTGGGACCTACTCCACAGCTGTGTGTTCGTTACCAGGCATTTGTCTCTCTTTTAAGCTCTTTTACAACAGTTATTTCGTCTATTCAGCGTGAATTCAGCGTGTATTAGCTTCTATCTGGCGTCCAGTACTCTCAAAGTCAACCGCCACGTCAATATATCGACTATGGCAGACCAAACTGATAATACCAGCCCACGGATAAGGTTCCCGATTCTGGAGCCAGAGCAGCTCCGGGGCCTCCAACTCCCTTTCTTGCAAAAGGGCGCTCCTGCTGCCATACAGGCGGAGACCTTCCACTCTATGCAGCATCGTCTTGACGAGATGCTCACTGCCCTTGATGCAAGAGAAAGCGACTTGTATCACGTCAAGGTTGAACTCGCTGAGGCCCGAGTCAGCTTCCAGCGCGACCGCGAAGCGATGCATGACATGGAAAGACGAATTATCGAGCTCGAAGATATCATCGAGAAACAGAGGATGACTATCAACTTGCAGAGCAGGACGATCTCTGGCCCTGGACCTGCTATTCCCAGGACCAAGCCCCGCGCGATGTCTTGTGGCTTCAGCACTCCGGAGCATCATCCGTTCAACCAGGAGGGTCCGCGTGTCTCTCATTTCCAGCATGTCTTCAGCCAGCCGCCTCCCAAGTTTGGGCTGGCGAGCCTGCAGACCCAAGCAAACGCACCAGCCTTTGGCAGAATTCAAGCTCCTCCGACTTCTATAGCTCCTGCTGCTGCTGCTGCTGCTGCTGCTGGTGGTGGTGGTGGTGGCAGCGCTGCTTTCATGTCACCCATCGACCGCTTGAATGCATTTCTCCCGCCCCTTGTGCCTAGTCCTGCTGTGGAGGAGAAGCTTGTCGCGATGTCCTCGTTGCCCGCGGTGGCGCCAGAGGGCTCGATGGTCATGGAAGCGGCCAGCCTTAACGGGAAGGATTTCGCGGCTATGCTCAAAGCCCTTTTCAAGAAGACGGAAACTTTTGGACAGACCTACGTCAGCACATCAGATGCAACTGTCGACAACGCGATTGATCCCGATATCCAAGGGTTCCTGCAGGCGTGTTCTCATCCGAGCGCACTACCCACCTTCCAGAGGGACCCGAAATCTCGCACCCTGCTCTTGATCAAGGCGATAAACTTATATCTCGTCATCAAGGTGCTTCACATCTGTGTCTTGTTCGGTTTCGACACCACCGCTGACTCTGAGATTGAGCAAATGCTGGACCTTGTTTTCCCTGGTAAGTACCAAAATTTCCACGGCTATATACATATCCTGATGCCAAGCACAACGTTCCAGCCTCTAATTCCAAATGATAATTGCACTTCAGCGGCATCTGCCAACGTCCGCGTCATCTTCTATGAAGCGATTCGCCTCCAGGTTAACCGCATCCGCAACAAACCCCTTTTCTGCAACTTCTACAACAAGCGTAAGAGCGAAAACGCAAAATCTCTATTCGGGTATATCCAACACCTCGTCCAACGCAACCACCCAACCATCTGGGGTGACTTCGTCGAGTTAATCGAAGAAGCTCATAGCCTCGCGATAATCATGTTCTCTGGTCCCTACGAGTTCCACATGCGCTTCGCGGAGGTTGGTGACCTGTTCGATATGAAAACGATGTGTACTCGTAAGACGGGCGGGATTTGTGACACAATGGATCCTCGGACGCTGATGAAGGGCTGCTACCGTGTTAAGCTGGGCATTGCCCCGACAATTGTGTTTCGGGACAACGCTGCACCTGGGACCGATGCGATGCCGGCCATCTTTGTTGGGGATGTCCTTCTGATGCCTCCGGGTTCGGAAGCGCAGTAGTATGTGTGACTGACTGTTGTTGGCACTGAGAGCAATTATGTGAAGTGGGGTTTCCAAGGTTCTAATTTTTCGAGGATATATGTGGTGTGATGTTCTTCTTTGGGAAGTTTCGTGTGAATGGAGTTTTATGCAAAGGGAATGGATATGACGTTGGGTCTTGGGAGTCCGTTGGCAGGTAGCTTGTCCCTGGATTTGCTTTGGTCTTGGACTATCTCGTCCGGATGTTGATAAGGAGTTGGTACATTGCTCTGAAACTTTTCCGCTCTCAACTTTCTCTCTCCTCTCCGGGAACATAGCATCAAGTATTCCTACCAACTTGTTTGCCTATTTTTGATCTGGATTCCACATCAAACTAAAAGCATACCCATGTTTTGGGGTAGATCTGTATATCGGGATATTCGATCTCGATGTGTCAATCTTTCTGATCTGCCCCCCCCCCCCCCCCCCCCCCCTTTTTTTTTTTTTTACATGTTATCTGTATACTCTGGTTACACTGTCTGTCTGTTTTTCCTTGCTTGTTCTCTCGAGACCTGTATTATTTTAGCTGTCAAGTCGAGTCTTTGGTATCCGAACCGGTGATTTTCCTCCAGAGCTACCATTGACGGCGGGATGAACATCTCGATATATATGTACAGCGCAATTTGCACAGCAGTAACTAGGTGGTTAGCTAAACCCAGAAAACCCACATTCTCGGCAATCTGTCGTTGTTTCTTCCTTGCTCTGAATCGCCACCGCTTTATCATTATCCTCTGGTACGCCGCAGGAAGAGGGTTATTTAACTATGGATTTGGGAAAATGAACAGATCGCCGCATGTAGCCAGGTAAACAGTGATATTTCTAATAACAGAGTACACAGAGCCAGGGCTATAGGGGGTCAACAGCCAGTCGATCGTATCTAGATTTTCTGATTCTTCTTCTCATCTTCTCATCTTCTCATCGAAAGCGGGCAGATCTGGAAGACGTCAGTCACCCTTCTAGGATGTACTCTTCACTCCCGCGATGCCTCCAGAATCAGAAGATTGTACGAGACAAAAATCAATGGCTCTCGCGGAATTGTGTGGACTGGGAATGTTGCTAACTATTCTCCTATCCTATGGAAATTGGGACCCACGACTTTGTTATTCCGCTCCATTTACTTCTAGCTGAGCACTGCTGGAATATTATCATTATAGCGGTGAAGTCCTTGATTTGCATCAACAGCTCGGATCGCAGCTCCACCGTTACCGCAGTTCAGAGGTGCTGGCTGTCCCATATAGTTGGACGTCACGACAGGACCTTTTTGAGGATGGAATGAATGGACACATCTACGAAGAATGGTGCAAGTCTCACTCTTCTTTCTGCATGGGAAAGCGATTGAGCTTTTTAACTTTGAGACGCGAGAGCTCATCTGCAAGAACCCGCGGAGGGCCTATTTCTACCGATGTTTCAAGCAGCCAAACTTGCTTTTGAGAGATGGGTTTTATGGATATGATTTCGGCCCCAGGAGAAGAGAATTTCTTGGGACGATGAATGTTATGTATTATGCAGGGAAAAGGGAATTAATTTGGAAACATCGCTTGTTCACCCTTGTTACTAACGTCCCTCTCTTTTCTTTTCTTTTCTTTTCTTTCTTTTCTTTTCTTTTCTTTTCTTTCTTTTTTTAACAAAGTCTTGATTTAGTAGCATGAGTATCACTCCAGAACACGGTCCGCCGCCCCCCTGGGCAACATCCTTTATGTCATCCCGAGAGTGATGAAACAACATATTGTGAGACTGCCGTGGCGTCGAAATGTGGCGTGCAGCCGAATTTAAGACGGAGGAAAGACAAAGAGACCAAGTAGTTATTTAAAGTGTTATCTAAATGGAGTACAGATATTCAGGTTTAGGTATCCCAGATACACACTCTCTCCTTTTTTGATATTTATACAATGTAATTGAAAATTGAACATCTTAACATTCCCCGCGAAGACAGACAGAACCAATTTCCATCATTTTTAGTTGAACTTCCCAGCAACAACCCAAAATAACTAGACCTCAACCAACCAACAACAAAAATTCCGCCACAGCAAGCATCCCGGCAGAACCTATCATTGCTATTATTAATATTTAAAAAAAAAAAAAAAAAAAAAAAAAGAGCCACCAACTATTCCAACCTCGCCGACGTCAGACATTCAGTTTATTCTTCTCTCACAACCTTCAAAATTCAATATCGTCTTTTACATGGTGCTATTCCAATGAACTCTGGTGCAGTAAAGTGTGCCACTGTTCGCGCTTGGACCCTAGCGGACAGTTACAGTATGCAGTTAAATATTAATTCCCAAGTTTTATTGCCCTGACTGGAGTTCATGATCCTTTTACATGACTAACTTGCGCTCAAATTCAGGCTTCATCGCGACTTTCCTATGCCGTCACAGCTACAGCACGAGCGCCGAGCACCAGCGTCAGCGTCAGCGTCAGCGTCAGCCTCCTCAGAACCAATATCAATATCATCACCAACACCAGCAGCACCCCCAGCACCCCCAGCACAGCCAGCGACGACGCCAGCATGATGAAGCTTATGTTCAGTCCCCGCACTTCCACGACTACTTCGTGACCCACCTCCCGAGATCCTCTCTCCACCCCGACTCCGGTGCCTCCTCAGGCCCGCACCACAAACTGCCCCGTTCAGCATCGATGCCGCACACGTCAAGCCAACCAGGGGGTCCCTCTCCGGCCACCGTGCAGTCACATATAGGCCTATCACGCGAGACAACCGTCGTCCGCATCCCACTGCGCAGTGCAAAGCACCACTTTGGCGTCTGCGGGGCGCGTGGGACTCGTCCTGCTAATGAAGACACATATCAGGCTGGTGTAATTGATATACCCGCATTTGCACGCCGGGCACCGCTGTCGTTGACGATTGGGGCACGGTCTGCGGCCGCCAAGGGGAATGCCGGCGATGTGGAAAAAGGGAAGAGAGAGGCGGCGGCGGCGGCGGCGGCGGCGGCAGAGAACCGTGGGGCGGATAGCGCAAATGGGGACCCGCAGGTGTTTTACTTTGGTGTCTTTGATGGGCATGGCGGGATCGAGTGTAGTGAGTACCTGAGGGATTATTTGCATGAGTACGTGCAGGATGCTGCTGTGGCGTTTGAGATGCAGTCGAGCTTGCAGAAGGGGATTGCCACAGGGCGGACGGCTACGAGGAGGCTGCCGTGGACCAGGAGCAGGGTTATGGAAACAGGTAAAAGTTCGGGTGTTGAGGCGGAGACTGCGAGTGGCAATTCGACACAGAGCAAGAATCACGAGACATTACCGCTACAGGGCGACCTGCCGATCATACAGCATGCTAATAGGCAGAAGATTGTAGAATTGGAAAAGGAATTGGTGGTTAGCTGGAAAAATCTGGTCGGGGGATACTATCGGCGGTTTCGCCCTCAGCATTTCTCCTGTTTTGACGAAAACCGGACATCCAGTTCTAGCGCCCATTCCGACACCCACACCCACAACCACAACCACAACCACAACCACGCCCTCTCCCATGGCCACTCCCACGGCCACTCCCACGGCCACTCCCACGGCCACTCCCACTCCCACTACACTACAACAACTCAAGGAGCCACAATCGAAGAAATGCTGGAATATGCATTCCTAAAAGCGGATTTTGACTTCATCGCCGCCCAAGCCCTCAAGCAGGGCGACGACCCTGTCCAGGCTGAAAAGCCCCTCAACGAATCCGACATCCTCCACAACCCCAGCAGAGCCCGATACCCCATGCTCGGTGGACCCCACCGCTTCAAAGGTGGCAGCACCGCCAGCATTGCCATGATCTCCACGCCCAGCCCAACGCCCTTCTGGCACCCGTCATCCCCTTCCTCCCTCGTCGTCTCCCACGTCGGCGACACGCGCATCCTCCTCTGCTCCACAGCAACAGGCCTCGCTATCCCGCTCACGACGGACCACCACCCCTCCTCGCCAATTGAGGGGAGCCGACTGCGCCGCTACGCGGCGGCATTTGTCACCGACTCCTTTGGCGAAGAGCGCATGAGCGGTTTAGCCAACACGCGCGCCTTCGGGGACATGCAATCCAAACGTATCGGAGTCTCTGCCGAGCCTGAAGTGCGGCGCGTGGAAATGGGGCCGGCGGAGTATTCATTCCTGGTGCTTATGACGGATGGGGTAAGCGGGGCGATGTCTGATCAGGAGGTTGTGGATGTGGTGAAGGAGGCTAAGACGCCGGATGAGGGTGCTAGGAATGTTGTGGCGTTTGCCACGGAGGTGGGGGCTGATGGGGATAATGCTACGTGTCTTGTTGTGAGGTTGGGGGGCTGGGAGAGGAGGCTCGAGGGGGGTTTGGGGAGTATGGGGACGAGGGAGGAGAGGGAGTGGAGGCGCGTGGAGGCGACGGATCCGAGGAGGAAGCGGAGGTAGTTGATTTGTTATGGATGAGTGGGCGGAGAGCGGGAGGTCTAATGTGATCTGTATGTTTGCTTATGCTTGCATTCTGGGATTCATCTGAGGGGATATTTTCCCTTTTATTTTTGTCTTCAGCTTTTTTTTTTTTTTTTTTTTTTTTTTTTTTTTTTTGGCATTTCATGTCGTGCATATGGACATAATAAGACATAGATTATCCAACCACTAGATGATGCGATTTGATCATTTTTGATAATACAGATAGATGCAGGGCTAAATTATCATGATTCATTTTCGCAAGTGTGTTTTGATCATTGGATTGTGGTTTTCTTCTACCATGTTGGTTACAGCCGCAAAGCGATACACGTCGAGAGGGCCCCATATTCTTTTCCTTTCTACAATCGACTCAACACTGTCTTACCATCAACGGGACCATTCAGAGGGTAATCCCACACGTTTAAGGTGGATTTATTTTTATATGTAGCTATTGCCGGTACATTCTCTTACTTGTCCTCGCATCTGTCAGTCCCAGAAATTAACTGTCTGGAAATTTTATGATGGAACTGACGGCAACCTTCCCCGAAAGACATACGGCATTGGCATGACATGATGAAAGAACTGGAACATATTCCTCCACAGATATCTCTCCTCTTCACAAGCTCAAACTGTCCAAGCTCAGCCAGCATTGCCTTCCTTGCGGAAGCCAGCTACAGACGAGTGTCACACTGCAATGCCTTGACTGGAGAAAAGCATATGTATTTGTTGACGAGAAAGGAACTACATGACGAGTTGGAAAACTCCATCTCATTCATAGTGTCTCCCCGTGAGATTTTCTGTACCGGGCTCAAGCATTATTAATACCTGAAATGCTGTCTTGCAAGGGAATCTGGGCTGACTCGTCGGGAGTGCTGAGTAGCTTCCAACGGCCCCCATGACGCAACTCGGCCTGAAGGCCTGGATGCCAGACGCGTAAGAATAAAAAGGGAACGGAGACCCGGTGGATCTTGCAGCAGGTTTTGATCTTTGAAGAGCCTTTGGCCGCGAGGGAGAAGGTCTGGAGCACGTTTGACATGTCCTTTTCAGTTCCGTCAGGAGGAAAACACACGAACAACGGCAAAAGTTTGGTTATGGGGATTCAGAGAACCTCACTCTCGATTTAACTTTCAGATGGCCAGAAATAACTACCGGTGCGTGCTGGGCTGCTGCTCTCATATGCACCAACGACCCAGCAGCCTCGGCCTCTCTTCCGCATTATGTATATTCTAGTCGAAAAGGGGGCAGATATGAAGTTGCGCATTTCATTCGTTCTCCTTTGAACAGTGTGTTGTTGCCTAAATGCTAACTTAGTTAAACGTCTTAAACGGAATACCCCTGAGTTGCTGTCTTGCCCTAGCTAAATATACCCTCTATTCTCGATATCGCCATAATGTATTCCTATTTAATTGGACGGATGGATTGATTCATTTCCGCGCAGGGCAGAATTAGCATATATTATTTTCTTGTCAGATATTTTCTATCGATTCATTGATTTGCAGAGTCCAAAAGTAATTAATAGTTAGAGTCATTTATGTAATTAGTTACCGGTCGCCTGGTTTGCAAATCGTCGTTATTTTAAGTGACGACGCATAAAACCTCCTTTCAACTGCAACTTCTTATCTTATTCTATGTCCTTTTCCCCCAGAACTTTTCTCGGTTCTATATTTTCATCATATTCCACATTCCTCCGTGAGCATCTTCAGATGCCATCTCCTCCAATAAACGCCATAGACGCATAAACGCCATAGACGCAATACACGCGGCTATTTCCTCGCCCCGAGAAACAGAAAATAAATAAATATCCAAACATCTTCAAGAGATTCTCAAGATATCCGGTGCCTGTTCTCCATATTCTGTCCCGTTTGCTCATCCTGTCCCGTCTATGGTTGTTTGCGTCACTCCCTTAGCTTGCATCTATATCTGCAACAGCTTTTGGCCGTATGTATACAGCTTCACCAGTCGCTCTTTATAAATCAACCTCTCTCCTCAATCCAGAATAATCCCCCGCTGGACATAATTTACCCTTTTTCCTCTCTCTCCGCCGTCTAGCAACGATTTATTCCTTTTTAAGCTTTGGCCATTTCTAGTGTCCAGACCAGAAAAATCCTAATCCAACCCCCTATCCAACTGCGAACTCCGACCTCCGATCCGGCACCTCCGCAACAACCAGTCTGTGTCCTTTATATTTCTTGAGTTTACCGCAACCCAAAGCTGTCGTGTGAGGATTGTCTCTGCAACAAAAGAGGAAATACCAAAAGAAAAAGAGAGAAAGGGAACCATGAGCATGCGCACGAGAAGGCAAAAGGCTGGGCCCGAAGCTACGAGGGGACCGTCACCGCACGACGGGGGGAGTGAAGATTCCCTGGCGGTCGCCAATGGTTCCCTGTGCAAGAATACACCCTCCCCCAGGCGGAGACGATCCTGCACCCCCACCGCACCTGTGGAGAATGAGGAAAAAGAAAATATATTCCTCTTCTACCCTAATCTAATCGGTAGGTGTATATCTTTCCCCCTAAACCCACCAAAAGCGAAAGAAAAAGAGGAAAGTAAGAGAAAAGAAAAGTGAACAAAACGAAAAAGGAAGAGTTAGTCAAATGGCTAAATCTCCCTTCATTCCTTCAGGCTACTTCCGGGTCTTCCTGGCAATCGCATCTCTCTACTACATGCCCCTGCACCCGCGCACCTGCTCGCTCCTATACAGCGTATCATGTTTCCTCGACGCCCTCGATGGCGTGGCAGCCCGCCACTTCAATCAGTCCACTACGTTCGGTGCTGTGCTGGACATGGTCACGGACCGCTGCACCACAGCTTGTCTGCTGGTCTTCCTGAGCTCCGCCTGGCCGCGATGGGCGATCCTGTTCCAGGGCCTTATCAGTCTGGACCTGGCGAGTCATTACATGCACATGTATGCGACTCTGACGATGGGCGGTTCGGGACAGAGTCATAAGAAGGTTGATTCTAGCAGGAGCTGGATCTTGCATCAGTACTATCACAACAAGGTGAGTTTTTGCAGCCCCTTTTATCCAATATATTATATAGAGTAAAGCCCCTCCTAACACCGCCCTCTACAAAGACCGTCCTCTTCCTCTTCTGCATGTTCAACGAACTTTTCTTCATCGGCCTATATCTCCTCTCCTTCTCCTCCCCTACCCTCTCCCCCTCCCTCCTCCAACCCGCCCTAGGTGCCGACGGCCTGCCAATCTCCTCATCTGCTCAACCAGGCTCACCGGCCCTAGCCCCGCTGTCCACCCTCTTCGCCAGCCCTTGGAGTGCCGGAGCCCTCGAGCTCGCCCGTGCAAACAAGATGGACAGCTTCTGGCCGTGGGTTCTCACGGGTATCTCCGCGCCTGTCATGGCGGGAAAGCAGTTTATTAATGTTGTGCAGATGGTTAAAGCGAGTAAGTGGCTGGCTGAAGGGGATATGTTGAGGAGGAGGCAGATGGGGATAGCGGGGGCGGGGAGCAAGGAGCGGTGATGTTGATTTTTTTTTTTTTTTTTTTTCATTCATTTTCATTCATTCGTTCTATGAAAATCTGTTGATTTTTTCTTTTCACCTTTTGATTTTCAGTGTTGAAAAGACAAAAGAAAGAAGAAGCGTTAAAAGTTGATTTTTCCATTTATCCACTCCTGCGTATCTTGCGCCCCTGGAGCCATTGAGAGAGACTGCAGAGCATTTATTCAATTTGTACATTTTGGTCTTTGACTTTTTTTCTTCTTCTTTTTTCTTTCTCCTTCTTTTGCCTTTTTAACCCCGTGGAGAATAGTTCTGGCTAGGGTGAGTGAGAAGGCATGTATCCATTATCGGGGAAAGGGGATAGCGAAAACGAAACACTGGGCATGGTTTGGTTTGGCATGTGTGCAGATGTGGGTTCTGCCTTCGTTTTTCATCTTCCCCTTCTGTTCTGCTTGTTGTTTATTCCTGGGATGGATGCGAGCATCGATTGTTTGTTCGTTTCTTTTTCTTTTCTTTATCCTTTCTGCTGCCTTCGGGTTATTCATTCATTCCGTCTTCTTGTATTCCCGGACTACTGAGCTTTTGACTTCTTAGTATTTTTCTAATTATCATTACGTTTACCTTTCCTTCCTCTTCTCTTCCCCTTTTCTTCATTTTTCAAATAATTTCCAATAGTTGTTTCTCTTTTCTATCTTCGTTATCCTCCTCTTCCCTCTTCTCTTTGTTCACTTTTTGTCTTCATTTGTCGTTTATATACTCTTTTGTCCCCAATTCAGCATTTGCCGCATTATCACATATTGGTATGGCCCTATTTGGTCCAGGGCGTTTGATTGATATTAAAGTATTTCCTCCTAGCAGAAATTATTTCACTGTCGCCTCTCCCTGGTTCACTTGGCATCCTGACCTAAAGAGCGGGAATATAATTATCTCCCTTTGGTCTATTGGATGCGATAAGGAATTCGGGTTTGCTGAACTCGGCGCACTCTCCGTCTAGATGCAAATTGACTTCTTGCGCATTATTGCTGCATCTTCCCTGTTCCTCCATCATTAACCCATGTCCTTCAGTAGGTGCAAGGTTTACTTTTTAACCCCGATATCAGACTTTTAACGTTGGATATCAGAATATCAGGACTTCAAAGGTAGCAAAGTATCGTATTGCCGAATATACAGTTGTTAACGATTCATCGCCTTGGATCAATTAGCTGGGGGGAAATAACCCGCACCTACCTTGGTAGGAACCCTTGGGTAATCAAGGAAACGCCTTCCTAGCTGGGCAATGAGCTTGTTTTCCCAAAATAAATGTCTTGGCGGGTAGCGCGTTAATTTAGACGCGCGCCAACTCTCCTCAGTGACAGCTATCAACAACGACGAGTACAACAAACGGGCATCTACTTTAGACACTCTCTTAACACTCTCGATGAGCTCATATCTGTGATTTTTTTTTATTTTTCTGGAAATGCCCCGACAAGGCCTGCGACGGGCTCCCGGTGGCCGCTCTGTCTTCCCAGGTGAGGACGGAGCTTCCGCCTCAGCTCCAACAGCTGATCCAACCCTCCGCCATTCCAACTTCTATGACTCAGCTGTTAGCCGGAACCCCCGCGGAGAAGGCAATCCCCTTCATACGCATACACGTACGCATGACTTGGCAATTGCAGGCGATCCCGATGTTGGAGATATGGAGGATGATATAGAAGAGAGGGCAGGGGGGCTGGAAGATGATATCGACGTTGACATTCAGGATGATGGGGAGCTGGGGGAGGAGGAGGGTGAAGAAGAGATTGAGTATGCTGATGAGGAGGATGAAGAGGTTGAGGTTGAGGAGGAGGAGGAGGAAGAGGAAGAGGAAGAGGAAGGTGATTATGACGGTATGTGCTATCCGAGCGTTTAGGGCAATTAACTGTCTGTTATTATATTCTGGCTGGTTTTAATAACTATATAGAAAAAGACACCTCTGCACCGATCCCCGCCAACCTTCGCGAAATCTCCTCTCTAGCTTCCTGGACGGTATCGACTCATAAACCTGGCTGTGGCATCGCTGCCCTCCGCCACCCTTCCCCTTCGCAGTTCTGGCAATCCGACGGTCCCCAACCTCACACACTAACACTCCATTTCTTCAAGCGCGTCTCCATCGTGCGCATTCGTGTATATCTGGACTTCGAGCTTGATGAGAGCTACACCCCTACAAAGATGATCTTTCTAGCTGGAATGGGAGGCAATGATCTTGTGGAATTCTCTACGTGGCACGGTGAAGCTCCTGCTGGATGGGTAGATATCGATTTACAAGGGGTTGGTGGACGGCATGAAAAGGCAGGGCGTCGAAAAAGCCATCGACGGCAAAATAGTACGGGCGGGATCCTAAGCGGAATGGGAGATGGACCTTCTACTACTAGACAAAGGCGGGACCCCTCGAATAACGGAATTGTCGGGGGCGATTCGGACTCCACCGAGTATGACACCGAAGACGATGACGACGACAACGACAACGACGACGATGACGATGACGATGACGACTTGGACGTAGACTCCTCATCCGACAACGTGCTCAAAGCCATGGTCATCCAAGTCCGCATCAGCGAGAACCACCAGAACGGCAAAGACACGCATGTCCGCGGCTTCCAAGTATTCTCTCGTGATGATCGCCGTCTCGCGCAGCCGCGACGCGACAGTGCACGCAAGTCCATCAGGGGAACCAGTGCTGCCGGAACTGGTGCAGCTGACGCGAGGAAAGTGGGGACCGGTTCGTCTGTCGCTGCGGAGCAGGGTGGGGGAGCTATGGAGGATGTGGAGGTGTTTGGAGCCGCGTTTGATGAGGATGATTGGATGGGGGAGATGGAGATTCGGTAGGATATGAATCGACGGCTAGGAAGGAGTTATGATTGCAACGTCCCGTAGTACATTTACCCTCCTGCATATGTATTTTTCTTACTGGGCATTTCTCTGCATTTAGAGGTGAAAGACACGGCGGAAACTATGCATAAAACTGGCGTTTCAGGCTTTGTTTTATACTGGGAGGGAACCAATTTGACGATGCCTTCCCTTTCCTCCCCCCTTTTCTTTGCACTTGGTCGCCTCCAGTTATTATATACCCTCTACCTCTACATTTGTTCGCCACCGCCTATATCCGGTCTGGAGATGATGGAGCTATCCCTTACACACCTACTATCTTATGCCTTGGTTTATATACCCCTTTTGATGAATATAACTATGAATGAGTCAAGAAAAGAAGAAATTGTCGTTGCGTTTCTAATCCTGTGCTAAATCCTTAATGCCCCCGCTTTTTAATTTCTCTGCAAGATATTTAGTTGTACATATTGAAATAGTTTGTTTCTTCGTCATTAGCAGTTAAAAAGGAGAACCGAAAAATAATCCGTTTCCTTGCTTATAGAATTTTCTCCAACTCCACCGCAACGGCATCACCCACCTCCTTTGTCGTAGCGTTGCCGCCAATATCGCCTGTCCGTACACCACTCTCGATGACGTTGCGTACAGCGGTCTCGATGGCATTAGCTTCAGCAGGTAGATTGAGAGAATATTGCAGCAGCATGGCTGCGGAGAGGATGGCGGCAACTGGGTTGACAATTCCTTTGCCGGAGATATCGGGTGCGGAACCTATATATACAATGGCATTGTGTGAGAATAATGTCAGTCGTCTGTAAGGCAAAATCTGAAGTGTCGGTTTTGGGAAACGGAGTCTGAAGGGTTAAAAAAAAAGGGAAAAGAAAGAGAGAAGGAGAAGAGAAGAAAGAAGAAAATACCATGAATAGGTTCATAAATGCCATTAACCCTGCTCTTCCCATCAGGAATACCGCTCAGACTCGCACTGGGCAACAAACCCAGTGAGCCGGGGATAACACTCGCTTCGTCCGAGATGATATCGCCAAACAAGTTGCTTGTGACGATGATCCCATTCAGCTTCCGCGGGTCTTTAATCATCAACATCGCCGCACTGTCAACGAGATGATGCCCGTATTTCACCTGCGGAAACTCTTTATCCATAATCTCCGTAACAACCTTCCGCCACAGCCTGCTCGTCGCGAGCACGTTAGCCTTATCCAAACTCCACACGGGCAAGGGCGGGTTGTGCTGCATCGCTAGATGTCCGGCGAGACGGACGATGCGCTCAATTTCCGCTCGCGAATATGGCTCTGTGTCAAAGGCGTAGCCGTCGCCGTCGTCTTCGCGGCGAGCGCCAAAGTAGATACCACCCGTCAGTTCGCGGATGATGTTGAAGTCCACGCTGCGACATACGTCGGCTTTTAGTGGGGAGATGTCAACGAGGGAGGGCGCGGCGAAGTTGCAGGGACGGAGGTTGCCGAAGGTGCCCATTTCTTTGCGGAGGCGAAGGATCCCTTGTTCCGGGCGGACAGCGCCGGTGCCCCATTTCTGTTCATCACGATTTCAAGGTTAGAATTCCTCTTGGCGGGCTGAGAACGGGAGTGGTGTTTTTCGGTACGTACAGGGCCTCCAACTGCACCTAGGATGACGGCATCTGCGGATTTGGCGGCATTGAGGGCTTCATCGGTCAGAGCTGTTCCAGCTGCGTCGATGGAAGCCTATATAATAAAGGAAAATTTCGTCAGTGCCCAATAAGCGGAAGAAACGGCAGGAGGGTATACTGACTCCTCCAAGTAGGTGGTCCTGGAAATTGAATTCGATGTCTGATCTCTTTTTCTCGACAACGCGAAGGACCTAGAACCGTATAGACCGGAAATCAGCATTTTCGCAAGATAAAAAAAAAAAAAAAAAATAGAGTCTGGCCCTAAATAGACGCATGCTCGTTGATTGAACGATTGTTCTGGGAGCCAATTGGTAATTGGACCCCTGCGCTTCGCACCTTAATTGCTTCTGCCGTCACCTATACAGCTTAGCATTAGTAATTGAATAAACGCTTCCACTTTACACGACAAGAACCTCCTTCGCCTACCTCTGGACCGCAATAGTCGCCGCCAAAGACGACGATGTTGTATTTGCCCATTCCGGTCAGCGGAGTCTCAGTTCAACATTTAACACCGAGACAGGGGCGAAAAGATCCTCGGGGTATATCGCAGAGGTAATTGGCGGCGCAAGGAACAATGTGGATTGGATATGGTGGGAATAGGAGCAGCAGAAGAATATATAGGAGCTTCAGGAGTTGTTGGTGGTTGGAGAAGCGTCATCGGCCCGAGATTCTACACCTCGTCCAGGGGTCCGAACGCCCCCCGCCCTCCGATATCGGGATATCCCGTGATCGGGGACGGGTTTGCTCTGCCTGTTCGACGCAACTCATCATCAAAAGACAGCTATAGAACGAATGTTGTCTTGGGTGGGGGGGGGGGGGGGGGGGGAAGGGAATGGTGCTAGCTACCGGACAGAGCACGAAAGGCCAGCGGCGAGGTTAGTTAAGCGTCTGAATTCTTGATTATGGCATTGTCCCGTGATCCTGTGGCTAACTAGGTGGCCAGGGGAGAGGAGGGTAAGTAGTAACTATAACTATAAATACACACGGTGGCTCTGGAATAAGTTAGTTGTTCTCCTAACTGGGGATGGATGTCCCTTTGGGTCTAACCTGGTGGTAGGCAACGCCTTGTAAATCCTACCGTCTCTGTGCGATGGAAAATCCTGGCTTTCCCCCAGGGGATGCAGGGGACGTCTCGAAGTCAGGGTTCATGGCATTTCTCAGCAAGTAACTAGCTAGTTAACTAATGGCAAAGCATTATAAGCGAAAAAGCCGCCGGCTAACGCTTAATTAGTTATCCATCTAAGCACAGGAGCTTTTTAATGGGCAGTACGTACGTACGACGGGGCTACATTTACTCGAAGCTTAGAAGGTCTGGTAACTAGTTAGTTAATCTGGTCGTTAGTTAACTAATGGGAGATGGACCCAACTGCTGCTGCACTCCGCTACAGTAAATTTGCGATACAGTAGTGACAGCACCCCTTAGACTCTATTCTTCTGGCCTTGTCTTTGCGCCCAGTATGACCATAATTAGCAAGATATTTAAGAGGAGAATTGCCTAGTTGGATATTGGAGCGCAGAATTTACCGTCGTTTAACCATGAATATTTCTCACAGGATAGAACCATTTTTAAACTCCTCCCACCAACCAACCAACCGCAGGACATCTGATTTTAGCTTCAGAAATCACAATAGGCTCCAAGATCGATCTATAAAAAGAACACCAAAATATGGCTCTTCTGAAGAGGCTATTTTAAGCAAGATAGGCTCCAAGAATAGTTACATGTTCATGCAATTGCACACGCTTTGCATAATGAACCTGTCGGCTGAAAAGGGAACTGAAAGATCCAGTTAGTTACCGTTGAAGTTCCTACCGGGTTCACTCTGGACATGGAGCCCGCGAAGCATGGGAATCAAGCTAAGCTGGTGACATTAATACCTGACGGAGAGGCGGGACGCGGGATGTAATTTTTCCACACAGCTTTCCGGACATGCACGGCCAGATTACAACGGTGTTGTTCAAGTTTGCCACTAGGTATCTCGCAGAGAAACACCCGTCTATCTGCCGGGGGAGGGGGGAGGAATACCTGGCAAAAGTGCATTTGGAACCGACTTAAATTGATAATAGGAAGGCTACAATGTACAACATATTGATACAGAGATGAAGCAGATGTGAACACCCTTAGTGGATTGAAATTTGGATCTCAATCTGATTACTGTTGAAGGAGTGTATAGAGTTGAGTATACAGATAGGAAAAGTTTCAGCTTACCCTTCTCAAACGATGATTATCCCCACACACGATACCAACGTTGCCTCCTGTCCCTTCAGTTGGCCATTTTTCCCTGTAAGTCACCGATAAGAAAAATTGCAAAATAGATACAGAGCGGAAATACTACCCGAATATTCTGAAAACAACCTCACTGGTGTAGGATATTGAACCCATTCAATGCCTTGAGCCTGAATATGAAGAGCGCAATCTATCAACCACATGATGCATGTTGGGGAATTCTGGAAGCAAATGAAAACGGACAAAGACGTAGATATGCTAATAGAATATTAACTAGAACTGGAGAATCGCATTTTATTATCTGGCAAAAAAGAATTAAAACACTCAATGAAACGCTTCGGTTAGTACAAATATCCGCACTCAAATTACGAAAGCTGGCCTGATAACACAGGAGGGTTGTTGGACGACAGCCACCAGCACCTTCCTGCACCTAAGCCTCTTTTCAATAATTCTCACCAAACTTTTGCCTTCTTCCAAGCCTACCTAGATTAGAGAATCAAAATGGCAAAAAAAAAAAAAAAAAAAAAACAGAAAAAGAAAAGGAAAAAGAAGAGAAGAGAAGAGGGGGAAAAAAAAGGAAAAAAAAAAGAAAAAAAAGAAAGAAAGCTCACCGGAAGCAACACTGAGCAACGCTTGGCTTAGCAGATGCATGCACCTTGATATATGATTGTGGGCATGCCTCAACTGGAGTATGAGGACGCCCTCCAACCTCCTTTCGTCGACCATATTTCAGGTCTGCGAAAGGAGGCGGAACAAGGATATTGAGCAACAGGCGATAGGTCAAGTGGAGATGGCTACGCAAACTTTGCGCTGCACGGCTCTGAAAAGGGAGCTGGAAAAGGCCATTGAGAGCACAATAGAATCAAGCTAGCATCCCCAACCAAAGCCCAATTCGCCCAGAGTGATTACTGCTCAACATCGGCAATCCTCAAATCTCCAGAAGAGGCTTTTGCTTTGCGATCCTGGCGACGGAAGTAAATTCGTTTCCCCCACTTCCACGCCTCCACGCCCATAAAGAACAGGGTGGCCTCGACAAACACAATCCCCCACTCCCACGTGATGCCCTTGTGCTTGAACACCACCGTGTTGATAACGGGGATGTAAAGCAGCGGGAAAATTGTAATGAAACCACAGATGATGGCCCAGAAGAGAAACTGGTTACGCCACACGTCGTGCATCCATTGGGTGAAGTATTTCTTGGAATTGGGCTGCATGCGGAAGAAGCTACGGCGCATATTGACCATCTCCCATGCGAGGAAGAGGGCGAACCAGGTCAGACAGACGAAGGTGGTGGCACGAGCTCGGAAGACGGTTTCACATTGCTCGGAGAATTCAATGTTGCAAAAGCGGCCGAGGTTGCCGTCCCCAAAACCGTACAGGACGAGGGTGAAGGAAGCCAGACAAAGGGCGGCCATCCAAAGGCCGTAGAAGATGGTGTCGGTGATGATTTCCCGGGTGAAGATTCCTTGTTTCTACAACGAAAGAGAGGTTAGCAAACAAATGAGCTTACTGAGGTGAATTTTTTTTTTTTTTTTTTTTTTTTTTTTCAAAAACTCGAGATTCTGTTTGGGAAACCTACGCTTTGCGGCGGACGATCCATGATATCTGGAGCAGCAACTTCCATACCAAGACCCATATCAGGCATTCCAGACGTAATCATGATAATCCAGAGAATCTCGACGGGTGCCAGCGGGAACACAGACTGACCATCAACATCTTTGAACGCCAATCCAATCAAAAGGGTGCAGGCCTGTGCGATGTTTTCAGCCAACAGATGAAGGACGAATTTCTGGATATTGTCAAATATGCGACGACCCTCTTCAATCGCGTTGAGGATCGAGGCGAAATTGTCATCAGTCAAGATAATATCAGATGCGTCCTTGGCAACATCGGATCCAGACTCGCCCATGGCGATTCCAACATCAGCGTGTTTCAGGGATGGGGAATCATTGACCCCATCGCCGGTCATGGCGCAGAACCGACCACGTCTGTGGAGCGCTTGGATCATGCGGACTTTAGTATTGGGCGCGCATCGAGCGATGACGAGTGGGAGGGTGGGCAGGGCATCAATTTCGTCATCAGTGAGTTTGTCGAACTGGCTGGCCGTCATTACCATGGCATCAGAAACGTCACTGGCGAGAGTGCTCATATCGGTGGGGACGATGCCAACTTGGGCGGCAATAGCCCGTGCGGTGCCAGGGTGATCCCCAGTGACCATGTGAACCGAAATACCAGCCCGAAAACATTCCTCTATAGCACCGGCGGTTTCGGGGCGGGGAGGATCATACAGGCCGATCAGGCCGCGGAATGTCAAATCCCTCTCAACATCGTCACGGTTATACTCTTCATTCTCGAGTGGGGAGTCGGTAAATTTCCGTCCAGCCAATGCCAAAACACGCAGTCCCTGAGAGGCAATGGCCTCCATATTCTCGAGAATCTGAGTGCGGTGATCTTCGGAGATTGGGATAAGGCCTTCCTCAGCATTCCACACAATGGTAGAACAGGCTTCAAGAACCCGCTCAACGGCACCTTTGGTGAAGACCATCTTGTCTTTTTGAGTTGGGTTCTCGAAGATAACTGACATCTTTTTGATGCTAGAATCGAAGGGAAATTCAGCGACCTGGTGCCAGATGGCGTCTTGCCCTTTGGTCCATCTGTCCCTGTTCCAGTTGAAGCGAGACGCAAAAACCTGGATGGCGATCTCAGTAGGCTCTCCGCGGGCATGCCACTCACCTGCCTCTGTCTTGTAGACGTGAGCAAGGTTAGCCATGGATGCGATGTCGAGAAATTTGACGAGACAGTCGTTGTCCTTGAGGAGATCCACCGTGGAAATGCCAATTGGTTCATCATTGTGGCCTGCTTTAACGGGAGGTGCTCTTTCGAAGCCGACAGCACCCATCTCTGGGTTAAACGGCTCAGTTGAGGTTCCAACAGAGAATGTGCCTCCAGACGGAATCCAAGCCTTTTTAGCAAGCATCTTTCCCTGTGTCAATGTCCCGGTCTTGTCCGAGCAAATATTGGTGACGGCGCCCAGGGCCTCGAGAGAGTCAAGTTTACGAACAATGACATTTCTTTCAACCATCCGTTTGGTGCCAACAGCCATAGTAATAGTCAAAACAACGACCAAGCAAGCTGGAATCATACTGAGACCCGTAGCGACAGCATAGATGATAACTTCACTCTTGCTGCTGAATTCATTTGAGCCCATGACGATGATTGCTAAAACAACAGCAACCCCGAAAAGGACCAAGGCCAATTTCGAGAGCTTTCGTTGCAACGGAGTTCCAACATTGACACCAAGGAACCTCCCGACGGCATCTGTGCCAGTCAAAGCCCATGCTTTGACATACCATCGCTTCTTAGTCTCACCATCAGGCCCACGCTTCACTGCACGAACTTTAGAATCAGATGCGCGCAGAGCAGCAGCAATGGATCCGATTTCAGTCTTCATGCCAGTAGCTACGACGACACCACGCGCACGGCCTCTGGTTACGGTTGAAGAGCTGTAAGCAATATTCAAACGGTCACCCGGACCGGTATCCTGGTGGAAGGCTTGTTCCGCATCCTTGTGGACAGGAAGGGATTCACCAGTAAGTAAAGCTTCATCGGTTTCAAAGTTGACAGCTTCCACGAGTCTGTATGTCAAGAAAAAAACCAGAGTAGTCAGTTAGAAACAATCCTATACAGGCGATGTGACAAAGAGTGCGGTGGTCTAAGATTCCTACCTGAGATCCGCAGGGACTGTGTCACCAGTCCTGAGTTCAACCATGTCACCGGGAACAATATCAATCGAAGCGATAGTGGTGGTGTTCCCATTCCGCGAGACATTGCCAGTTGGAGAACTCAAGGAACGCAGAGAGTCCATGGTTTTTTCGGCAGCGAATTCCTGGAAGAAACCGACAATAACATTTAGGACGACAACGGCAGCAACAACGCCGCCTTCAATCCAGGATTGAATACCAAAACTAACTACCATTGCCATGATAAGAACCTAAATTGAGAGCAACATACCACTGGATCAGACAAACACGTTCCATATGACAAACAGGGGGTTAAAAGAGAGTGTGTGAGTGGGCCGCTTAACTAGCATCATTGCGTTGGCCAACTGGCGGATGAGAATCTTCCCGATGGAGACTCTCTCGCCGCCTTCAAGCACATTGGGGCCATAAATCTGAAGCCGGCGCTTGGCTTCTTCAGCTGTAAGGCCATCTTCGGGATCGGTTCTTAACTCGCGTATAACGTCATCGTAGGGCAAACAATGGGCGGGAAGAGAGAGAAGGCTCTTCTCATCCCCTGCGGTTGAGGCTGCCTCGGCCCCACGGCGGGGCGGCTTTTCCATAATGATGTAGAAGCGGGTTATACAATTAAGGAGGGAGTGGTAATGAAAGTAGTATTAATAGAAGTCGGAGGGATGGTTATTGTATCAGCAGCACCAGCAGGTGTGGTATTCCAGCGAATGTTAGGGAGCAATGCGGAGAAAGAAAACTGAAAAGATGGGAGAGCAAGATGGTCTCATTGAAGTATGTTTAACGGGAGAAAGGTTGGGAATGAAGCTGCTGCCCCTTCGCCTACTCTTGAGGGTAGAGATAGGAGAGCAGAGAAGATGTATAGAGAGAAATAGCGAGGTTTAAACCTATTCTCAGCCCCAATGAAGTATACCAGAGAGATAGGCAGCAGGTAGACTGACTCCCGTAATCAAGCCGAGATTCCTTGTGGTGATGAGGATGAATCACCAGGAGGACAAAAGGAAGAAGAGAGAGAGAGAGAGAGAGGATCAGCAGGATGGGGTGAACCGGAGAGTCCCGACGGTACGGTTCCGTATAATGGAGATGTATATATATCTATATATATATATATATATATATATATATATAGTTATATATTAGGCCTAAAAAGATCTTCTCGACCCTTCGGGTGTGCTGTTGAAACGAGAGCACAAATTTGGACCAGGAAGAGGGAAATCTTAGCCGGGCTTGGTATCGGAGGAATATTTATATGTACCTGAGGAAACAATGTTAGATATCCTCAGCAAATTCAAATGGCCAAAACAAGCAGTTTCATGCCTTGAGGCGGGATAGAGTTTTGTGTCAACTTGGCTCTTCTAGGTAGTAAAATTTCTATCGCCACCCCAACCCACCACCCAGCCAATGGGGTGTCCTTACAAATGGGACCAATCATCCCAGCGTGGCCGGCTTCTTTTGGGTTTCCTTTTGCTTGGTTTGACTCCAAGATGACACCAAAGGCCAGCGGATAATGATCGAAGGTTGCGTGTTGATTGGTATGGAGGCAGTACACCAACCAGGTGGCGAATATAAGCAGGATGTTGGGTCTTGTAGTCAATAACCCTAACCCTAATAACTCCGTAGAGATAGTTCCTGACTATGCTTCCTCCTTGTTGCAGTCAGTGTCAGAGACACTCCATGGCGTCTCAGAGATGGGGTGATGATCATTCTTATTATTCTTATTATTCTTTCTTATACTCATGTGCCGTCAGTGGCTATGACAAGTTGACGAATGTGAAGTCTAGTAGTTACAACCATGCATATGTTGATTATGCAAAAAATTCTGTCTGGTATTGAAACTTGTCTAATAAAAAAAACTATATATGTAAAAACATCAACAACATTAGGAAGGAAAGAAATGCTGGTGAAGATTAAAAAAGGAATATTGATTTGATGCTCATGCTAATTCTTGAGAAGAAGGGGTGTTATCACTGACTACACACCAGACGGCGAATATATAGAGGATGTGTGTGTGCAAGTGGTCATATCATCCTCACCCCCTAGAGCTAATAGGCCTCTTTCAGTGGCTCGGGCCAGGTTGAAGCTGAGAACGGCGCTCCTCTCCACCCCTGGACACTGTCTCCGCCCGGGCGGGGGCGGGGGCGGGGGAGGGGGGGGGATGCCCCTCGCCGCCGCCCTATAGGCTATTGGTCCCCCCGTAGTGTGGCCACCACCGTCACACCGAAGGTCGTAATCCCCGGGGAGGAATCCTTGGCCTGACCGTAGTTAGCTTCCTGGCTGGAGAAGGACAGAGAGGCTTGTGTCAAGCCGGCCAGCAGCGGCCAGAGAAGCCACCAACACCCTTGGGGATGGACGGACAGACAGACATATATGTTTACGGAGGCAATGGGAAAGTATCTGGTTTGTCTTGCAGCAGGGTTGCAGCCGAGGGGTTGCCATTGTTGCAGGTTTTGAACGAAACAACGTGGCAGATAATCGGTCCAGCAATTCACTGTCCAGGAACCAGAGAGCATGGAACTTCACAACGTCATATTGTATCAATGCACATTTTAATTGGCATTTTCTTGCCCCGGCACTTGGCGCTCATCCTTTGCTCCTTGGTGGAGGGAAAATATGTCAGGACACTACTCATCGTTAGGCCCTGCTTGTGGGCAGGTTGCGTGTGAGCCGCGTTCTTCGGGAAATACTAGTTGCCTAGGGTGGTTTTAGTTGGACGGTTAAACACCCCGGTCCAAAGTTCTCTCATGCGCATTTTAAAGTCATTGGCGACTTGCAACATTCCACCTCTGCATGCAATTCCCACACATTCATGCGCAGTTCTTGCGTACGAGTAATTCGTACATGTCTACCACTGTTGTGTCAACTCCTGCTACTGTTCCGAGAAGATTCCATCCGCCCGTGACTGTCTGTGGAGCATTTCAATAATACTAACACTAACATTGCGCCCCGCGCTACAACGTCATGTCTTTAACATTCGCTACTCCGGGTACCGTGGTTGGCTCCGATTACTAACTTATCGTAATCAGGGAAGGCAATCGGTTTCTTCGGGATTCCACTGTGCATTGTTTGCTTCCGCCACCGATCCAACACCAACAGCAGCCACGCATGTCAAAGTAGACTGGCACGGAACAGTGGTTCAAGGATAAATCGGATGGATATCCATCCCACACAAAGAGGTCCCTGCCACTTACAAGTCACAATATGAACAAGAGAGCGAAAACCGCCAGAAGGTGGTATACCTCATGAAGATTCATAGCGCGATCCATGACATTCATCCCCGACCCCAAATTCCAATGGAACGAGAGAAGGAAAGAGGGTCAGGCGCGATGCCCCAGAGGTTGCGCTGAGCAATGAGAAACAGAATCAGATTCCCAGAAAAATTTTCAATTCAGGGCCTGAGCCAAGCCTTGCATTGGCGGACGCCAATCAGTTCTGGAACACCCCATAAATCTTGGAATGCCTTTTTGGCTGCATCCATCCACAGAGCAGCTAGCAATGGCTAGTTTCTCACTATCCCAACTGGCAGCGAAGATGGTTGGCCCGCTGACACCCGAGTCTTCTGATGAATTCTGATGGCAGACAACGGAGACGGTAGGGAGCTGGGGGGAAGGGATGGAGAGGGGAATTTAGAGCGGCAATCGCAGTCAAAAATTTGGGCAGGGTTGACTTCGGAGAGAAAAAGATGGAGAGAGACAGGTAGCCTGATGGGAATGTTTACCTCTTGAGGGTGGGGTGAGGATTGGAATTGGAGCGGCGATCTCAGTTCGAAATTCAACAGAAACTCCACTTTCCTATTAAAAACCTACGGTATATGTGGGAGAGTTTTCCCATTGGATCTCATGGGGATTTTTACGTGGTTTCAATTGCACACCCTCCGGGCCGAATTTCAATATTGTGTTTTAAACCAAAGTCGACAGCAAGAATGGTCGAAATAATTATTAACCCACAGTAGAGTTTACTATTTTTAGGGACCATTATCTCTTTGAGCCTATTTCTTTTCCTCTCCTTCGCCTCTGCTTGCAGCTCACCCTGCGAATCTCTCATCCTCAATTAATCCCCCACTCCCAGATAAGAGGCCCAAAACTCCTCCCGGAGCACGATTTGAATTGCGACGGTGATGTGTGTCCCAGCGCTTTCACTGAGAGCGAAGGCTTCAGGATTCGCCCTTAGTTATGCATCCGTGCACGAATAGTAACGAATAGTACGTCACCAGACCGGAAAACCTGCTCGTTCTGTGCGGATCATTTCATCCCTGTCATTGTTGTTGCTCTGGCCTTTTGTTCCCGCTCAAAAATTTGGCTGTCACAGATGTCACTATAACTGCAGTCCTTCCTACTCCCCCCACCTCTCCAACTTTTTCCCTATAAGAAAAATGCACCTCTAAGCTGAACCTCGACTTACTCCGCGAATATAGCAGAGTCCAGTGCGAGAATCTTATTGCGATTTTGGACTGTTTGTTAGAGGATGTTGCGTGACATGGATGGGAGATGGTTATCCGGGAAGTGTATTCGTATGTTGTGAGAGGGCTTGTAAAAAGGGAATATCCAATACTGAAAGTAAAGCAAAGCAGACAGCGTGGTGCAAATTTATCCAAATTTTCACGACTGGACAGTGGGTTGGGTGGCATATTTGTTTAAAGACAGGAGGATACGATGTCCGGCCCTGTTTGTGCTGCTGAAACCAGATATCACTGTGAAGGAGGATCTCTGAATTGACGGGTATCTAAAGGAAGTAGGTCGTAGTTACATGTAGTTAATAAATACAAGCCAGAAAGCAAAATGAAATATTATCAACGCATGACAACGAAATAAACCCAGACCTCAGCCAGAAGTTTCTGTACGAAAACGTAGTATCACTGTGATTAAAACGGGATGAACGATTTTCCTTGTGAGAAAACTCCTATCAAAATATATGCACATAAATTGAGGTTTTCTTTATCTGTTTATACATCCTCCACTGCCCCAAGGGGCTGTCCGTATTTTACATACTGGCCCTTCTCAATACTCCATTTCCAGCCGCCTTCGCGATGCTCTCCCATCCACCCCAAGTCAAAACTAGGTCTGTCGCCCAACGGAGCCTCGAAAACCAACACAATCGAGCTCCCTAGCTGGAACCCGCCCATCTCCTCGCCACGCTGCAGCGCATGACCCGCCAGCGTCTTGCTTGCGTGTCGATACGTGGCCTCGGAGAAGCCTGAATAGATCTCACCGCGCTTTGCGGCGGCTGCAGCGACACGGTCAGCAGCAGTGTCGGTAGTCAGACTGTTGGTGCGCAGTTCAGAATCGAAGTTGATCTTAATAGATCCGACATTTGTAGCGCCAACGGGCGTCATGCTGAAGAAGCCCCAGCGCCATCGACCAAGAAGGACAATTCGTTCGTTAAGCGTAAATAGGCCTGGTAGGGTTCGTTGGAGGTATGGAGAGACGGAGAAGAGTTCTCCGGCGAAATGGCGTCGGCTTTCGACGACCCAAGACACCGGGGAGTGAAATCGGTGGTAGTCTCCTGGTGCTAAGTAGATGACAACGTAGAATAGTGCTCGGTTCGATGTGGGTTTGGGCATATACCAGGCTGTTTGGCCTTTGGCGAGATCGGCCCTAACTTTGGCCTCTGAGCTGGAGCTCGAATGCATTGATGCATCCATCGATTTGTCTCTATCAGGCGCCTTGCCCGTCCCTGACAGTAATGTTGGGAGTGTGTAAGTGATACCATTCATTTTCGCAAAGTTCTCATCTGCGGTCACATTATCGGGGTCTTTGTTGCTGCTGTGCTCGCTATGGTGTACAGGGCTTTTGGTAGGGTGTACTGCCTCGTGGCTTGGGCTCATCATTTCATGTCCTAGCAGAGCATCTAGGCTGTACGTCATACCCTTGACCTGCTCGACTTCCCCATTTTCAATCATTCCGAATTGAAAGATGCGTCCATCGGATGGTGACAAAATGGAAAGGGGGTTTGGATCAAGGGGCCGAACGCCCGGCTTAAGCTCGCGATAGAAGAAAGAGGCAAGGTTAGGGTAAGTATGGAGATCGGGCTCTGCTATTTCATCTAGATTGACGCCAAAAATCCAGGAGTAAAGCTTGAAGCCTGGAACGCGGAGATAGTAAGGAATGACTAATTCATTGAAACGTCCCCAAAGACGAGACATGGCTTTCAATGGAAGAGTAGACATAACTTGAACCTGCCATGGCCCGCTTGGACGGACTTTTCGTCGCGACGAAACCTCCTGATATCCATCCTTCTCACTGGTCTCTCGTTCTTCTCGTTCTTCTCGTTCTTCTTGTTCCTTCTCTGCGTTTTTAGACCTGAAAAATTGAACGAATCCTAAGAATGCGATACCCACCCCGACGGGGATGGGATACCACTCAACCTTTGTATTCCGCAGAGCAGTCCGTAACCTTGAATGGAACGACTCTTTTCCATTGCCATCTTGCTGCCACCTTCTGGATGACGACGAAAACTGCCTTCGAGGTAAAGTGATCCTCCTGCTAGGTTTGCATGGGATGACCTCAGCTGCAACGACATCCCAGGCTCTCAGAAACTGGGCAGGATTCCGATAGACAAACGCCCGTCCAACAAGCATGGTTGGCGTCTGTTACTGTTAGGTTTACCAAAGGTGGCCCATATATCACCTTGTCATGGCCCTGGACAGCGCAATCATGACCACAAATTAATTGACTCTCAAGCGATGAACGTACAGTGCATGAGCATCTGTTGAACATAAAGGTACAACCGTGTTTTAGTTCTTTAGACACTAAAGCTTTGGGTTTATGTTAGTCCGAAGCCGAGTTGTCTGCTGAGTCAGCCACTCTAGCTGATTCTTATTTTAGAAATTCAACTTCATTAAAGCTGGCATCTTGAGCATTGGCAGAGAGGAATAAACAATAGACAGATGGAGGGATGAGTCGCATTTCTAAAGCATATACCCTCTTTGACCCCTCTCTGTCATTCATTTGTGCCATGAGCCATTTTGCAGCCGTACATTGTTGACTAGTTTATCTACCACTATCTCCCCTCATACATTCATCCCCATGCCACTTGTTGTACAATCAACACTATGAGCTGGCTTTCATCCCGTATGTGAATTTCCTGAGGCAAGCATTTTCTGTAACGATAGCCTTTTGGATGTGGATGCTATTAAATAACCCGGGATATCCTCATCTCAACCCTCATATCCTGATTACAACCCTACGTCATTGTCTGGTATCTCCGCAAGTATTCCGACACCCGAATACTTGCCTTGCCCCTGGCATCTAGTGATACCGTAGGGTTCTTAGGGATGCTGAGACACAAGATGTCTACCGATATCCGTCACGATGATATGGGGACTTCAACTGAGTTAAGCGCCACCAGCTCCGATTTGCAAACCGTTGTCCTCCATATACTGTCTCCATCACTAGAAGCCCCAAATCGTGTGACACTGAATGACCTGCCTCTTACAATCAAAATCTTCGATCTGAAAACTCGACTGTCTGAAATGCTACCCAACCGTCCTCGTCCTGATATACAGAGACTCATATATCGGGGGAAACCTCTGGCGGACAATGAAGAGCAGCTGAGCAATATTGTGGAGCCAGCAGATGTATGTTCAATAATCGTTTTATATACCTGGAGTTCATATACTCACACATGATTTTTTTGTTGGTAATTAGGGCAGAGTACATACAATGCATCTTGTTCTTCCTCCTAATCGTGCCAAAATTCCCATTTCTCCTCCACCAAACCTCTTCTCAGATCTCAACACCTCCCCGCATGACTCTTCTGGCTTGCGTGCTCGAACAAACAATGTGGAACCAACTACACAAAGGCCACCCCGCTCACCCCAGTATCATTCTGATGCTTTGGTCAGCCAAGTCACTTCATTGCATCAGCAAGTTATAACACAGCATCAACAGCTGACTGCGCAAATCACGCAAAATGCGCGGATAACAGACAATAATCGCCCTGGTGATATCGCATTTTCAACAGCGACAAGTACATCAAATATTTCACTCCAGAATAGGCCTGAGAACTTTTCTTTGTTTGGCTCAAGACCAGGAACCCAGGGGACCAATCTGCAGAGTGAGAGGATAGGTTTGATGCCGAACAATGAAGGCCGCAATCCACCAGGAGCCTTGCCACCCAGCTATAGGACCACACAGTACAATATTACGGCGTCTCACCCTCCTCCCATTCAACGTACAGCTGGCTTTCCTCCCAGAGTTAGCAACCGTGTAGGAGATGGTGAGATTGGCATGGCACCCTTGGATGAAAACCGACAACAGAGAATTGCACACCTACTAGAGTACATCTTCAACATGGAGGGCCAACTCCGCCGGGGCATCCTCCCACCCATTGACGAAATTTCTCACATTCGCGTTCAGCTGTACCAGATTTTGGATGAACAGTATCACCAGCCCCTTTCTCCGAGAGATGGCATGCCCGAAGCTCTTCTAGGTCGGCTTGCATCACTTACCGCCCAAGCAGATCAGATCCGCATTTTGAGAGCCCGATCCCCATCATTCTCGCCCCAAAATTCCCTTTTTAGCCCGCCACAAACTACACAAGACAACATACAGTCGTCCGTATATTTACTCTCTTCTCCATCTGGTTACCATGCCGTTCTTGTGCCCCCAGCTGTTGGCACGGGGCATCTTACCAACCACCCAGCAATGCCCATATTTCATACTCACAGGGCAAGTCCTCACCCGCACAGAGTACCGACTCCACACCCGGTACTCCATTCCGCAACTAATGCCCCTGCTGTACCGGAGGCGGTTAACCAGGCCTTGAACCAAGCTGCCCTGCGGCGGCAACACCGGCCACGTTTGGGACAGCTAAGTTTCACTCGATTTCTCCGCCGTCTTTGGTTCTTTGTTCGTCTATACTTTCTCTGCTATCTCCTTAGCGAAGACGGTACATGGTTTAGGATTATTCTAGTTTCACTTTCGGTCCTCACTACCCTTTTATCGGAAACGGATATACCGCAGCGCCTGCAAAGAGCTATTATAGATCCATTGCAAAGACATCTTGAAAGTTTATTGCCTCTGGATGCTCACCATCCGCGAGAAATCAATATAGTGCCAAGAGCTGGTAACACAAACGCCCAGCCCGTCCATCCAATACAGCGAAATGGCGTTGACGGAAGTCTTCGGCCCCTTGATGGAACGCAGCAAAATGCAGCAACGGCCAACGGCGAAGCAGCTGGTTTTCTTCATGGACTCAGGAGGGCGGAACGGGCGCTTGCTCTTCTGCTGGCAACTCTGGTCCCAGGTGTTGGGGAACGCCATGTAGCGGCAAGAAACGCTGCAGTGGCTGCGAGGCAAAATGAGTTGGCTGCAAGGCGGGCGGCGGAAAATCAAGCTAGAGAGCAACAGAATGAAGACGCAGAAACGCAGAACAACGAAGCTGATGATGGCGGCGCGGATGCAGAACCGGAGAGGAGACCTGGCCACACGAACAACCGGGAAGAAAATCCGTTGGAGGCATAAAATTCACGAATACGCATGTACCCGTATTCTGTCAACTCATCAATGTTTCCTGTTCTCCAATTTGTTCTCCCTGCTTGCGTGTCTCCATTCTCTTCCTTGTTTGTGTTATATCCATATCCCGCATTCCCTTATACCCGTTCTTCGTCTACAAACATTTTCATCAAATTTTATTCTCTATAAGGGCTATTCGGTGTTCGTTGGATAAAATGACCTATTGTTTTGTGTTAATTATGAAATTAAAAAAAAAAAAAAAAAAAAAAAAATTTTTGAAAAAAAAGTTAATGCCATGGTTAGCGCTTTCATTCATGCCTTTGAGCCATATCGAAGCTTGTGTTAATTTTGTCCTGATTGTATGCATGTTATATAGGGAAAATAGAGCAGTTGTGTAACTTCGAACTCCCTTCTTCACTCAATGCATTCTTGGGCTTCGCTCGCTGTGCTATAGGCGCCCTGTCTCCTTGACCAAAACTGAGGATGTAGCCAGGTGGGCTGTGCAGTGCTTAAAGGTGATAGATATCATACCGGCACTGGAAGAGATGACGCATCATCCTGAGTCAGGAGTGAAGAATGCCTACACAACCAGCAGCTCTATTTCAGTATTCTTCACCCCCCTCCGGCCGCTTCCAACGACCATCCAATAACTTAACCCTCGTAGTAGTGCTCCTAACCTCAGTCTTCGCCTGACCAACATATCTATCGGCCCCAAAACCACTCCAGCACAGCTCTTTCTCAGAATCGCAAGAAAGTGTTCTGTGCGTGGGGAAATATATATATTAACCTATTACTTTGCAATCGCGTCTCGACACCCGCTTGCGTATCTTTGCACCTGGCTCGTCAGGTTCCACACCCAATATGGATAATTTGGAACGGGCGACGTGCCACCGTTCATAGCGTTGGCGTAATAATTGGGGGGGGAAAGGGGGGGAATTGTGTATGTCTTCTTCCCCTTGTACCAGAGTGGTAAGCTGGATGATTTTCGAGGGAGATGATTTGCGGATGGTTCCCAGTCGAATGATCGTGACGCCCGTTCTCACAACACCGGACTCTGCCCCTACTCTGCCCCTCCTCAGCACCAGACCAACCAGACCCACAAGGGGAGAACGCCGTCGAGGTCAGACTGGTGCCTGGTGCAAAATCCTGCCTCGGACTGTTTCCCGTCTTTCCTCTGGTTCCTCTGGTTAAGGAGCCTAAGAGCGTTCACTAATGAACCCCCGGCCTGGCAGCGTAACCACAATCCAGAGACTTAGATGCTTAGACCATCTTTCAGCTAGTCATTAATCTTAACCCACCTCCTCCCCCCCGGACAAGAATTAAATTTCTATAGGCCAGATCAGGGATTTCTGCCTTTCATTTCCCCCTATGACTATATATATATATATATATATATATATATATCCGACACAATGTAAAATATCAAAAAATAATTCACTCCTTCAAAACCAACTTTATCGTCGCTCATTAACTCTGTTTTTCCGCATCTCAAATTCTGGATCTGCGCTTTTGCCATCTTCATATTAAACTATCTGTTTTCACCCTATACGATGCATATCCACTTGGCTCTCGTGTCTCTCTGCCTTTTTGGCCTAAGCTCCGCTCAACAGAGCAGCGTAACAAAACTGAACCTTCCTCGGTCAATAGTTGACTCTCAAAAAATCGAGGCGTCGGTGGTTAAAGCGGTAAGCTGACATAATCTCTTGTTTCCAACCATGTTAACTTATTATTAAATGTCGAAGTAAAAAAAAAAAAAAAAAAAAATACAAATCGAGAAAACTTTAATCTAAAAAAAAAAAACACTCTCTTTCTTAGGATTCTTCTTCCACGGTATATTGGCTCAATTGCCCCAAAAGGGCCGATTCCTCTGAATGCTTTTTGCCAGGCGTAAACCTCAAGCAAGCACGAAACGAAATTGGACTGGACTATTCAGCGCCAGGTTACGAAGGAGGGTAAGAAGTTGGCCGTGCAAAGAAATGGGGGAGCAAATGATAAAAAAAATAAAAAAAAATAAAAAAAAATAAAATAAAATAAAAAAAAAAAAAAGTTGCAAGCAAGCAAGCTTACCAATCCCACCTAGCATGATGAGCTTCCGCTTGGAGTGTCAACTCCAAACCGCCTTCATCGACTGCGCGCGTCTCCAGTTGACTTCCAGTGACGGGAAAGATTGGGCCACCGTGGTATCAACCGATATCGTATTCCCCGCCACCTTATTCGCTTCCATAGATGTCACGATTACGGCTGGTTTGGAGAAGTTGAAGGGTGCGGCGACAGCAACCCCAGTGCCCACTACCAGCGCGGAGAGCTCGACAGGAACTGGAGCTGGAGCTGGTGGAGCTGGTAGAGCTGCTCCGACTGGAACTAGTGCGGCCGCAACCGCGGGCGAGAGCGGTGGTAAGGCTGCGCCGAGCAGCAGTCAGGGACATGCTGCTATGCCTCTAGCCACGGCTGCGGCTAGCTGGGGGGTTATCGGTGGTGCTGCTATGGCTGTTGCTGCGCTTGCCATGTGATTGAATGGGGTTATTTCTGGAAATGTTGGAAGCTGTAGACGAATGCAAATTATCCGCTACCCCCTATATTGTTTAATAGTTGCAGTGTCCTATACATTATGTATGGAGAGTAGTTTCCTGCTATTCTTTCACTCCATGGCTCTGCTCTGCTTACAATTTGTATAATATCCAACGCTACAGACGCAAAAACATAACCCGGTGGCTACGTATATGGTAGATTATTCCAGACTTGAGATCTTGTAGAATAATGTAGTAAATAAAACAACGTCAACACAGGCTCGGCCACCCAGCGTCTTAGATATTTTGCGTTGTGGAAGTAGTATTTTTCTGCAAATAAAAGATGCCAATGTTGATTCCCAGTAAAGACTGCCTTCGGTTCATCCTTAGACCCCCACAGTTAAATAGCGCATTGTGAGCACTTTTGACTTGCAAAAATCAATGTGTTGCTCGCGAGCTAATCATAAGCCAACGCTAGAAAAATCCTATTCTGATTCAATTGAAAATTCTCCACAAATCATATGCAATGATGGGTGTCAGAAAACAAAACCCCGTTATTCTCTTTCACGCCACCACGATGTGGTCATACGGGCGAGTAGTTCTTGGATGATGGATGCCCAGTTGGATAGATTGTCAGAGAGACAAGTCGTACCGAGAAAAGATGGAAAAGAGACAAAGGAAGAAAGGAGAAAAATATGTTCTGGCTGGCTGGCTGGCTGGCTGGCTGGCGCGCGAGCCGCTCTTCAACAATAGGATACAGTTAGATCGCGGATGGAAATCTTTAAAGGATCTGGCAGCCGCAGCGGGATTGAGACAGCAGGATCAAGACGAGTCCAAAAGGCGGAGGGATCCTTAAAGAGTTCAATTTTCTACAACATGGATTCGAGGGCGGGGGAGACCTTCTGCTCTGCAATAATAGCCAACACGGCAGGCCGGGTGGCGCAGCCCTGCTCAGCCTTATTGCATGTATTACAACACGTTCAAGAGGACAAATCATGGATGATGGTTGCAACGAACGGAAATGACTTGTTGTAGAATGATGAAGGGGGCTTGGACTCTGGAATTATTCCGAGGAAATTCGGCGGGCCGCATTGAGATCCCCAGCCCTTGAACTAAAATGACTAAAGATAAACTACTCTACATGGATTGATCTATCTCAAGTTGCCCAGACAGAGAACCTAGCAATGCCGCGACGACAACGAAACAAAACAAACGGCTGGTCGGAGTAAGGGTTGCGTATAGAAAGCTGAAATCTTTTGGCGAACGAAGATCCATCTTTCCCTTGTTTGACTAGTCCATATCATGCTTTTCTCGAAGGCTTTGAGGTTGGTTGCAGAGAGGGCGCCTGGGTTAATAAATGTATTTTTATCCTTAGCTAGCGATCCATTCGGCAGTACAATTGGGGGAGCTCGTCACCAGCTAGCTCATTTGCCATCCGGCATACTCCGTAAATAGAGACATAGATCAATCCTCACCCCCAGAACAAGGAGTGTGGGATGAATTGGAAGTCAATCGGAGTGAGCTTGGAAGATCAGACCTGAGGCTATAACTAACTATTTAGAGTTGGCTTTGGATCGCGGCTCTGTCGTGATATCCGCCAAATCAGAGCAAGTAAACCCGCCAGAAGCCTCACCCCAACGTTGTTCCGCCGTTGTTTATTGACGCTGCGAATGTCACCGAAGCTGGCGGGAGCAGATAAGACCCGGGACATCCATAGCTGGGAGCCCCCGTGAGTCTGCTGTTGCTCCGCTCACACTCATCTATAACATGCATATTTACATGCATGTCTGGATTAGCAGCCCAACTATGTAGTTATGCCCAAGGATTGTTGGACAAAGACAGCAAGACGGTGTATCAACGTTATAAATATGATGGACTCACTTCCTCAATCTCATCATCTCCGCTATGCAGCCCAACTGCATCTTGGAAATTACTCGGTAGGTAATCTATCAATTCTCCAATCAATCAATCAATAAATCAATCAATCAGAAAGAGAAAAAAAAAATCACCTACATGGTCACGCTGTTCTCTTCATTTTGCTCTCAGTATCTTCGACAGATCATTTCTGCAAAACATGATTATTCTCCAAGCAACCTCTCTTCTCCTGACAGCTGTCACTCTCCACTATGCCTTTGTCAGCGCACTCCCAACATCAACTCCAGTTTCCCGATCCCCAGTACCCAGCACCTCGTCTTGTCAGAGGACCGAGGTGGCCTGCATCATTGACGGCAAGCAAGCCTGCTGTCCAGAGAATGAAATTCCCCTGGGCCCATTATCCCCGGTCAGTGGAGGGGACGGAGAGGGGGAAGAAGGCAGTGACTCCCAATCAGATTGCGATGGTATAACCCAATGGCACGAATCCAAGCCCGAAAGGAAGGTGTGCAAAGCCGGCGAGAAAGGGAAGCTCTACAGGCCCGAGATGAAAACCATGGTCAATGGCCAACTCGTCACCAATGTCGGGGACAATCTCGCCTTATCCAAGAAGGATTCGTCCAGGCAAGATCAGCAAATGACCTTCCGCCCCCCCGAGGGGGCTAAGGGCTGCGCCATCAATTGGAGCGTGGCTGCTGCACGCAGCTTCAGCGTAAAGGGCAATGGTTACGCCAAGCTCACCCCCGTTGGATCGAAGGACAGCGTTGGTGCCGCGGATTTCACCAACTGGCCTCAGGTTATTGGCATGCAAGATCACGTTGTTGTTCCAAGGCAGGATTGCAAGGAGGAGATGCAATATACAGTGGCTTTGCAGGAGGACGGTGAGGTATCGCTTAAGCAAAGTAAAGATAACGGATTTTACATGGAATATATTTGTTAAAGATGAATGTTGGCATGATGGGAAAAGAGTGGGATGACGTTAGGGAATAGGACTTTTTGCTTTTGTGTTTGCATCCATCCATCTCGGTTGAGTTCCCCAAGGGATCATGGATATCACGCATGTACATCAAGATATAGACTGGATATTTTGCGATTGGATGAATGTCATGACAGACCCTACAAATATTAGGGTGGTTTTCATTACACGTATAACCATTGGAAATCGATAAGCAAGATAGTCCTGATAAAACAATAAACACCACTACAGATGAAAGAAAGAAAGACGCATCCTGGAATCGCTAGTCTAGATTTCCTCTAGTGTATCCAGATGCGGATCGTAATCGATGCATCGGTGTATTAAATAAACCGGAATATAAATAGCATTTATCCCTACCGTAAACAATTTCTTCGAATTTGAAACGCGACGGGGTATATGTTGGATACAGGAGAATATGTACGTGGACGTGAACAATATGATATTGAGAGTACACACATCAAGAGAAAATCCTCTTTCATAACTTCGCAGGGGAACCTTCAGCACCAGTCAGCACCGCAGCTGGCGTTGTGTCGAAGTCTTCCTCTCCGTTAAAATGCCTAGAAACTCGTCAATAAACCCAATCTTTCACCAAAAAAAAAAGGGGGGGGTGGGAAGAACATAGAGCATACCATCCCCTCTCCTCCCCGCCGCTCAAAAACCCACAGTCCCCATTTCCAACGCAAATCCAACCACCCCCAACCCCGATCCCGCCCTGCCACTGCGGCACCCCCTTTCCGGAAAACAACTCCTCCCCCGACGCCTCTCCACCGCCGCCGCCGCGGGCCTCCCTCCTCTTCCTCACAAACGTCGACAAACTCGCCGTAAACGGCCTAAAGTCCTCAACGCACGTATCCTCAGGCATATCCCCCGTTAGCGCGCGGCCAATCGCGATCAACGGTGCAGCATGAGTACATATCAGAATGGCACGGCTCTGTTTCTGCTCTGCAGGATTGTCGCGCTCGTACTCGTCGAGCTCAGCATCAACCTGTGCGATTATAGCTTGGAGGGTTGTGGCGATGCGGTCATGGAGTATGGAGATGGTTTCGCCGTTGGCAAACGGGTAGACATGGGGTTCGTATTGGGAGTTGAGGAGGGTGGGGAAGAGGATGCGGAGCGTTTCTGGCGACGCGGGTGCTGGGTGCGTGAAGAATGACGAGGATCCGAACCATTCGCTGCGCAAGTGGGAGAGAGAAAGGAAGTTCACATCGGGTCAGACACATCGGGTCAGAAATTTTTCTTTTCTTTTCTTTTCTTTTCTTTTCTTTTTTTTTTTTGCGCCGTTCCATTTATTTGGTTGGTTCTCTCTTTCCAATGGGACTGGACTGAGACTCACCCAAGCCCATTCTCCATCCTCACATCCAAATCTATAAAAGTCTTCCTTTCCCGCTCTTGTCGGGCCTTCAGCGCCTCCACTGTTGGCTGTATGGTTTGCAAACATCTGTAGAATGGGCTACTGTAGACTCTACATGGCTTTGGGGAGAATTCATCATTGTTCAGGTGTGCAGCGAGCTCCTGCGATTGCCGCACACCGGGGCCTGTCAGTGTTGGGTCGACGGGTATGCCGGTGGGAGTGGGGTAGACGGAGTGGTAAGTGCCATTGTCAAGGTTTATGGTCCAGTTTAAGCGGTGCTGAGGGAATAACGGCGTGTTAGTTCAGGGTGGAACGGCGGTCGATTAGGGAGGGGAATACGGGGATGGCTAGGGGAGTAGAACATTACCCCATGTCGGGTCACATATATCCTATCCAGAGGCATTACAGGGAAAAGCGAGAAGATTAATAAAGAAAGCGTTGTCGTTTGCCTCGAAAATTAAAGGACGGAGACAGGAAATAGAATTTTTTGTCTTTGAAAAGAGGTTTCATTTACCGTTGTCGTTGATTAGGATTCTATCGGCCTCGCAGGATCGGCAAATGTTCAGCGTACCGCAACACCTCGGCTCGAGAATTCCAATTTGCAATCCGAAATACCGTGACAAAAGTATATATAATGTATGAGAAATTCATAGGGTCAGATAGTGCAGATTATTGAAGATAACCTATCTACAGATACAACCCTAATCTGCAAGCTAGCGCCATTCCGCTCGTTACAAGGAAGGACAGATGTCCATAGAATTAATGACATCACCCCTCAGCCCTGAAAGAAACTGGCTCAAGAACCGGAAGGACGTAATTAGTAAATTACAATAAGCTTTTATATTCGTGTATGGATTGTGATGATTTGTTCTTGATCTAGTAGAAGAATCCGATGACCTTTCCAGCAACATGCTTGCGTCTGGCCTCCTCGTGGTCCATAATACCAGCAGATGTGGTCAGGACAATGTAACCGAACTGACGTGAGGGAAGGAGTTTGACAACCCACTTCTCGAGGTCGCGAAGCTGAACGTTGTAGCGGGGAGAGATAACACCGGTCTTGTTGAGGCTGTTGAAAAGGAACCAAGTTAGTAGAGTGTTTAGAATAATATTTACCTGAAAAGGATACATACCGTCCATTAAGCTGGATGACGATTTTGCCAGAGCGGTGGTCATCTACCTCCTCAAACTCTCCAATGTAACCTGAAATAAAAAGTAAAGAAATTTATCAGTAATGTGACGATGGATTAAATGTTACCAACCACAGAAAACAATAGACAGGAAACTTGTAAGGTCAACGCCAAAAAAGCTTTAATATATCGGGCATTTAAAGGGCAGACGTCGTAGAGTGGTTTTACAGATCGAGATCGCCGCCTAGTTATCAACCCGAATGTTTGTTTTCGTATTATGCCTCCTGGTGCTTACACCAGCGCAATGCGTTGCCAATAAGTTCCAACCATAAATTCTGACCAAGGAAATGAAGAAAGAAGAGAATAAAACGAGAATAAAACGAGAATAAAACTCACCATGCTTCTGCATGACAGATAGGAACTTGACAATGACCTTGGAGCTAGGTCTAATGAGAACCTGGCGTTTGCCAGACTTCTCAGCGTTGTTGATAGCATTCAGCGCATCATTGAGGACACTAGTTTTGACCATATTGGTAGCTTATAGGAAGAGGGCACACAAGCCTCGTTGGGATGAGATTCTCAGTTCGAAGGAGGCGAGGGAAATGAGGTATCTATATTTTACAACGGCGGAAAATGAAATGCAGTAACGAAATCATTCCGTCCCTCCCGCGGAGGGAGAAATCGAATAATTCCATCACACAATTCATGACAAACAAGTTAGCTATCAGCAGTCTTTTCGAGCGCAAAGAGTGCCACCCCATCGCAAACCTCGTTTATGAGGTAAGATTGTAGGAGGTTCTTAAGCCCGTGCCGTGGAGGGAAAAGCGTATCATCCTGCGACCAGCACTCCGAAAATCGACATCATGTTTGCGAGCGCACAGTCCAGGATGATTGCTTTTCCCAGACTAGTCGAGGGGCCATTGAAGCGAAAATAGAAGCATTTCGGACATATAAGAATCACATACCTCGATGGACAATATTGGCGACGAGTGCTTGATAAGGGGGTTGATGGCTTGAATTGAGGTTGAAGTCTGTCGATTTTGAAAATTTGGTTGGAGCCGCTAGTGCGACCGGTTAGGGTTTCTCGCCATTTGCCCTAATAACATCACGTGATATTTAAAAAAAAGTCAATCCGGCAATGTTGTGCAATTCACGACGAAAAGAGAATGGTTTCTAGAAATATATGGAGAGAAATTGAGCTGCCTTTTGGAATAGTCGATGGTTTGGGTCTTAGATATCCCGCTCGCTGGGATAAACATGTAGTTAATACGTCAATGAAAACGGCAAGTACAGTATGGAGTACAGACCCTACTAAAGAGTTAATTTATGCTGGGATCATGAGGGATCGGCCACCGTTCCGATGAACCTTAACCACTAATTAGAAACAACCAAATACATAATGATGATGATATATGTGGAGTATATAACAATAAAAATTCACTTAGATTCAAAAACCACCCGTTTATTTATTTATTAATTCGGCACGCTGTGTGGGATGGTAGTAGGAGAAAGGATACATGATTTATTGGGCATACATGAATTCTAGTGCAGGTATAATAAGTTGAGGGTTGCAAGAAGGAGGGATAAAAGAAATGAAAAAGAGAGGACAAACCAGGGTCTTTTTAAGTGTACGGCTATGGTAAGGGAAAAGGGGATATATAGCATGTGTATTTGTGTGTATACGTTTTTGGGTGTATTGGGGGGAAATGAGGATCGGTGGATACTTCTCAAAACAAGCATCACCTGCTCCTCATCGTGGGGCAAAGTATTGATGACGAGAGATGAAACCCGATTTGGACTTGGGGTGGGGGATGACATGTGCTTGGGGAGGGGATAGGGGACAGAGGGGGAAGAGCTAATAAGGGCAAGGGAATTGGAAAGTTGTTTGAATGCTTGCTGTGGCGGGGAAAAGTTACACTATGTTCATATTCGACGGGAAGAGAGAAATATGGGGTGGGTTAAGGGAGAATAACATGTGCAGTGTTTAGGGGTAGGGCTGGGGACCGGAATGTTTTAATGTGGGCAGATACGTAGCTGCGACCAGCTAAGTCGACTGGGGAAAGGCTTGAAGAGGGGGCTGGCAGGTTCCTGGGGTGTTTTTTCCCCCTTCCTTTCCTTTTTCTAAAAAAAACCTCGATTTAACTATCCAATCCATACTACCGGAGCCAGAACATTGGGAAATATTTGCAATCGTGATGCTTGTCTATTCTTCATTCATAAGTGCTCCAATCAGGGCGTCGCTTCCCATCCATTGGCGGACTGCTACTTAGGTAGCAGGACGTGGGATTGTCTTTAGGGAGAGCCAATGTTCGTACAAAAAACGGACAGGAACACTTTAACGGCGAAATATCGCACAAATAAAGCTGGCATACTGTCACTTCCTATTTACGACATAGCTTGCGCCGTTGCAAGGCCGATTTGGCGTTTCACCTGCTCACGAGCCCATCTGGCTGTTTCAATTGTGCGGGCCCCGAACTCACGATTTGTCCGGGTTTCCCTAACCAAATTGGAGACGAAATCGTTACGGAAGAACGGCGCAAATTCACCACTGGGGAATGTATCGGCAAGATCTCTGTGAGACTTGTTAGGAGTCTACTAGTTCGATAATCATGAGAGCATAAATTCACGAGTAAAATTAAATATAAGACGTACCCAATAACACCCATACTAGCTCTGAGAAGGCCTTCGCTCCGATTCGTATCTTGAGCAATGATATTTAGCAACTGGAAAATCGACTCCACATATGGATGCAATGCGTTAACTGCGAAAATCATAATAAATATTAGCTTCCTAATAACGGCTTGGGTGAATGGAGTGCTACTAGTATATACCATTTGGTGTGCCCTTGTACGCAAGTAGAATGCCACCCCAAGCATCCATAATCCCTTCTCGAAGGGAAACAATATAATCAAGCATATCGAAGGACACATCAGGAGAAGCCGTCACACCAGATGCCTGCTGCAGCACGCCAGCGACAACAACCAAATATGTCTCAAAATGGGTCCCGATAGCCTGAGCAATGTCCCCAAAAGTCTCGAGGATCGATGGTTTGAGCTGGTTGCTGAGTGTAGTGCTCTAGACCAGTGTTAGTAGATGAGAAATATGGATAAATATAATTACATGCAAGGAGCGGAGGCAAATCTTTTCGTACCCTCAAGTTGTTGAGAAGATGATTCATGAACGTATCACAGTAAGGTTGCGCCTTTTCGCCCAACGATCGAGTGATATCGCTAACTAATCCAATCGCCATGGCACAGAGGGCAGCCTCTTCCTGATTACCCAGGGCATTATAAAGGAACGGAATGAACGAATCCATATACTTGAGGAAATCTGTCTCAAGAGCGCTGGCTATCGAGCCAACAGTGGCAAAGACGGTATCTGGAACACTTGATTTCGGAGGTACAGTGGACAAAACTTGCAACATAACGTGCATGATACGATCGGCTTGAGGCTTGATCTCTCCTTCTAGTCGTTGCACAATAGCCTTGACTGATGTTAAGATATTTACTTTAGTTAAGTACGTAGGCACAAGGGAGAACCTACCAATAGCACACTCGTCAAGCTGGTTTGCATTTCTTCAAGTGTGATACGATCTTCAACGCTGACAACCTGTTGTTGCATAGGAACTGTTTGCTCCAGTCTTTGAATGATAACGTCAGAAAGGTTGGCAACGATGGGAAGGCTATCATTAGCAGCATTTGTCACAAAAGCGTTAAGAACCTCGTAGGCAGCGGTTCGAAGCTGATTATCAGTGTCGTGTCTATGATCTAAGTCAGCAAGAATTGGCGGAAAATAATTTCCCAAATCAAAACTCGAATCTTTACCTCTCTGTAACAGTGAGCAGCGAAGTAACACTGTCTTGGAAATGCTTCGATAGAGGGTTCGTCTGAGCACCAGCTTCACCAGCAAATCGTTCGGCAAGGTTCATCAAGGCCCAGCAGCAAGAACCAGCAATCTTCGGATTACTAGCCAACCCGTGGAACAAACATGAAATAAGCGGCTGCAAATGAGCTTCTGGGTCGATAGACTCAGAGCAATAATCACATATCCGGCCAAGAGCATAAGCAGCGGAATCTTTAACATGAACAACCTTATCATCCATCATTCCAATTAATACCGGAAGGGCCTGTTTGATCAGAGGATCCAGAGTTTGGACATCTGGCCCATCCATGATAGCACCGAACGAGGCCACTGCGGCATCCCGACGATGCCAATCCTCACTTCTCAAATTTTCCTCCACAAACGCCAGAACGGGTGGGATCACTTCAGCGGCAACGCACTGGGCATAGAGTTGCAGGGCTTGATAGGCGGCCCGAGAGGTATCATAGTCGTCATCAGCAGCATCCTCGTCCTGCTTGGTCATTAGCTGTAGCAGGACAGGAACAACCTCCCTGCAAGCAACCCGTGCAAAACTGAAAAATGGGCGAATTTCAGTGGACCCTTCCGCTTGTGCCTACATTTATATATGTTAGAGACCGCATGATCAAGGCGTACGTATATAAGATCAATGTGGGAAAACAAGTCAACACAGGGAAAAATACTAACAGCAGCGTTATCATCTTCTATGGCAATTTCCTCTTCACAAACCGTGCACCAGAACTCAATAGCAAGCTTTGCAACATCTTCTTCCTCACTTTTCATGCCTAGAATCGTCAAACCAAAGAGGGCCTTCTCCATATAAAAGCGCATCTTCTCATAGTAAAGGCCCATAATTCGGTTCAAGCAGCCAAAAGCGCCACTCTGTATCCGCGTGTCCTCGGCTTGTGTAGCCTCGCAAACAACCTGCATAATGTAATTTCGCTCGCCGTCATTTTCAAAGTTTGACCGCACAAATTCCATCGCATCACCCAAAGCCGTAAGGGCAGCATTTCGAACATCTGAATTGGTCTCTTCCCGTCGCGCACCCTGAACAACCGCTGTGAGTATCGCATTGGAATGAGCACTTAGGCTGTCGCGAAGCTCTGGTTCGTCCGTTTCGCAGATAAAGCCAATCGTGGTGAGAGATGCTTGTTTCAAATGATCTGAACCACTATTGACATTCTTTACAAGGGTATTCATCAACTCGGACCATTCGTTTCGCGGGAGCTCAATGGCAGCAATAGCGGCAATAAGCTGAGCCGCAGACTGTCCAGCTCTCGCATCATCTGATTCCAAAGTTTTCAATGCGAGCTCCTTGACGGTTTTTTTTACATCGGGGGGAAGCTGATGGACCCATTTCCCCTGGACTTCTCGCAATCGATCAAGCTCCCGGAACGTGAATGAGTTTTTCAGCGCAATACCAGCAGCAATTCGAACGGTTGCGGTAGCGGATTCGTTGGCAAGTTCCCCCGCGAGGGTCGTAAGGTAGGTGGCCTATACGAAATGAGAAAATGGAAAAGAAAAAATACATAAACAAAGGTTGGAATTCTTGCGCATATGAAAACGGAAAACATTTGTAATATCTCTCTAAAAATACAGGTAAACGCGTAGCGAGCTCCGTGTCTCATCAGGCTAAAGGAGAAAACAGGGAGTACATACGAAATCAACTTCAGCTGCATGTAGCAGTTGCTGTTCGGCATTTTGACGCGTTGCAGTATCTATATATCATCAATCAAACAGAAAGCAGGTCAGCCAACCAGGCATCAAGTTAATCTCTTCCACTGTATGAAATGGGAACGTACCAGTGGAGAGGGTGCCCGCCAACACCTGATTGACATCCATGGTTGATATATGTTCCTGAGCTTCTAGGCCCACTGTAGTCGCGTGGTTGTCACAGGAGGGGGGACAGGGTGGGGGGAGGTGAA